CCATGCTTTTGACAGTGCTTAGGCAGAGTAGATGAATTACCAACTTGGGCCTCTATATGCATCAACGTATATTTGCATACATAACCGAACGATCACAAGCTGCACTCTGTTTTTCCAAAATACGAACGAGCTGGCCACAACAAAAGGATGAATCTGAAGCGCAGATGTTGTTGTTTATCGGTGGACAACGGTCCTTCCGGTTTTCATTGTATGCACAAACACTCTGTTTGTGCCAACAGAAGCCCTTCCTGTTTGTATATCCAACATTTACGCACCCAGAATATTGCAGGTGAGCACCTCGCCCTCCTTATAAAAAGTCATTGTACTTCCCACATATTCATAGCTGCTTCGCTCCGTCGACTGAACCTCCTCCTTCGGTGTCCATCTAGCCTAGTCCGCCCCTTCTCCCATCCTATCCAATCCACGTCCGGCTCCGCCCTCCTTCCAGACGTTCACCTTCCCCTCACACCTCTCTCCACGACTTGACACGTTTCTTCCGCCACCGCTACCCTTGCACCACTAACGCCTCCCACCATAAGAAATGGCCTTCGACATCCGCGACGAAGACGAGCCTCATGATGAGTTCGACGAGTATGAGGAAGTGAAGCAGCCGGAACGTCCAAAGTTCTATCGCCGCAAAAGTTCTGGATGTTCTGCATCCCCAACGCGATCATGCGCTCATCATTGCCGTGGTGCTGGCGCTCTATGTGATTATGCCCAAGATTGCACAGGGTTCATGAACAAGGCCACCATCAACTTTTCGCAGCTTGTAAGTCCATTGCCTGCTCCTACTGTCTTTCTGTCTGTTTCTATCCAATTCAATATACTTTTCTGCGCCTCTCGGCACTTTTCTGCGCTTCCCACCATATACCCCCCACATCTCTGCTTCATCTTTCACACCGCGAAAAAAACACACATGTAGTACATACGCTCCTGTGTGCACTGCTAGGTCGTACGCGGCTGTTGGCTGAAACGTATCTGACGCATCCAACGCATCCAACGCATTTAACGCATCTAACGCATTTAATACATCTGTGCCTGCATGTACCGTGCATGCCATGAATCTGCTCTGTAACTCTACAGGACATCACCGACCCCTCGCCCACATCCATGAACGTGGTGATGCAGGGCGAGATGCGCAACACCGGACCCTTCCATGCCGACATCAGCTTCCCTGGGACTGTCACTGTCTCCTGGAACGGCATTGTGCTCGGCACTACCGAGATCCCTGGCACCAGCACTGCTTCGTACGTATCTGTGCAATACCAGCTGTGTATCTGCTGAATGATTTGCGGGCCGATGATGCTCTCGGTCTGCTCGCTGTATCTCACCCTGTATTCTCTCTATCTCTCTATCCCTCGTTATCTCGCTATCTCGCTACCTTGCTGCTTTGCTATCTCGCTCCCGGCTTCTCCACTCGTCCCTCCCGACAGTGGCGGTCATGGCGACTTGAACCTGCAGAGCAGTGTCACCATCACTAACTCGAGCGGCTTCGCAGAGTTCTCGAGCTACATGCTCAATGCCGAGTCCTTTGTCTGGCACCTCGAGGGTAAGCTGAACGTCAAGGCTCTCGGCCACACCGTCAAGGACCTCGACCTGAACAAGGACATCACTGTGAAAGGTAAGCACCCGTATGGACATGCATCCGAGCAGCTACTCGAGCATGCACTCAAGCATGCACTCGAGCATGCATCCGAGCTGCTATCTGTGCACTCTGTTATTGTCTCTTCACGCAGACGTGCATGTTCTTGACATCTGCCACGATGCCTAACCCTCAATTGTCTGCACCTCCTTTTGACCTCCCCAGCGTTCAACGGTCTGCCCGGTACAACTATCCAAAAGTTCTCCCTCCCCGGCGACGACCCCTCCGGCAACGGCATCATCATCGAGATCGACACCCTCGTCACCAACCCCTCCGCCATCCAGATGTACATGGGCAGCTTGACCTTGGCCATCTCGTATAAGAACACGGTCATGGGATATGTCACTGCCAACAACCTGACCATGGCCCGCGGCCCGCAGACGCTGAGCATGAAGGGCGTGCTGATCCCCCAGGCCACGGTCGAGGGTCTCGCAGACACCTCGGAGATGATGTCCCGCTACATCGGCAATGCCGTGACGGACACCATTGCCACTGGCTACGAGGTCAAGCCTGACGGCGTCAACTCGGTCGACTGGCTGTCTGCGGCAATCAAGAACCTGAAGCTGACGGTCCCGCTCCAGAGCCCGACGCCACTGCAGCTGATCAAAGCCCTGAACCTCGGGGCCCTGGGTCTGACCTTCACTCCTCCGACCGCGTACCAACCCGTGACGACCTCGACCGGTGTCCTGGCCAACTACACGCTCCCCGACGGCTTTGGGTTCAACATCCAGTTCACTCAGGTCGCCAACGAGCTGGCCCTCAGCCGCAACAACATCACCATTGCCAACCTCAACTCGTCCTACAACCCCTCGACCTCGAACATGGCTGCGGGCACCCTCAACTTTAACCTGCTGGCCACTCCTCTGCTCGTCCCCGAGGACGCCCACCAGGCCTTTCAGGAGTTCAACCGCGACCTGACTGTCGGCGCCAATCTGCCGTTCAATGTCGTGGGCAAGGCCTCGGTCTTTGCCAACACCTCCATCGGTGTCGTCAACCTCGTCAACATCCCGCTCAACGCCACGACCGAGCTTAGCGGTCTGCAGAGCCTTGCCAATCCTGCACCGACCATCACGGCCCTCCAGGTGGTGTCCGGCACCGCCACGGACCTGACCATGGCCATCACCGTCGTGATCGTGAACCCGTCGTCGATCTCGCTGAATGCGGGTGACATTGTGCTTGACCTGATGTACAAGGGTGTCCGTCTCGGAACAGTGACCATGCCAAACCTGGCTATTGTCCCCGGCGCCAACACTGTCGAGGCCTCGTCCACGATCAATCCCGCAGCCTCACCCGAGGGCATGGAGCTGCTGACCCTGTACACCAGCGGCGCCGGTGCCGAGGTCAGCATTGCAGGCACCCCCACCAGCACCACTGTCGATTCGCTGACCCTGGCCTTTGGCGCACTCAACATCGGCACACAGATGCCTGGGCTGCAGTCCAAGTTGCTGGCAGGAGCCTCGCTGGTTGTGCTCGACACCACCCTCGCCAACGGCATCGCCCAGACCGTGGTCACGGTCAACAACCCGTTCGTCCCAGCCATGAGCATCCTGTCCATCGACTCCAAGATCACCTACAACGGCGCCTCGCTCGGCACCGTGGTGTCAACCTTCAGCTCGCCCCCCGTCATCCCCGGCACTGGTCAGGGCACCATCACTGCCAGCCTCGCCATGAACACCGACCCACACGACCTCGTCACCCTGATCCGCGCCCAGGCCGTCAAGAACGGCATCAACACCGACGCCTTTGACGGCCTGCTCTCGCTCCAGCAGGGCGGCAACCCTCCCGCCAGCCTCTTCGACGGCTTCAACGTCGCCGACTTCACCATCAAGGCCATGGCCGGCCTCAGCGTCGACATCGAGATGACCACCACCGTCAAGCTGGGCGACTACCAGGTCACGATCCCCTACACCCAGACAGGCGTCCCCACCGCCACGGACCAGACCATCCTCAAGCTCATCCCCATCGTCGGCACCCCCATCGCCCAGCTCCTCGTCGAGCGCTCCGTCCTCGGCTTTGACTCTATCAAGATCCTCAACCCCACCGACACCAACTTCCAGACCGACATTATCGGTGCCATCACCGACACTGGCCCACTGGATGCCCAGATCCAGTTCCCCAACCCCGTCACCATCTCGTTTGACGGCAAGCCAATTGGAACAATGATGATGCCGACGGTGGACGCGGTCGCCAACAAGGGTGCGCCACTGAACCTGGCTGCCGTGCCCTTCATCATCACCGACCTCGCAGCCTTCACAGACTTCAATGTCTATGCGCTCAACAACGAGAAGTTCGACTGGACGATCTCGACCGAGGGCCTGGTTGTCAATGCCATGGGCACCTCGCTCCCCGGCGTGACCATGACCAAGAAGGTGACGCTCGACGGCTTCAACAAGCTGCAGGGCCTGGAGCTGTCGAGCTACATCATCAACACCATCGACGCCGACGGTCTGCACATGGTCATCAGCGCCTCGCTCGCCAACCCCTCGACCATCGGCCTGACCATCCCGGTCTCGAACTTCGACACTGGCTTCCACGGCAAGGTGCTCGGACCAGCTGTGGCCGAGGGCCTGACGCTGCTCCCGCACGGCAACTCGAGCTTTGCACTGAAGGCGACCATCTCGTCAGCCAACGGTGACCTGAGGCCATACCTGGCTGCCATCTTCCAGAACGCGCTCGGCGGTACTGCGACACCGCTCGATGCTACCGGAACGGGCGCACCCGGCCTCTCATGGCTGGATGCGGCAATCAAGTCGCTGGTGCTGCATACCAGCCTCCCACCTCTGACGGAGCCGCCAATCGAGTCGGTGGCCATCGACGCCATGTCCATGGACTTTTCCTGCGACTCGTGCGTGTGGTCTCCGACCGCCATCTCGACCATCACGGCCAAGACGAACCTCCCCTTCGCAAACGGTGCGCCGATTGTCCAGCTCAGCCAGAACGTCGAGATCCTGGACAAGGATGGTCAAGTGGTCGGAGTCCTCAGCACTCCCTATGCTCCAGCCACCACATCCGGCAACACGGTGACATCCACGGCCCCTTCTGCGCCACTGGTTGTTGCTGATGGTTCGCACGAGATCTACTCTGCCTTCATCGGAGACCTCAACATGGCCACGACCTATGAGCTTGGGCTTCGCGGAACAGCCGACTCGATCCTGGATCTCGGCGCACTTGGTCAGGTCGAAGTCAAGGGCATCAAGTTGGACGTCAAGACATCGATGGCTGGCCTCCAAGGACTGCAGAAGATCGAATATGTTACCAATCTGGGCTACGACTTTATTGGGGGTATCACTCCACGCTCCTGGTTAACATTGTCAATCCCAGCAAGCTGACCCTCAATATTGGAGATTTGACTTTGAAGATGGGCAAAGACACCACAGATGCAGGCTTTGCTGGCTACTCGCAAATCACCGACTTGATATTGGTCCCTGGAGACAATCTGATCCAGGCTGTGGCCGCTATCGATAATACATTACCTGGTGGATCTGAACTGGCGACTGAACTCTTCTACCAAAACACGACGGTCACCATGTACGGCTTCCCTGGGGTCAGCAAGAACCCTGCCCTGGCTGCTGGATTGCAAAGTCTTGTTACTCAGACTGTCATCCCCGCGGGGTTGGAAACGTTCCAGAACGCTCCTCCCTACAGCGCGACCTGGAAGATCAAAGTTCCGCCAACTGCAGTAGACGATGGCATGATCGAGATCACGACTACCTTCAGCAACCCTTATTTCTCCTTGCCACTCCACATGCTCCTTCCTGTCTCCGATCCAGCTGTGTACACGGGCACGGATCCCAGCCACATTGAGGTTCCCATGGGCAACGGCGGCACCCCAAACCGAATATTCGATTTCCTGAACAACTTCAAGTTCGATCTGGCTCCCAATTCCTCAACCACCATCACGATGCAGCTGCAGTTATCGACGATCGGTATGAACGGAACACCTAGGAGCTACGTGGAGGGGGTGGTTGAGCAATCCAAATCCGGAACCGTTCCGATCTACGTGATGCTTTTACCTGAATGTACCCTGGGCAAAGACCCCCGTAAGTTCCAAGGCTACTGGGCTTCGGACACTATCTACCCTGACCTCACCTTCTTGACGCTTGAGACCGGACCGGACTTTGCGCTGATTCTTGACTGGTTCGATAAGAAGTACCCACCAATGCCTTTGATCGCAACCAACCCAGTCTCAGGGGTTACTTCGCCAACGGTGTCCCCCAGCGTAGTCTCGCCCACGTCGACCGTTACTGCCCCGACGGACCCCTCCTCGACGACCCCATCCACGACTGCGTCAGCAGCACCCAATCCCGAGCCAACGCCGACGACGACAACGACAACGACAACGACAGTAACACCGTCTCCAACACCAGAAGTGCTGAATCCGGTGTGAGCGCGGTGATGCCATGATAGAAATGCATAACGTTCTCTAAAGATGTGGTTCCTTCCACATAATATAGGCCCGTATTGCCCGTATTTATTCTTCATCTTCATCTTCATCTCCAATCTCTAATTACGTACAAAGACCTTTCTCCCTTCCGCCTTCCAGAAATCTATATTGAATAATTTATTTCAATGGATGTTACGACCTCATTCTTCTGCCTTAGCGCTGTTGTATTGGATGAAATGAGATGTGCTGAAATGCCATTAAAATAAAAGAACAAAAGAAAGAACAGAAGTACGGCAGAGAGTATCCTAAGTCCTGGCCCTGCATACGACCTACGGTTGGTTTGCGGCCGATCGAGTCGCTCGATCTACGCGGAGAGCTTTAGCCCTTGGTTCTCTCGTACAAAAAAAAAAAAATGGTCAAGATTAACTTTATAGTTCTGCACGCACTTGCTCATGAATCTCCAATGGATGCTAGACTACGCCTACGGAACTTAGGCGCTTGCTTCTTAAGCGTTCATGGTCATTTCGTTTGCTCAGGCAATATTTTTTTTTGTAAATGTCTTGCAGTAAAGTAAATTACCTCGGCTTCAACTCATTCCCTCTGCATTCTATCTGTTCCTTTATCTGCTATATCCGATTGGACTATATCGCATTGAACTGTATCATATTAAGTTGTAATTCATTGTACTGTGCTGCATTGTATTGTGTTGCATTGCATTGGTAGCATGTGTCCGGAAAAGATTGTGGAACTAGACTAGCTTTTGTGGAGGAGCCCTTTTTTTCCTGTTCATTCTTGTGCTGTCGTCCTTCATACGCCTCTCTATTGCCTATTGTAACACCAAGCGTAACAAAAAAAAAAAAAAAAAAAAAAAAAAAAGCACTAGCTGTATGTGTTTAGAGTCAAGAAGCAATAGTAAGAATGAATTGTACACTAAACAAAAGAGAATAAGACTCTTTGTATAGTAAGAGTATTGCTGGAAAACAGTATCTCGGCTAGCGGCTATCGCCAAAAAAAATAAAAAAAAAAATATCGGTGTGTGCAACGCGAGAAGCCGACATATAGTTGCCCAGCACCAAAAACGTGCTGAGAGAGGTAAACATTAACGTGCTGAAGTTTCTGCCCTTGCGTCTTGTTGATGGTCATGGCAAATGCGGCCTTGACAGGGAATTGTCGCCTAGTGAACTTGGTTGGCGCACTTCCGTCGTCCATGGTCGTGAGTAGTATACGCCATGAAGGATCTCTGCGCCTAGGTATCTCTGGTGGAGTGCCCGAACGACCAATCAAGTGCTATTGCAGAGGTCTGATGTTCCATACATATTTCGAAGGAAAATGATAGGCTGGCCAATCTTCAACAGTAACACATGCGGAGGCATACCTGGAAAGTTGGGCGGAATTCAGGCACTCTACAGGATAAGCGGCAGTGTACACGCCGTCCGCTATGTCCTGGCTGTTATAAACCTTCCCTTCGCCTTGTCTCCCATTAAGAAGCATCTGAGTTACCATAAAATTGATTCTGTCTACATCGACATTGAATGTCGTAAATATTGCCCGGCCTTTTAAAATATCTAGTTGCTGGGGGGCGATCTCAGTGTCTGAATAAATCTCCCTGATGAACTGCCTTTCAGACGGGTTGTTCTCGGTTACGGGATTGGCTGAGTTGAACACATACTGGTCTGGTATCCTGATCAAATCGCCATGCGGACCTGGAGTGAAAGTTGGCTCTGTGCTGTTACCAGTACGGAGAAACCACTCTGTGAAAGACTGGCCTAACGGGTCAGCCTTTGTTCGTATGTTCTCTCTAAGAGTTAGAGTCTGCACATGCGGTCAGATTTTTCGAGAGTTCTCGAGGCAAGCACCCCCAATCTGGGCAGGTGTTCCTCGAGGCACAACGGGCAAGACTTGACGGAAGTCTCCCCCAAATACGGCAACCTTGCCGCCAAAAGGCGTGTCCGTCTTTTGCATGGTGTCGCGGAAAGTGGCATCCCCTGCTTCGAAGATATGCGGGTGGTGCATCAGTGCCTCATCCCAAAAGACTGCATCTGATTCTCAGATCCTTGTTACCATTCCCTACTGCACAGGAATATTGCACGTTGAGTGCTCCATGATTTGGAGGGGAACCTTGAAGGTCGAATGGATTTACGGCCTCCTTCCAGGGTTTGTGCGATGATTCCCGACGAAGCGACCACGATTACGTCTTTCTCCCCCCTTCCTCGGATGTGGGCAATTAAAGTATTGTACAAAAATGACTTTCCCGTTCCCCCTGGCCCACCAATAAAGAACATATTTGAAACTTCCTCGTCCTATTTATCCAATGCTGCCGCAACCATAGACTACAGTATCTTTTGATCGTCGTTGCAGAGTCCCCAGTTGTAATCCGCCTTTACCGCGAGTCCCTCGATACTGAGTTCTGCCTGTTGTCCGAAGTCATCGTCATTAGCTTGATGGTGAAGTTGTGAAACTCGCTAGACATCTCCTCATAGACCGCAAGACTGGTCCCAGTACCCATCAAAATCTCATTGATGGGGAACAGTACAGTACTCCCGGCGTCTTCTTCAGTGTTCGGGCTAGCTCCAGCATGTTCCAGGAAATCCTCAGAAAGGTCTTTGGTAAAAGCTTGCCACAGCTCGAGAGGGTTAAACTGGCCGCAAAGATGGAAAATCATGGCAAAAAGATGCCGCATTGCCGCCGGACTTTGGTGATCTGCAGCTTCCTCAAGGTATCGACGCCATGCTGAATCTTCCTCCAGCAATCCACGCGCATTGGCGGTCTCCCAGTAAGTGGCATAAATCTCTCCTCTACGGACTCGTGCGAATATTTTCGAAATTGGTTGCTCCTCTAACGTGTAGGAGCAAAAGGCGCAAGCAATACCGACTACGATCGACGTTAATTGCGAAGTTCGGGGTCGCATAGTGCAGTTAGCCGATGGTGTTCGAGACTCCTTTTTGCCTGGCGATCCAAGCATGGGCGTTGTTATCCCATGCGTAGTGCTTGGAAATTTCGGAGTAGACGTACTCTCTAGCCTCCGGATGGCGCCTGTTCAACTTAAACCATGGCATGAGGTTCGTATCATGATTTCTTTCCTCCAATATCGTCCCTGGAGACTGTCGAACGCCTATAATAATATGGCGCCTGTCCTCAACGTGAACCTGCCACCGCACAATATTTGGGGTATGACCTTGTAGTGGGAAGGCAAAAATCCTCCAGAGTGCCCCGCAGGTGGATATATACAGTAGTCGGTCGGCCATCTTACCCTCTTGACTGACCATTAGAGTGTGGATGGCCGATGATGTTGATGGACTGCATGGGCGCAACCTCTCTGCTTGATCTGTTCTGGTCCATGGTCGCTTTTAACGCTGGGCCCTTCTTTATGACATCTTAAAGTCAGTATCATTCAATCGCAATCTGACATTGGGCTTTTTTCTCCGATATGCCGATGATAACTGGGAAGGGACATTGAAGCATGATTCAGACAACTATTGCGACAAGTCACTGCCAGCGTACCTTCCTTACTTGTGCTCGATGGGAAATGTAAGCGGAAAAAAGGGGCCAATCAAAACGCGCGCCCGAAAAACCATACCAATCCCTCAGGACGTATTTGATTTTGTTCCTTCAATACGAGTACATGGACCATCCTTTGTCAGATAGAAGAAGATATAGAAGTATCTGCAACATGGAGCGATCTAGACCACCATATCCATCACGACCCCGATTAGGTCAAACTGCGATCACTAGCACCAATATCCACAAGATTGAAGGTATGGTTGCTTATCGTCATCAGGACGACTTATAGAAAAATAAATAGCGCGTGGGTTTCTCAGTTTTCCAATTGCCTCCTTTCAGCCCCCACGCCCCCTTTCAATAACTGAATAAGATCAAGGCCAATAGCCGTTACAGTATTTTTGGAACATATCCCACGCTCCTCTCAATGCCGATGCCATCTTGCGGTAGCTTCCATTTAAGGCTATGATAAAAGCAAGATTACTGTCGATATGGAAATAAGTGAGAAAGAAATATGGGTATTCTAGGGCTCAAAGTACACGTAAAACTAGCTCACTTGTAGATTATAGTGCTGGACTCGGCTGATATGCAGCAGCTTCCCTCCCCTTGGAGAATGAGGCACAAGTTCTAGGCTGGAAAAAAAGGAGCATGGATTTTTGCTTTTCCAGCACATGCTGGAGGAGAAACAGGCATGAGCTGCATGCAAAACAGGCACAAACCTTATATAGAAGCAGCACGGACCTCTTCCCGAAGGGTGCTAACCGCTTGTAAAAAGCAGCATACGCACAGTCAGCGCGTATGCTGGTTCACATAGCAGGGTCTCCTTGTCTCGTCCATTCTCAACAAAACTCTTCGCACCACCTTTTTCACACAACATACGCAATTCCCCACTTCAGACGTATTTTGCAATGGGCTGTCAGAACGAATATGACACCGATTTCCCTTTTGACGACGATGTCGACGATGTCGATGATGATTACCATAACAAGGACTGCACCAATGAAAGGCCTATGGACAAACACCTAATGGTCAGCGAGGATGAAAACGGGGACGACAGAACTGGTTGCTAAGTTGCACTTCAATGGCTGACAGTGGAAAGATGAGAGGAATGGTGAGTCGGTGAAGTGTTAGCAAGCAATGTGGACCAGCATGTGCGCTGATTGTTCCCATGCTGCTTTTTACAAGTGCTCTTTGCGAAGAGGTCCGTGCTGCTTCCACAAAAGGTCTGTGCCGCTTCCCAGCAGTTTGTGCTGAGTCCTACTCAAGCGCGCTTATGATGGTTGAATCCATTGGATAGAAATATCAGAAAAAGAGCCAAAAGTTGAAAATAGTGCACAGTAAGATTGACCAATAGGTGATAACGCGTGGGAACGACAAATAGTTCCTGGCTTAGAGTTCAGCGACAGTATGGGGTAATTGACGCACGAACACTGCGCCTGAATTTTTTTAAAGTGTGATCATCTGATCTAACGGGACGAATCATCTGATAAAGCACGCCATTTCATCTGGTCACGATGAACCAATGAGGATGAAGGGGGGTCATGAATGGGTTCATTAAGAATGAAGGATGAGAATAAGTGAGATTGATTCCTCTTTATTTATTTTTTATTTTTTATTTTTTTCATACACCTGCACTCCTCATACCATCAACCTTCCACACCTTAGTCTCTATATCACTTTACTTGTCATCTTGTCTTCTGAACGCCGCTCAGCCACGTCGTATTTTGCGGTCCCTTACTCCTCCAACCAAAGCTGTTCCATTGACACAGGCCATTAAGGAAAGACTTTCACCAACATTCGGTTTTGCACCATGGACGCGTCGGTCAACTTTAACTCCGAGCATAGTATTTATGTTCCTGGCGATTAAAATGACGTTAGTAATGAAAATCGCCCTGACATGTTCGCACAGCCACTGCCAGGCCCAACGTCTCTTCCTGTTGAGTTTAGGAGTCCGGACGCGGGTTCGAAACCATATTTGCGTCCTTCAACGCATTCCCGTCGACCTACAGTTGGCGTGGCCGTGTCTCGCATGCAATGCAAGCATACACTGGCAGAAATTTGTAACCAGTATGAGAGTGTTTGCAGGATACAGCGAGGTTGCTTAAGCACGATGACATTTCGCCTGTGAGGCGGCAGATTCTTGTGCAATTGTTCAGTGGGAGATATCTCAGACGGCATCGTTACTGAGAAAGTTGGAGCGGCTGTGACATACACAAGAGGTGAGGATATTAGATAAGCTTCATGCGTTGGAGTAACGTGCATTAGAAATGGATTTCCCATGACCATGGTGGTTGTGTCGCAAATGTGGCCGGTAGTCAAATGAAGTTGACTCTCAATCGCCCTCAATTTAGTGAAACATACATATCACCTCCCTCATCAACTGGCTTATTACTTGCCCTTCCATCGCCTCGCTTGCCTTTATCTCTCCACTACCTCACTTACTTTCCTCTCTTCATCACCTCGCTTGTCCACCTCTCCATCACCTCTTCACTCGCCTCTTCCTCACTACCTCGCTCCATGGTGGAAGTGCTCAAGGTAAAACGCTTGAGGTCATCACTTCCTTTTAATTCACCTTCCTTCCAGAGATACCACGCCTGGTCCCCACTTCCCATAGTAACGGACTTGTCAAAACCGATGGAAGGCTGTAGACTGACGGACAATGGGCATTCGGGGTGATCCCGTGCAAAGCGGTTCGTGGATCCATTGTCCTCCACTCCATAACTGGAAAGCCTTTAGCCCAACATTGATAGTCTGCAGCGCCTTCAGTCTTGTGAAGGGTCTTTCTCCTTGCGCTTGAATTCGAATCGAGCAAAGCCACTAATCAGCAAGGTTACCATCCAAGGTCTAGCTTTTTCGCCCCTACTTCACAGTGCCTTCAGTTCTTTGGAGGGTCTGCCTTCTCGCGCACGGCCCGAAATGAGTCTAACTCTTCATTTCCCTTGTTCATGCTCCTTCTGAGAGCGGATTGTCTAGGCCATGTCCAAGCGACTGTTTGATCACTAAGCCTCTGTAGCCGAGCAGGAACTTGAAAAACGACATCGGTACATCCTTCAAAATACGTCTCTGATGGACCTCGAGGCTTTGGCGCAAGGGTTCTTTGCGAGATTCGACTTTACAAATAAAAGTATTGCGCACGATGCGCTGCGCTCCTCGCTCATCGCAACCGGACAGGAGCATCTCGCCAACGAGACAAAGGTTCGAGCTAATATTTTTTACTTGTTTGTGGATTTCACAGCGGCGATGCTAACCTAAACTAACCGCGCATTTGCACACTGGATAGACGGAGGAATTTAAGGAATGGATGACTCGTCACTTCAATGAGAACAAGGTGGCCAAAAGGTTGAGTTTACAGAATGTCCTCAAGCGGCACCGTACCCAGCGCCAAAAATCTGGAGTTATCAAAAAGTTCTCATATGATACAATCCGGAATGGATCTTCTAGCCCCTGCGGTAAGAACTCGACCATTGTCTTCGTGATGAGATCACGCCCTCGTTGTCTCCGCTTTGGCGTTTGTTTTATTCATCTCGACTTTTATCTTCACTAGGAAAGCTCCACAGCCCAAGCAATTGATGAGGCAGGGGAGTCACCTTATTCGACAGATAACGAGTCGCAAGGGTCGCCGTGTGTGGCTCATCAGAAACGAAGAGAGGCCAGAGTAGGTAAAGCAACCACAATGTGCTTGCAGAGCGCGCAATTGTGTTCCATGAATAATTGTTGATTAGGCTGACTTATAAATGGATATAATGTGTAGATGGCAGCATTGACAAAGAAGAGCGAGAGACGGCACTAGGCGCTACTTCGATCTTGATCCCGAAGTCGATTCCATTGAGAGAGTGCAGAGCGAATTTCCAGGTACGTCGTGGTTGAGGTGTAATGAATGCGTGAATAACTGTGATCAAGGAAAACATGCATGGTACTCAATGTCTATCTTTTTGAATAGATCTCACGCTTAGCCTGGTACACTTCGCCACCTTGGGTCAGGCAATAGTTTGGAGCGTTGGAGGCATCGACATGGTCCAGAAGTTCTGTGATTTTTGTCCTGGATATCTGAACCCCTTCTCTCTGGTCCGTGACGGGATTGCTGACCTGACGCGTGAGTCAACATTTTCCTAGGAGCTGAGTCCGACTTTACTTTCAGGCGCCAGACTTGCGGACCCTGCTCCGGATATTTATGAGCGTTGGCCCACGCTAGGCTCCATCTGCGAACGTGTCTTCGTGTCGAACAACTATGATGAGGTGGCGCATGTAGTTCGCTCCGAAAGCATGCACGGCCCCATCGCGGCGTACTTGTTCGTTATTATCATGGGGTAGTACGTGTATTTTGCTATTTGCTGCCTTTGCCTTTTGTCACTATGCTATTTCTTTCTCTCCTGTCACTCTTAGCACTATCTATCTGTTGTGTTGTAGTTGGCAGCACCTCCAATTTCACGAGGAGATTTCGGAGAATATCAACGAACGAGAAGGATTTTCAGGGTTAACGCGGTCTTTCATTCAGACACCTTTGACTATGTATGAAAATCCAATCGCGTTATCTGGAAGATCTGGTCACGGCAGTAGAAGGGAGGAAACCCCAGGACTAAGGTCTCCTGCTGGATGTGAGGGTGATAGGACAGTACACCGACGTCGTTGCCATTCACAACAACCAGCAGTTGCTGTTAGCCAAGACTTCCCTCATTCACTACCCCAAGCTCGAGAAGTGCCGACAAGATTAGTTCAAGCTGGCGAGAGCATTGAGAGATTCGTGGATTAGTCATGTTCGATCGATTAGCAGTCTGGTGGCCCCTCCTCGTGGTCTGACCATGTTCGAATCTTTATCGTTCAAGGAAGACCAAACTACTACGCATGGATTTCCAAGGTGTTTTCCGGCTGCAACAATTCGATTTGCTCATCATTTCGCTGAGCAAGCACGATTTCGGCAACAAGATGAAGACAGCGGTGGTCGGTTCTCTTGAGTTGGCTGCTCGTCTTCATCAGGAAATTGAGCGCCGGCGCCAGGCCACTGTTACCCTCGAATATTATGATCGAGTAGTATTGGCCGATGCCTTGCGTCTTATTGAGAAGACGACTTCCACTCCCTCCAAGACCACCAAGAGGAAGTAAATACAGTAAAGCGATCGCCTTCGGATATGTTCATGATAGTTTTTTTATTTCTATTTGTATGGCTTCGTTCTTGTCGTCCTATCTTCACTACAGTATCTGTCTACTAGAAATCACCTAAATTAAAAAAAAAAAAAAAAAAAAAAAAAAAAAAAAAAAACTGGTGTTCATGCACGCTATTTTGCATGTTGAATATACAAATTTTGAAAGAGAGTTTGATGATATGGACTTGGTAGATCGGTACTGGTTCTGGATTTGCGACAGAGATACGGTGACAATGAGTCGACATCGCGATCAAAGTACATTCGACAGCTTTGACGGCATTTTGACCGCCTCTTGTCGGACCCCAAGAACGCCATACACAGATCACGAGGGCACCGAGCACTGGTGTAGTATCCATGCATCCCGATCACAATGTGTTCCATAGCCTTTGTCTATCAGCAGTGTCAAGGAACAAATAGACAGATGAGAAAAAGTTGCATTGCAAATGAGAGATGGTGTGCCACCCTTTTTTTTCATATCTTGCTGACAAATTTCTTCTCAAGGGCGCAATGCTTGCTTGGCAGGCCAGTTTGCGAATCAAAAGAGCCCAACCCCATCGCAAACATCACTTTTACACCATCTTGCGAGCTCAGCGGTGACCAACAAAGTCCTTACTGACGGCAAGGTCAAGCAAGGCCGCAACTGCGTAGTCATACGTTGCCTGTTGAGCCTTTTGAAGATCCCAGCGCTTCCTTAGCATCCATTGACTGTTGTAAAAGTTAAAAAGGCGGACTCTCATGGTGGTTGCGGCGGTGCCGTCCGTGCCAGGCGCCTCCAGATACGTCAGATACTCCTCGATCTTCTCCGCGGTAAATGAGGGCAGTATTACCTCAAGGACATCAATGCGTGCCGCGGCCTTCTGCTTTTCTAGGAGACACTTGAAGAGCATATAAGGCCTATAGAGAAATGCCCTGTGGATCCGTAAAGACTCTCTTTTCGTGGGTAAGGCGGCGGGGTCGATTCTTGTCGCTGTCATTGTGTAAACCTCACCCGGGTCAATGCCGATGGCCACAGTATCGCCTGGTGGACAAGCACCAGGTGAGTTGAAGCACACCTCCACGTTTTCCAGAACCTTTGATCTTCGCCTCTAGTTGGTGGTGTTGCGTATGACATCGATCGTATCTGCGCCTGACGCTGGACCAGATGAGGCTTCTGAGCCGGGTAAGGACGAAGTAGTCGCAGTAGGGTCTGCGGGTGACAGTTGATGTATCGGCAGCCTCTGCTGCTTTGAACTTTCTGGCAGCGAAAACGGGAGCGTGATGCGTTTCTTCTTGACGGATCCTGCCACTACTGCGGCCGGATCTCTGCCAGGGTCGTCCCCTCCACTTTCAAGAAACGCGTCGTCGAGGTCATAGTCACCGTTAACATCGTAGAACAGGGTCAAATCATCGTCGTCGTCGTCATGTTCTCCTTCATCATCGTCATCACCCTTAATGTTTTGGCGGGATGCTCGGCGTCGCGCTGTCGTTGTGCCATGCGTAAGAAGATGCAACACTAGTCCGTTCGTGCAGATGATGCCCCGAAACTTGAACCTTGTGTAGTGCTGTCTGTCACTCTGAAACGAAACCTTCCTGTAATACCGTCAAAGAGCGTTGCCGGGTCCAGTCAGTATAGCAGCTTCTCGATGAGGATCCCTTTCTTGCCGACGACCTTGGCTTCTGCAGCGCTGGCTGTTGTATCGCTCAGCATTCGGACTATAATCGGCCGCGTCTTATCGCTTGTATAGAATAAATGGACAAGGTTTGCCTCTGACAGGAACACGAAGCCAGCTGCAAACTTTGCCTTGACAAAGTCTGCAAACATGCGCTTCGCAGTATTCTTTTCGAAGAAGTAGTCGATCGGATTGACAGTTCCGGGGCGCTCTTAGTTCTCGGAAAACTATTAAAGAAAGTTGAAGAGCTAATGGTCAACACTAGTGCTCCGAAAAGCAAGGAACATAACGGCTACATCTTGCACACTCTTTAATATACCTTTGCGCCATATTAATGGACTCGCACTGCATTGTAGACTGCCGCAACAGCAAGCCTCGAGGTCATCGAAGGGAACATCTCTGGTTCATGTCGGCGAAAGGGGACAAAGCCGGCGAGCGTCGTGTACGCATCAAAGACACGTCGGGCATGGGTGGCTGTTGGTTGTGCTTGTGCTTGTGCCTGTACTTGTGGTTGCGGGACAGCAGGGACCAATGGCGTATTTCGAGTGCTCATCCTGCGCGCAGGGGCAACCGATACTTGAACAACCTGAGAATCTCGTCCTTCTTGACTACTGCAGAAGAGTGTGTTGAGTGCAAAGTAGAAGGCCTTGCTGTCGAGAATGTCTGCAATGTCCTCCTTCCGCTGTGCCACATCTGTCGCTGTGTCTTTAGAACGAACAAGCCGCGCGATATCCAGGGCAATGGCCTCGTACATATGCATCTGGATCTTGTTAAGGAATGTAGCCGTTGAACGTAGCCTGTCTGAAAGGAGCTTGCTTTCTGCAACCAAGATCGAATCCATTGGCTTTATGTTGGCCTGGATATTCCCTACAGTGAGTGCCTTGGCTATATGCAGCTTGCGGAGGCGGCGGTCCGCGGCAGTTGCAGAAGCGCGCCTTGGGTTCGATGGGTCGGCGGAGCCCACCCCTTTCCGTTTCCTCGGCAGTGCCCCCTTCTTCCTCTTTTTCTTGTTCTTTTTCTTCACGACTGCCTTCGGAGTCTTGACACGGGGCTTTGCTTTTGGCTGTGGGCGATCGTGAGGTACGGCAGTCGAGAAGTCAATCGATTGTCGTGGTAGGATCGATTTCTTGTCTGAAAAGATTGGCCGGAACTGATTACGCTTTGAGTTCCTCGCAACGCCGAAGGGAACCGCACTAGTAAGTGCACGCATGCATCGCCATGTAAAAGGTGTTAGAGAACTTGATGTCTGTACAACACGTGCGTGAATGAAGCGGTGTCGCACTTAAATTACCTTCTACTCGCATGCTGATATGCAGCGACGGCAAATCGCTGCAGCTTGAGGTGCCGGAACTGCGGTGATGCAATGTTGAAATCAAAGCTGAGCATGTCCTCATCGGCAGCCTCATCTCCTGGCTGCAGTTGGAGCGCTTTCTCCTCGAGACCCAAAAAGATGAGTTCCGATGGCTTGAATCGGGTCTGGTCGATAGAGTTGCGGGTCTTGATGGCTGCCATGAATATGTAAGCACGAGCATCTGGCGGATATCAGGCGACTGGGGAAGAGCGCGGATGATCTCCAGGTTGCAAATTATTCCAAGGCCGCAAATGTTCTCGGTATAGTCGTTCTTGGACACGATACCCAGCTGCGTCACATAGTCTGTGTTGGGTGAAAGGTATGACTGTGTTCAGAATCAATGAGAACAAGAGAGGAATCTTTAATTACAGCGACCAAGCAATTACTTATTGCTTGGTGGCTTAAGTTAATATCTGGACTCAGTCCAGCTATCGCACACAGAGGCAGTGTGTAAAATAGGCGACATTCCATAATGGGAACCTGGAGTGCATTGGTAACACTCTCTTTGGTGAACGCATAGACCAGGCTGTGGAAGATCGGCCGCAAAACCTTGGTGATCGACGGATATATCAACTGATCGGAGTCGGCTGATACCATGAAGCGGTCGGTTGCCCGGGCCAGTCTGCGTGCAGACAGAAAACCCCTTTTCTCGTAAGGCATCCCGGAGTGTCAGCTTGGCAGCCGTATCAAATCTGTATACATCATGAAGGCCCTTCTTGATCTTCGTCACCATGCTCTTCGGGGCCCTGTCGCTTACTACGACATGATCGGTCGACACTTGGCAACGCGCGCGAGCGTTACACAGAAACAAATAAGATATCCATAGTTCCGTACCTGTTTGTCCCCCATCTAGTAACTTGAATACACTCCTGCGCTTCCTCTGACTTTGCTTCCTAGAAACCATATCACCCTCCCTTGATTTGTTCCGCCTTGCTTAGAAAAGGTCATTCTGACTCTGAATAAGCATAGGTTCATTACAGATCCATTGGCTGTTCGACGACTTCGCGCCCATGACTTTCAAGTTCGCCTTCAACGTCTTGAGGTCCGCTGTCAGTCTGTTCCTTCGCCTGATATGCTCATTCCGCTCCTGCTGGGATGGGACGCCATCGATGTGAATCGAACATTGCGCAGGGGTAAAGTCCTCCTCCAAACGCGCTGCCATCGTAAAATCGACAGTTCGGACCTTGCTTGGGTCGTAATCATCCGTTATCTAGCGAGCGAGGGGTCCATAAAACGCATCGAAGAGATCAACCTCAACAGCTTGGTTCTGATAATCCTGGGGATCCGCGGCAACTAGATCCAAACCGCGCTTCTTCAGAGTATTATTTGAAGCCTCTTATGCCCATCCTATGATCACTGTGGTGGATTGATAGCTTAGCAGTGTTAGTGAAACCTTCTCGTAAGGACGCTGAAGATATGGAAGAGTAGGCTTAGAGGGTACATTACCTTTTCTACAGGCGTATGGTATCTAGCGTGAAGGTGTATATGGATGGTAAACTATGGGCGAAGAGCGGTGAGGTGAAAGGATGACGAACGAAAGGTAAAGAAAAAGGTGCTGTTGTGGTGTCGCGAATAGAAAAGTGTGACGAAGAGGGCTGTGAAGTGTGTGACATAATGCTTATAGGCGAGAAGTAATGTCTGCTTGTCCACAATAAAAAAGGCTTTGATAAGGAGTCGCCACACTGATGGATGCTGGCCTCTTGACACGAAGCGCGATCATTGTTGTACAAGTAGCTTTGCCACGGCCTGACACAGATATACACCCACATCGCCACCATCGCTGTTTCCAACGTACGCGAGGCAGGCGCAAATCCAGGTCGCTGGCGATGCAACGCAGGGTAGGGAAATCAGTCAAGTAACGCGGTCAACCTTCAAAGTTTGAAGGACGAAATCCTATGGGAACTTTTGTTCGACGGTGGTCTGGGATGAGTACCAAGAGTTCCAAGAAGCCAGAAAGCAGCTAGGACGCGGACTCAAATTGGAGAGGAAAACAAAAGGCCGCACTCGATCATAGCAGGACCTCCTAGTAACACCATCGAGGAGGCAATACGCAAATTCGAGGGTGAGAAACAAAAAAAACGGCTTTGACGCGATCAACAAGTTGGTGTCACGGATAGCACCAGAGTCCTCGCCAAAAAGTCGTAACCCCACCCTTTGAGCCCACAAAAAGTCATAACCCTTATATAATGGCCCGACTCAAATCAAGGAAGATAAAAATTTCCCCTATGCTTTTTGTGTTTGCATTTGTGGAGGTCGGCATGAATCCCATGCATAAAATTTCTATTTTTTTATCTTCCCTTGATTTTGAGTCGTGCCATTTTGTCTTCACTTCCGAAACTCTGCGATCCTATATAATAGTTCCAGGAGCAAGGCCCCAAGCAGCGCCATAAAGACCAGATTGCTAATAGTACTTGATGCATGAGGAATATCAAAGAAATAGTAACATTGTCTCCGACCAGCACGCAAAACGCGTGGGTTCTTCAATTGAAGCAATGGGATGTAAAATGTTGCGAACGTGCTTGAAGGCTCTTTGGCCCCTAAGCATTTTTTTTTAATAGCGCCGTTAAAAATTCCTAATTCTCTTTCTCTTTCTCTCTATTTTGGGAACGACGATATCATTGCAAAGGCAAACGCTGGTCCAAAGGATTATGGGAGTTTGAATATAATTCCTTCAATGATAGGGTTCCCATTTTCCTCTCCTCGTATCATCTTTTGACTCCATTTTCTGCTCTTTGTTTATACGCTAGGCTATAAAATCTATTAACAGGAGCTGAAGCGAGCATAGCAGCACGACCAAGAGCAGCTCAATATTCGTATGTAGCGCACCTTCTCTCCCGCTGTTGTTCACTTTTAAGTTGACAGCAAAGCAGAGGCGTATTCATCAGTGAATAATAGGAAATGGGCACATTTTTCCATTAGAGCCACGAAGTCGTATTCAAGGTTTGGGTCTTGGCCAATTAAAATTAATATTCCCTATCCTTTCTTCTTTTTGGAGGAGAAAGGCTTGACACCCTCTTTCCTCACAAACCACCATTGAAAACGTTTATCCAAATTAGGGCTGAAGACATTCTTCAGGTCATTATTCAGTGATGAATACACCTCAGATATACTGCATACCGGGGGCGGAATGAGCACCACAAATCGAGACGTCCCATTTGAGGCCTTTTTCGACGCCATCCTAAGGCTCCAACACATTCTTGCAACATTGGTTTTTGACGTCCTCGTGAGCAAGTTGACAGGCGGTAGCCTCACCAAGTTATTTACGGGTTTTAGTCAGGGGATATAGACAAAATCCTTGTTTTGCGCCCGAATGGATAGAAGAATTGGGGTGCACGACTCACATGTTGGATGCTGCCACGAGAGAGAGATTGCTCGCAGTTCACATGCACACACATAACTGGTGACCATCATCCAACATCCACCTACCTGCAAGCGACGCAATACCCCTCGGAACCGTCATAATTGTCTCGTGGACATCTACAGTACGGCTGTATCATTATCAATGGAAATTTCCAAAATTCTTCTTTTTGTACACTCTGTGCTCACAGAAAACATTCTTCCGTGTTTGGGCAAGAGACCAAAAAAATTAAACTCCGCGAGATACACGACGCATCTCTTTTCACACGCCTTCCTCTCCACAGCACAAACATGAAATGTAAATTTATGCGCTACATGCCAATCCAGATATGTGAGCCCCCTTCGCCCTCTATCTCTGAGATCGACTTTGCTTAATCGATACAGCGCCAGAAAAACAAAAAAAAAATGAGGGCAAAGTGGCATGTCTCACAAACAATCGTATTGTTTTCTTCTGTATTTGCACATGCCTGTGGTGCTTGCTTGGCATATCACTTTATTCGCCCTGACTGAGTGTTCTTTTGCGATGCGTTTGTCGTGTGTAGTGCTGATACCTTCTCTGTCTTTTTTTGGTCAACGAAGAGACAGTAAAACTTTCCATGGTCGGCTGGTTTTACAAGGCAGCATTGTTTATGTATCGCCATGGGGAACATACTCAGGTGGCAACGTTACGATGGTTAAAAACAAAACCAATAAGAGAAAAAGAGCGATAGAAAGAGAGAGGGAGGGAGTGATGGAAGAAGAGGGGAAGGGGAGGACGTTGGAGAGAATGGCTGATAGATTCATAGTATACCAGGCACCAAAAAGTTACCGAAAAGTAGATGGAGATGCGGTGTGGGTGAATAGACTACGCGGAGTCCATCACTTTTCGCCCTCCACAACGTACAGTACATGTACACTTTAATCGATATATTAAGGTTCGCTGAATAAACGACATCTTTCGGTAGTCTGCTTGCAGTTTAGTATCTTTCTATCCCCCACATACTGCACGCAGTCCAATCAATGCAATGCGCAGACACTATAGGAAAATACAGAATGACAAACCAAGATTAGCCTCTCAGCAAATTCGATCTTCAGTCTTTTAAGTTCATTTACAACCCTTTCAACACGGCCCATGCGATACACGTGATGCACTCTACACCTTCCTCCTCCTCGAGCCCCTTCTGGCGTTAGTCTATGGGCGAAAATCTGCGTCAACAACATATCAACTGTTTGTGTCCAAAAATGAAAGAGGAGATGTAGGCCAAGTGGCATTTTATTTTTTTTGTGTCCAAAAAGTATAGGCAGAACGATTTAGAGGACAATTGTACACTGAGATGCACTCCATGATTGGTTTTCTTTTACGCATTACATGCACAGCAAGGCGTTCATGCTGGCGGGCTCCTAGCCATGTATGCGTGTGTGTATACTTCGGAAGCTATTGGCTTAAAGAAAACTAGGAGAGCAACTTACCTTCACCTATATAAGGCCATAGTATCCGCCCACACCTACCTGGTTGTTTCGCTCCGTCGACTGAACCTCCTCCTTTGGTGTCCATCTAGCCCTAGTCCGCCCCTTCTCCCATCCTATCCAAATCCACGTCCGGCTCCGCCCTCCTTCCAGACGTTCACCTTCCCCCTCACACCTCTCCTCCACGACTTGACACGTTTCCTTCCGCCACCGCCTACCCTTGCACCACTAACGCCTCCCACCATAAGAAATGGCCTTCGACATCCGCGACGAAGACGAGCCTCATGATGAGTTCGACGAGTATGAGGAAGTGAAGCAGCCGGAACGTCCAAAGTTCTATCGCCGCAAAAAGTTCTGGATGTTCTGCATCCCCAACGCGATCATTGCGCTCATCATTGCCGTGGTGCTGGCGCTCTATGTGATTATGCCCAAGATTGCACAGGGTCTCATGAACAAGGCCACCATCAACTTTTCGCAGCTTGTAAGTCCATTGCCTGCTCCTACTGTCTTTCTGTCTGTTTCTATCCAATTCAATATACTTTTCTGCGCCTCTCGGCACTTTTCTGCGCTTCCCACCATATACCCCCACACATCTCTGCTTCATCTTTCACACCGCGAAAAAAACACACATGTAGTACATACGCTCCTGTGTGCACTGCTAGGTCGTACGCGGCTGTTGGCTGAAACGTATCTGACGCATCCAACGCATCCAACGCATTTAACGCATCTAACGCATTTAATACATCTGTGCCTGCATGTACCGTGCATGCCATGAATCTGCTCTGTAACTCTACAGGACATCACCGACCCCTCGCCCACATCCATGAACGTGGTGATGCAGGGCGAGATGCGCAACACCGGACCCTTCCATGCCGACATCAGCTTCCCTGGGACTGTCACTGTCTCCTGGAACGGCATTGTGCTCGGCACTACCGAGATCCCTGGCACCAGCACTGCTTCGTACGTATCTGTGCAATACCAGCTGTGTATCTGCTGAATGATTTGCGGGCCGATGATGCTCTCGGTCTGCTCGCTGTATCTCACCCTGTATTCTCTCTATCTCTCTATCCCTCGTTATCTCGCTATCTCGCTACCTTGCTGCTTTGCTATCTCGCTCCCGGCTTCTCCACTCGTCCCTCCCGACAGTGGCGGTCATGGCGACTTGAACCTGCAGAGCAGTGTCACCATCACTAACTCGAGCGGCTTCGCAGAGTTCTCGAGCTACATGCTCAATGCCGAGTCCTTTGTCTGGCACCTCGAGGGTAAGCTGAACGTCAAGGCTCTCGGCCACACCGTCAAGGACCTCGACCTGAACAAGGACATCACTGTGAAAGGTAAGCACCCGTATGGACATGCATCCGAGCAGCTACTCGAGCATGCACTCAAGCATGCACTCGAGCATGCATCCGAGCTGCTATCTGTGCACTCTGTTATTGTCTCTTCACGCAGACGTGCATGTTCTTGACATCTGCCACGATGCCTAACCCTCAATTGTCTGCACCTCCTTTTGACCTCCCCAGCGTTCAACGGTCTGCCCGGTACAACTATCCAAAAGTTCTCCCTCCCCGGCGACGACCCCTCCGGCAACGGCATCATCATCGAGATCGACACCCTCGTCACCAACCCCTCCGCCATCCAGATGTACATGGGCAGCTTGACCTTGGCCATCTCGTATAAGAACACGGTCATGGGATATGTCACTGCCAACAACCTGACCATGGCCCGCGGCCCGCAGACGCTGAGCATGAAGGGCGTGCTGATCCCCCAGGCCACGGTCGAGGGTCTCGCAGACACCTCGGAGATGATGTCCCGCTACATCGGCAATGCCGTGACGGACACCATTGCCACTGGCTACGAGGTCAAGCCTGACGGCGTCAACTCGGTCGACTGGCTGTCTGCGGCAATCAAGAACCTGAAGCTGACGGTCCCGCTCCAGAGCCCGACGCCACTGCAGCTGATCAAAGCCCTGAACCTCGGGGCCCTGGGTCTGACCTTCACTCCTCCGACCGCGTACCAACCCGTGACGACCTCGACCGGTGTCCTGGCCAACTACACGCTCCCCGACGGCTTTGGGTTCAACATCCAGTTCACTCAGGTCGCCAACGAGCTGGCCCTCAGCCGCAACAACATCACCATTGCCAACCTCAACTCGTCCTACAACCCCTCGACCTCGAACATGGCTGCGGGCACCCTCAACTTTAACCTGCTGGCCACTCCTCTGCTCGTCCCCGAGGACGCCCACCAGGCCTTTCAGGAGTTCAACCGCGACCTGACTGTCGGCGCCAATCTGCCGTTCAATGTCGTGGGCAAGGCCTCGGTCTTTGCCAACACCTCCATCGGTGTCGTCAACCTCGTCAACATCCCGCTCAACGCCACGACCGAGCTTAGCGGTCTGCAGAGCCTTGCCAATCCTGCACCGACCATCACGGCCCTCCAGGTGGTGTCCGGCACCGCCACGGACCTGACCATGGCCATCACCGTCGTGATCGTGAACCCGTCGTCGATCTCGCTGAATGCGGGTGACATTGTGCTTGACCTGATGTACAAGGGTGTCCGTCTCGGAACAGTGACCATGCCAAACCTGGCTATTGTCCCCGGCGCCAACACTGTCGAGGCCTCGTCCACGATCAATCCCGCAGCCTCACCCGAGGGCATGGAGCTGCTGACCCTGTACACCAGCGGCGCCGGTGCCGAGGTCAGCATTGCAGGCACCCCCACCAGCACCACTGTCGATTCGCTGACCCTGGCCTTTGGCGCACTCAACATCGGCACACAGATGCCTGGGCTGCAGTCCAAGTTGCTGGCAGGAGCCTCGCTGGTTGTGCTCGACACCACCCTCGCCAACGGCATCGCCCAGACCGTGGTCACGGTCAACAACCCGTTCGTCCCAGCCATGAGCATCCTGTCCATCGACTCCAAGATCACCTACAACGGCGCCTCGCTCGGCACCGTGGTGTCAACCTTCAGCTCGCCCCCCGTCATCCCCGGCACTGGTCAGGGCACCATCACTGCCAGCCTCGCCATGAACACCGACCCACACGACCTCGTCACCCTGATCCGCGCCCAGGCCGTCAAGAACGGCATCAACACCGACGCCTTTGACGGCCTGCTCTCGCTCCAGCAGGGCGGCAACCCTCCCGCCAGCCTCTTCGACGGCTTCAACGTCGCCGACTTCACCATCAAGGCCATGGCCGGCCTCAGCGTCGACATCGAGATGACCACCACCGTCAAGCTGGGCGACTACCAGGTCACGATCCCCTACACCCAGACAGGCGTCCCCACCGCCACGGACCAGACCATCCTCAAGCTCATCCCCATCGTCGGCACCCCCATCGCCCAGCTCCTCGTCGAGCGCTCCGTCCTCGGCTTTGACTCTATCAAGATCCTCAACCCCACCGACACCAACTTCCAGACCGACATTATCGGTGCCATCACCGACACTGGCCCACTGGATGCCCAGATCCAGTTCCCCAACCCCGTCACCATCTCGTTTGACGGCAAGCCAATTGGAACAATGATGATGCCGACGGTGGACGCGGTCGCCAACAAGGGTGCGCCACTGAACCTGGCTGCCGTGCCCTTCATCATCACCGACCTCGCAGCCTTCACAGACTTCAATGTCTATGCGCTCAACAACGAGAAGTTCGACTGGACGATCTCGACCGAGGGCCTGGTTGTCAATGCCATGGGCACCTCGCTCCCCGGCGTGACCATGACCAAGAAGGTGACGCTCGACGGCTTCAACAAGCTGCAGGGCCTGGAGCTGTCGAGCTACATCATCAACACCATCGACGCCGACGGTCTGCACATGGTCATCAGCGCCTCGCTCGCCAACCCCTCGACCATCGGCCTGACCATCCCGGTCTCGAACTTCGACACTGGCTTCCACGGCAAGGTGCTCGGACCAGCTGTGGCCGAGGGCCTGACGCTGCTCCCGCACGGCAACTCGAGCTTTGCACTGAAGGCGACCATCTCGTCAGCCAACGGTGACCTGAGGCCATACCTGGCTGCCATCTTCCAGAACGCGCTCGGCGGTACTGCGACACCGCTCGATGCTACCGGAACGGGCGCACCCGGCCTCTCATGGCTGGATGCGGCAATCAAGTCGCTGGTGCTGCATACCAGCCTCCCACCTCTGACGGAGCCGCCAATCGAGTCGGTGGCCATCGACGCCATGTCCATGGACTTTTCCTGCGACTCGTGCGTGTGGTCTCCGACCGCCATCTCGACCATCACGGCCAAGACGAACCTCCCCTTCGCAAACGGTGCGCCGATTGTCCAGCTCAGCCAGAACGTCGAGATCCTGGACAAGGATGGTCAAGTGGTCGGAGTCCTCAGCACTCCCTATGCTCCAGCCACCACATCCGGCAACACGGTGACATCCACGGCCCCTTCTGCGCCACTGGTTGTTGCTGATGGTTCGCACGAGATCTACTCTGCCTTCATCGGAGACCTCAACATGGCCACGACCTATGAGCTTGGGCTTCGCGGAACAGCCGACTCGATCCTGGATCTCGGCGCACTTGGTCAGGTCGAAGTCAAGGGCATCAAGTTGGACGTCAAGACATCGATGGCTGGCCTCCAAGGACTGCAGAAGATCGAATATGTTACCAATCTGGGCTACGACTTTATTGGGGGTATCACCTCCACGCTCCTGGTTAACATTGTCAATCCCAGCAAGCTGACCCTCAATATTGGAGATTTGACTTTGAAGATGGGCAAAGACACCACAGATGCAGGCTTTGCTGGCTACTCGCAAATCACCGACTTGATATTGGTCCCTGGAGACAATCTGATCCAGGCTGTGGCCGCTATCGATAATACATTACCTGGTGGATCTGAACTGGCGACTGAACTCTCCTACCAAAACACGACGGTCACCATGTACGGCTTCCCTGGGGTCAGCAAGAACCCTGCCCTGGCTGCTGGATTGCAAAGTCTTGTTACTCAGACTGTCATCCCCGCGGGGTTGGAAACGTTCCAGAACGCTCCTCCCTACAGCGCGACCTGGAAGATCAAAGTTCCGCCAACTGCAGTAAACGATGGCATGATCGAGATCACGACTACCTTCAGCAACCCTTATTTCTCCTTGCCACTCCACATGCTCCTTCCTGTCTCCGATCCAGCTGTGTACACGGGCACGGATCCCAGCCACATTGAGGTTCCCATGGGCAACGGCGGCACCCCAAACCGAATATTCGATTTCCTGAACAACTTCAAGTTCGATCTGGCTCCCAATTCCTCAACCACCATCACGATGCAGCTGCAGTTATCGACGATCGGTATGAACGGAACACCTAGGAGCTACGTGGAGGGGGTGGTTGAGCAATCCAAATCCGGAACCGTTCCGATCTACGTGATGCTTTTACCTGAATGTACCCTGGGCAAAGACCCCCGTAAGTTCCAAGGCTACTGGGCTTCGGACACTATCTACCCTGACCTCACCTTCTTGACGCTTGAGACCGGACCGGACTTTGCGCTGATTCTTGACTGGTTCGATAAGAAGTACCCACCAATGCCTTTGATCGCAACCAACCCAGTCTCAGGGGTTATTTCGCCAACGGTGTCCCCCAGCGTAGTCTTGCCCACGTCGACCGTTACTGCCCCGACGGACTCCTCCTCGACGACCCCATCTACGACTGCGTCAGCAGCACCCAGTTCCGAGCCAACGCCGACAATGACAACGACAACGACAACGACAACGACAACGACAACGACTGGCACCCCAAGCCCGGTGACGAACCCAACACCTGCGCCATGATCTGGAACTAGGACATCTTTTTAATATAACCCCGCAGTTATCATCGCCATCATCAGCTACTCTAATTACGCGCAATGTTAATCCAGCATTGGATAATTATTTTCAATGCCATAATACCAATATAAAGACTTGATTTTTCCTGCTTGAAGGTAATGTGCTGCTAAGATGCTTGCTGGACTGGCGAGAGGACTACTGTGTAACTCGCCCCATGAAGGAAAGGAATGAAGCAAAGTTGGCGCAGTGGGACGGGTCTCCGGAGATTGGTCTGTGCGCAGGGCTCCCACCTGTCGGTGATCCATGGCCATCAATCCGTCTATCCCCTTCCCCCTCTCTTCACCGCTGTGCTATAAGCATCACTAAGAAGATGGTGTCCATTGCTTACAAAGCGGCTCAAACGATGCTGTATCATGGCGTGATTCCTAGAAGGAGGAACACGGTGCCCAATGGACTGAGCCGGAAGAGGCCTGGAACTAACCTGCAGATCATCTTTCATCTTTCATCTCTCATCCCTCATCCCTTTCGTCACTACATGTTGTCACAATGAGCACTCGTCCTCCAACAACCCACGCTCTCGAGATCAACGAGATCCTCTTCCTGGTCGGTAATTTTATACAACAGGCTGACCTCAAATCCTGCTCGCTCGTTAGCCGGCGATGGCACCTCATCTTTGCCTCGCACTACTGGTGGACGATCCTCATGGATTTCTCAGCCCTGCACGAACGCAAGTTTTCCACATACGAGAATATCAAACTCGGACGACTCGAACAGCTGCACTATGAGGAGTCAAAGCAGCCGTCCCTGCATATTGACTATGCAAAGGAGGGGAGGCGCATGGACAAGGAGTTCTATCGCGCCCTTTGCGATGCCGCTCTGAGGCGCGCGCAAAAGGTGGATTGCGTGTTGTCCAAGGAGATCGCGATGGAGTCCTTTTTGGGTCTGATGCTGCTCGCAGGCAGGCGCTACGATCTCAGAAGACTGATCTTTGTGAAGCATTATGATGTCGCGAATATGGAACAGCACCTGATTCAGGTCCCTTCTTCGGCTCTTCCGGATGGTACCCCTGCGAACGACACCGAAGAATTCCTGTCACTCGGGCCGACGACCCAGGAAGCGGTGGATCTCGCCGTTAGGATCATTGAGCAGAACCGGGATTTGGAGGTGCTGCGGTTCGGCGAATTCTTGCCAGAGTTGGTATGTCGGTGGACCAGGACGGAGTTGCGGATGGATCATCTTATCAACGCAGCATTGGCAGGACGTTCCATTCGCCCGCAGCATCCCAACATGGACTCGACACTCTCCTCGCTGCATCAGTCCTCGATATATCAACAACGGTGGCCAAAATTGACGAATGTGCACCTGCAGGACTGTACGCTCCACGGAGATTTTCTTCGGATCTTGTTACTCAATGCCCCAGTACTCGAACGGCTATGGGTGCAAAACATCGTCTGCGATACGAGACTCGTTACAGTTCTCCCTTTGTCGCTTGAGTATCATTACGACTCATCATCCGGCTTGTCGATCATTGGAGTGAATGTTGGCCTGAAACTCAAAACACTCGGTATCTGCAGCGTCATCGGCCTCCCTCTCAGTTATCAACTACAAATCGCAAAGCAGTTCCCGAACCTCGAATCGCTGACCTTGACTCTAGTCCGGACCTGCGATATCACACTGAACCATCTGGCATCATCAGCGTCCTCGCCCCCTCCGAGCACTTCCTCATCTTTCGGTGCTACAAATATTAATGGTACTGGCGAGCCTACGATCGCGTTCCAACCTCTGCATAAACTGAACCTGATCTTCCCTCAAGTGGCATCAAACAACAACGGCGACCCTACGGCTCCATCAACTTACAGGATCGCGCACATCCTTGCCTCGCTCCCATCAACACAGCTGCATGATCTTTCCATCTATGCCTCAGAGTTTCAACTGGGCGATTTCACAAAGCTGCTACGATTACACGCGCAATGGCTGCAGAACATCGAGATCGAGAACTCTACAGGGGTCTCGGGGATGGAAATCCTCAGTCTGTTACAAGTTTGTCCGTCGCTACGGAAGCTGCACGCGCCCAGTGTTCAGATCGAGTACTTTAAAACTCCGTATGATCTGCAACAGGAATGGGTCTGCGGCGCGACGTTACAGAGTCTGACCATATCAGTAGAGTGTTCATCAACGGTAGAGAAATCCATCGTTGCGGCCATTGACGCCTGGTCATCCGGTGCTTCTTACGCCTGCGTCCATTTCTCCTCTCATGGCGATAATGCTCACAACATCCATTCGGAGCCGCCATGTCTGATCCGCCAATTCCAGTTCCTAGACAAGCTCGCGACGCTCACGCGCCTGCAGAATTTAAATCTGGTCTGCTCAAAGGAAGGAACTTGTCTGGAACTTTCGCTAAAGACAGGATTAGGACGTCTAGCACCGTTAAAGCAGCTTCAGGTGCTGGATGTCCGGACAAGGGAAGAACGAGATGCGGTTGCGGCCGCCGTCGCACAGACAGCTTCGCATGGACAGCGTCAACGGACAGCAGCGTGGCTTTGTCGCGAAGGTATGTTCGAGTCTCGGATCTGTCGTAAGTTGACAGACATCGAGGCCATTTGGATGGCGAGGGAGTGGCCAGAGCTGAGAAGGGTTCGCGGGCTCGGAAAAGCTGAGTATGAGCAAGGTCGGCCGCAGGAGGAACAGATAAACCGACCAAGTGTGTTTGGGCCGACTTTGAGGGCATTGCGACCAGATATTGAGACTCGTTAAAGGATGTGCTCGCCTCAGGCCTCATGTAAAGCGCCAAGCAGACGCGGCCTTTTTATTTTTGCAGAACATCATCATCGGAAGTATTGTCCTTTATTTATTTATTTGCATTTCACTCTTTCAAAACGTTTTCTTTTATTAGCAATAAGTAAAGCCGAGAAGAAAAAGATAGGAATGATTACAGCTGACGTACAAGAGAATGACAAATGGATAACTGAATGCTGGAATAAAAAGAACAGGGAAGAGAAGACATATTATGCAGAGGCATTAATGAACTGGCGCACCGAAAAGAAGCCTCGCGGAGAAAATAGTCCAAGCACAATGTCAATTTATATGCTCAGGGCCGCCTCTGGTGCTGCTGCTGATGCTGTGGCCTCTGGTGCTGCTGCTGATGCTGTGGCCTCTGCTGCTGTTGGTGGTGCTGATGAGCTGCTTGCTGGAACGCTTGCGGTGGTGGCGGTGGTGGCGGTCCATGTGTCTGGGAAGCAGGGCTCCAGCTCTGGTAACTCTGCTGCTGTTCCTGTTGCAACGATCCGCCGCTGGCTACGCCCTTTGTGGCATACGGAGACTGATTCGCCGCTGACGGTGAGGACATGATGGGCGACGATCTAGTCGATTCACTAGAGCCGCCAACAGCATGGCGCAAAGGGGGACCGCCCTGTTTTGGAGATAAACCCGCATAGCCAGTTTCTGCAGATGAATGTGGGTGCTGCTGCGATGGTGCCTGTTGCTGTTGGTGAAATTGTCCCGGGAATGATTGTTGGTATCCATACGATGATCCACGTTGGTCGTGCGCATGCTGTTGCCATGTGTCCACAAAGGAAGATGACTGATAACGACCGTTCGGTGATGGATAGGGTTGCTGCCGTTGTGGCGAGCGTGTGGCTGAGGTGCGTTCCACGAGTCCAGAGTATGGCGATGACGAGGCGGATGTCCGTGGAACAATGACCGGTACACTCTCCGATAAGCCTGCTGCTCCTGATGACGGTGATGATGATGGCGCTGATAATGGAGACGATGACCCACTTAGCCTTGGGGACTCAATTGCATTTTTTATAGATGTTGCGGTTGGAAATGAGATCTGTTGCGGATACCGCTGTTGATTTGAGGTGATAGTGGGCGAATTGGATTGCTGGGGAGTGTTTGCGGCGGTCACTGCTGGCTGGGAAGCTTCGATCGTGGAGAGCAACCCAGGTTCTGGTTCCAGCGGTAGAAGACTCTTTAGGCGGCGATTGATTTCCAGGAAAGTTGAGTTGAACAAGTAGAGCAGTTGATCTGCCAGTCTCTCAATTGGCCTCCCTAGCGGTGCGCAAATAATTACAGCGTTAATAAGTGCACCATTCGCTCAATTCGCATACCGAAGACAATAAGTAGCCATAGCTCCAATGGTTACCTGACCGCACGACGTTACCAATACGGTTTTCCACTTTTTGGTCCACCTTATCCCACACAGGGTGATTGTCCGCCACAACCACGAACGAATTCTGCATATACCAAGCCGACAATCGCCTGGTCACCACTGGCAAAGGCTCATCTCCACCAGGGATCAGGACCACACACGACACAGTCGCCATGACGTCCTTCTGTCGCTGGTTCATAAACGAAACCAAACTGTGGCATCCAAATCCAGCACCCAACAAGACGATGCGTCGCGTCCCTGCGGCAAGCATGCCAAAGTTGTCCCAGATATCCGTCAAAAGATCTGTAACCTTTTCTTTGAGGGTGATCCGTTCTTCCTCCGTTGCTGGTTGATGAGGTACGACAATGTCGATCAGTTCATTACCCCCAGAGACGATTTTGTCCACATACTCGGCCACAGAGTCAATAAGAACGGTCTTATCTGGCCGGATGATGTTGCTCGCGCCCATTGTCCGTGCGCAGAAATCGCCACTAAAAATGACAAGAGGCGAAGAATAAAGTTTTAAGGTTAGTCTCACCTTGATATGGGGCTCCTTCATTTCTTGTATCCGCGTCGTTTGCCAGCTGTATTTTTGCATACATTCCGTGGATGAAAACATAGAGAGGCTTACTGCTGTGGCACATTGTGGGTCTAGAAAAAAGAAAAGCAAAAAGAAATGATCAACCTGGATATTCTGCAGCGGTGCCCATTATGCCAAATCCTAGCAGTCCGTGCCTGAACGTACGTTGCGTGCACACTGTCCAAAAACTCCGTGACATAGGACGGATTCGTCAATGGCAGCTTCAACATCTTGTGGCGCTTGTACAGGAACTCTGTTCTGTACACACTGAGAACCTTAGCGAGTTCAACCACCATCGTACCTTCTTTTGCATCTAAGCAGGGGTAAGATGAAGTAACCAATAGAGGTGTCAGCACTCATGTCCAAAGAGGCGATTGCGCGGTCAACAAATAGCTTATTCTTGGGACCACTCCGTTTACCCTGCAGCGGATCGATGCACATCGGCGTAATGCTCTTCCAATACCGCGACTGAATTTCCATGACCTCGTGAATTGTTTGCACGCATACATCATTGGGAATAGCCGGCTTTAGAGCCTCGATCGGATCGCTAAGTAATGCTTTTGTGCACGCCAATCCTGAAACTGCAATTGAATCCAAATTGTAACCTCCTTCCAACGCTAAAATAATCTTTCCGCCAGCTAGAGACTTCAGCATGTGTGTCATGTGTCCGTATGCTGCCGGTGTGACAAGATTCTCGCCAATGTGATCTCCTAATAGAAATCAATATCAAATAAACAGTACTGTTAGGTTCGAAGCTCCAATGCACGCAACCATTCAATATTACTTCACAGAACTGGCTGTTACCTTTTGCGGCGTCGAATCCTGCGCTGACGAGAATGAAATCTGGAGCAAATTCGTAAACGATTGGCATAACGACTTTATGAAATGCATAAATATATTCAGAGTCGCCCATTCCAGGACGTGGCCATGGGATGTTGATGTTTCTAAGAGACACAAGGTGAAATCTGATGAGAAAAAAAGCGTGCGGACCAAATTGATAAAAGACAGATTCGGTCAAAAAAAGCTCTTACCTTCCACGTCCAGCACCTTCGCCCACGGCGGTATTTGCAGCAGCTACTGGGTCGCCGGGGTAGAATGTCCCATCGTCGTACCGATGAATAGAACAGTACACAACATCTGGATCATCGATGAAAGCCTTCTGTGTTCCGTTTCCGTGATGCACATCCCTATTTTCCACAATAGATTGCAGAAGTAAGCATATGACGGTATAGTGTGTATTCATCATCCTTGTGCAAGCTCCTGATATCATGTCACTTACCAATCCATAATAAAAATCTTCTTGAGTCCATGGCGCCTCTGTAGGTATCGTGCTGCAATCGCCACGTTATTGAAAAGACAAAAGCCTCCTGCCTCATCTGGTTCAGCATGATGACCAGGCGGACGAACGATTGCCACTCCATTCTGAACCTGTCCTATCGCCACAGCCTGACAGAGCTCCAGTAAGCTTCCACAGGATAGGCGCGCGCAAAGGGCTGAGTGGTGGTTGAAATAGATGCTGTTATAGTTTTCGGCTGCATCCAACAGTTCTTCTTTCGACATTTCTAAAATTAATACAAATGAAATATAATACTGCAAACGATTAATAACGAGCGTCACCAAGCGATATTTAGCCCTTTCCTGTCAAATTGAATTTTGTGCATGGTCAGACCACAATCCGGTCGTACCTGATGTCTTTTCGATACTCTGAATGAGATTTTCTGTATGGACGAGTGAAAGCTCCTGAAGAGTGGCCTCACGGGAGGGGATCTTGACCATCCTGCCGATGCATCCTGCGTTCTTAAGAGCCTCGAAAATTCTCCAGATCCTCCTGGGGTCCTCGGGATGCCCTTCTTCTCCATGCTCATTGCTGTGGAGTCTGTGGAATCCATAGATAAAAAGTTATTGATAAACGTATGAGCAAACTACAGAAACATATGTATGTGTACCAACTATTGCAGCTCTGAAACAAACATACTGCGGTTACCTCATTCGCACGTCGTAGACGTATCCTGTCCTTGTGCTCCTTCCGTCGATCCTGTCTGGTTGCGGTAGCGGCGCAGTTATTGGGATCACCGCATTGGCGCCAGTACCGTTGCCATTGATGAGTGCGGTATTAACGGCCCCATTGGGCGAAGAGTCGTTGCCTATTGAGTCATCGCCTTTGCTCCTGTCTCGCATGGACATATCGATCTCCTCCAATATGTTCGAAGACTCCACGAGAGCCTGGTGTTCTCCTGCAGGAAAGGGGTCGGGATTGACAAGCGCTGGCTTGTCTTCATCAACCATCATGTTTGAGGAAGGAAAGGCGGCAGACGGATCGGCAGTAATGCTGGTGACCTGTGCTGGTACTAGAAGTATGTATTATCAAAGTATTGGGCAACAAGATTTCGGAAAGGCATGTCAGTAATAGTAAGCGATGACTGCGGCTATGTAGGACGGAAAGAGGCTCTATTGTTCGCAAATGCAATCGCCCTAGGACAGGTGCGACGCGTGTCATATGGATGGATATATCCAACTTAGAGAGTGATTCTCAGAAGGGGAGAGTGATGTGCAGTTGCGGAGAAAAGATCGAAAAGAAAACGAGGCCACCATAGCTTCCTCCAGCGCTTGGCAACCGGGCAGCCATCATCCTTCTTCGGTGCAGAGAATACTAAATGCATTGGCGAAGGGCGCTGAGTCTGTCTGGGACAGAGTGCCATTCGGTGATGACATGGTTGCTGCTGATGGAGATGAGAACCCGTGTTACCGATATTATTTATTCTATCAAATGCCACTCGGATGCGGGGAAGGAGGCCAAGATGAAGGAGACGGGATCTAAGGCGAGAATGACCAAAGATGCTAATGTGATAAGGAGGGATTGTTATTAGAGAGAGAGGAGGGATCTGGAGTTGGCCTGTTTCCATGTCTTTGTTACCACAGGGAATCAAGCTGGGACCACGCCTTGAGGGGCTTGGAGGCCATGACCTCAAACGAGGACTGAAACTGCACAGCTGGAAGCAGCTATCATACCAACTCCCCTTCCCTCTCGTTTCCTCACACCACATTTCCTCTACCCTTCACACTCTTCGTAGACCAATACCGATTCAGGCACCAGCCTCTACAAACTAGCTCTTATTCAGACCACACTAATAAATACATTTACTACACCGGTTTCAACATTTGGCTTATTCTATTGTCATCAATTGGGAGAAGCGATCAAGTCTACTGCTCCGTCCTCTCGTCTCCAGCCCTTGAGCATTCTTCTGTAAGTCCTCCCATGCAGGCTCAATCATACTCAGCTTGACGCGGTCGAAATTTGATACAAACTTGTCCACAAACGTCGTGATCTTCAGGCGTAACTGGATCTCCGCTACACTCGACTTGTCTACTGCAGATCCATTGTTGATGGAGCTGACAGTCGAGGCTGCGGTTGTGCTTGGTATCAATGGCGAGAATTCTCCTTCTGTTGATGCGGATATGATCTGTGATTTCTGTAGCACACCATAATCGCCAGTAGGACCATCCAAACCGATGGCTGGGCTTGAAGGCGGTGGCTGCGAAGTGGGCGTGAGGACAAGGTGTTCAACCAGAGCGAGACATCCAACCAGCATCCCCAAAAACCGAGGTACCATTGGTCTCATGGCCTCAAATTGTTTTCGAGAGCGAGATGAGAGCTGGCGCTGGGTCAATTGCTCCGACAGTGTCATTATTTTGCCTGTAACCCTCAGGATCGCAGCGTGAATACTTTGAATAATAATGATCCAAGCAGGCAGGTTATTGGCGAATGTCGCTACGGCTGGGTCATCGGGCTTCTCAGCAGGCCAGGCAGCGAGACTAGTGCGCAACTGGAATTGAAAAGTTTGCTCTGAGGAAAACGATGCAGTATTGGAGAATACAGCAGCGTCATCAAACTTGAAAATGACTTCGATGGTTGGCGTGAACTCCGTTGAACTGTCGTGTTCGTTCGTCATGGTGAATGTCGCAGAACTGTAGGAATCATATTGTACCAGCGTTGCCTGGCAATGAGCAGCTTCCTTCCGCAAGGCCGACCACTCATCGAATCGACATGTTGAGTACTGATTGATCCAGGAGGTGCATCCTGCTATTTCGTCTGAAAGACTGGCTGAACTGGGTGGTGTATATTTGTTCAAGAGAAAGATGATCAATCCACTGTAGTAGCTGAACCAGGGCGATTTTGTGATATCCATGTTCAAGTATACGTTGAGTTCGCCGTGGCTAGCCTTATCCCTCAAACGCGGTCCATATCCTAAAAGAAATAGGTCGTTGAGCAAGTTCTACGGCAATAAACATTTATCAGTATCATCATTTTATGCCACAGTCTACGTTGCTACTAAAGTGCCATGAACTGGACTCTTACCATGACTTGATCACCGAATTCCAGATAGAGATTGTTAGGTATCCTGGACGCATCGTATTCTTTCAAGACTGGGGACTCGACATCGTAGTATTCCGCAGGGACGATCCTGTCTAGGACTACATCCAGCGTCAAATAATACTCTCCTGCTATCAACGCGCTCCTGCGATCCTCCTTGCACTGATTCACCGCGACATAGACCAAGCGAAGCGCATGCTCAACCAATGGCAGAGTAGACATAACAAACACAAAACTGCTGTTATATACACCCGACTCCAGGTTTCGGCACGCTTCCGCCCATTGCGAGATGGTTCCTGAGGTGACAAAGGCACTCTTACCAATGAGGTTGTCCAATATACTAACTAGCTGTGATGGGTCCAAAGAAGGCGGACTTGGCCCAAACGCCACCTCTTCAAACATAGAATCGAATCCATCAGATGCCGACCGCTGTCGCTGCCCAAAGTAATATGATTTGGGACTCTGATGCCGAATCTGTAGAGGGACGGCTAGCTTTGCTTTAGCTTCATGCGTGATAGTCATAGTGACAGCAATCAACATCGCGCCGTATGCGTCCAAGGGAATTGGGTCTCCTGGGATGATGAACCCATGCCAGAGCAAGTTGCGGATGTTGAGTGTGAGCGGTGATCCAATCATCGTCTTGAGCGTGCGTATCTAGACATTGGACAAAGAGTAGTACGCGGTTTAGGATGCTATAATTCAATAAGTCGAGGTCAAGAACACGGGAGTCGTCGCAATTACCAATGTTCGATCGATACAATTTGTCAAGCAAGGAACTGTCAAAAGGTCTCGAACCAGAAACGGAATGAATTTGTCTGGTCCCTGAAGTGTAAATATAATCTATTTTATACATATATAGGGGACCGTCCTTTGAGAACAGCGATCGAGCAAACATGTTCCTTGGCATGATCCATTTTACACGCTAGAAAAACATACATTGCTGACCAGTTGCTCCAGGACCGTCGACCCAACAAGCCATGCCTGGTCATACTGTCCATTGGTATACAACTCGAACCAAATCTCTGCCGCCCGTCCGCCAGACACGCCCAGCCATTTCAGCTGCTCTGCATACATAGTTCTGAAGGATACTGCGGTATCGTGCTTTTGCACTTGCAGCTCTGATAACACGAACATACATGCCCTCTTAAAAAGATCCAGATCGCAAGGGTCAATCGAAGTGGCGACAGGTCCTTCTATGACCGCCTGCGGCAAGCAGCACTGGATGGATTCGATGGAGAGCAGTCCTTGGTCGCTGAGGAAGCGCGAGGGAGGCTCCTGGGAGTTGCTGAATGACGAGATATGGATAGCATCGTAGCACACAAGGTCGCTGACCAACTGTGGGAGGAATGCGGCCCCTGGGGACATGCTGCAAAGTGTATGTGAATGGTGAGTTGAAAAGCAGAGAATGCAACGATTCGATCTCGCTCACCAGGAGAGTGCACAGCCCAGTGGATCCACGGCGAACTTTAATTCTTTGATAGTCAGGGACGGGCACGACAGACCAACTCCATCTTTGACATCCCTAAGATCTGTCATCTCTTCGTAGAAAAAAACCTCTTCACGGCTGACCTTGCTGGGGGCTGCCATGTCTCTTTCAGCTGGCTATTACTGCCGCCGGAAATATCGCCCTTCAAGCAACAATCAAATACCACTAAACCGGCAACTGCATACTTTTGTTGCAGCCCTCGCTACTTCTCAGCATAACGACAATAATGCTCGGACGACGACTCTAGTGGACTAAATTATCACCATTGAAGTGACGATAAGCGAAGGGCAATAAAAACATCGAATAGCGCTTCTTTAAGCAAAGAACTGCCTCCTTTACAGATAGAGAGGGCTGAGTCGAGCCTATCCCAGTGATTCGACTAAAAATGGAAGTTGCATGTTTCCAGCCGATTCATTTAAAGAGGGCTGGGTCCAAGCCTACGCGATGTCGTACTCAGGCTGTAAACGAGCCTAACCAACTGCGAGTGTTGCGTGCATTCATGTGTCAAGAAACCTAGCCTGTACTCCTCCTTCCGTTCTGTTTACACCAGGGCTGAGGATAACAGACATGAATGTATGTTTTTCCTGGACAGCCCTCGCTTCTCGCGCATATATGCTTAGAGATAATGTTTATTCCTGTGCCACATTTTGATCCTTCGTGCACTCATCTCTCCAGCTGTGGAAACTGGGGGATATGAACGTGTGCGCAACTGCTTGTCTGTACAGTCTCTCGACAGCCCTGAGCTTGCTTCTCAAACACCTTCGTGCGCTCGAAGTTACTATCAGCGGAATCAATGCACACAATCGCCTTGTGTAAAAGAATTCTTTCTCAGCATGCTTTACCTCGCTGGACCCTCTCCTCAAACATACTGCTCCACAATGGGTTGTCTCGATGTCAAGGACACGAGGGGACCCTGTTGACAGTTCACACAGCTACAGATTATCCTGCATCTAAGGCCAACTTGCACCCCAGTTTAGGGTCGACCAAAGCTTTGCGTCTTGATGACTTGTTGACTTGTTATTGTTGTTGTTGTTGTTGTTGTTGACCTGCTGTTGTTGGTGTTGTTGTTATCTCGCCTTCTTTCATGCTCAACATGCCAGTTACTTTATGCAGTGGATACATGATTTACACATTGCGCCAACCGTTTTCCTTTTGGACACCTGTCAGCGAATATTACACAAGGAGTCGGGGCACTCAGTAGACCATTTGATACGCGTCGAGCCCTGTGGAGTATGCGCTACACAAAGAAGACCTGTGGGCGTAAAATAAGCACAGCACATACATGGCCAATATTATTCTCCAATGCAGATGGCCATGTCGAATGCGTTCTCGGCTCGAAGCTTCCGTGTATCCTTCTTTTTCCTTATAAAAAGAACAAGGAGCCTTCTTTCTTTTCTTTTTCTGTTATCCATCCGCCTCCTCTTCACAACCCTGCCCTCCCAAGCTCCTTCCCAAGAAAAATCAAGAAAAATCAACCAAATCTCCGACCATGAGATTCACCGCTATCGCTGCCCTTCTCCTTGCCGCCGTCGCAAGCGCCCAGTCTCCTCCCTTCTCGAACTGCGCGCCCGGTGCCACGGATATGACGGTGACCAGCTTCAGCTTGAGCCCCGATCCTCCATGTGTCGATCAAACTTACTGTAGCAATGTCACCGGAACCCTCAACACCCCTATCATCGACGGTGCCAAGTTGGCGATCACTGGCAGGTATGGTGGACGCGTCATTTACACCGACAACCATGACCTGTGCACCCTCCTTGCCGCCTCTGGACACCCTTGCCCTGTTTCCGTCACCACCACCAGTCTCTCTCTCTGCGTTCTCTTGAAGCCTAATTCCCCCCTTAATGTAAGCCGGAAACACGATACTAAGTGCTTATAGGTGTTTTTCTTTTTTTTTTTTATTGACGCGCTTCTGACCATCTTTTCTTTTTATCGATGACTTCAATAGTACCCCATGGCGCTGACTATCCAGGCCAACAACGGCAACGGCAATGTGCTCTTCTGCCAGGTCGCCACGGTCGTTCCCCGGGCGTGCTCTTAAATCAGTCGAGCAGGCTCACACTCTCCACGGTTCTCCAAAACATCCCCTTCTCTTCTTATTCCTTCTTTTTAAAAGAAAAGCATTTGGCAGTAGGCGAGGGCGATTTTTGTTTTCTAATATTTACTGCTGATTTATCTGGCAACAACAGAAAATAAATTATTATTGGAGGTCAAACCATATATCTGTCTCTCGACTCGGGTGATGCCTGGACGCGTATGACACGCGGGGGTTGGAAGAAAAGGAAGAAGTAGGAGGTGGATCATAAATGGAAGAGAAATGTACAACTTCTTGATTAGCTGCTAATACTAATCCTTGCGAGACAGAAAAAGAAAAGAAAAGATGCGCTGTTGATTTGTGACGCCATATTCCTGCGCGTCGTGCATTTAACCGCGGTCGGTCGCTGTGTCACACAGCTGCCTGTTCATTCTTCCATCTGTACCGCTTTCATGACCTGGTTAAAAGGGCTTCGGCGCCATTGACAATGAATTCCTGCTGCTTTCCAAACCAACTGCGAGCACTACGTGCATCCATGTGTCAAGAAACCTAGCCTGTACCCCTCCTTCCGTTCTGTTTACACCAGGGCTGAGGATAACAGACATGAATGTATGTTTTTCCTGGACAGCCCTCGCTTCTCGCGCATATATGCTTAGAGATAATGTTTATTCCTGTGCCACATTTTGATCCTTCGTGCACTCATCTCTCCAGCTGTGGAAACTGGGGGATATGAACGTGTGCGCAACTGCTTGTCTGTACAGTCTCTCGACAGCCCTGAGCTTGCTTCTCAAACACCTTCGTGCGCTCGAAGTTACTATCAGCGGAATCAATGCACACAATCGCCTTGTGTAAAAGAATTCTTTCTCAGCATGCTTTACCTCGCTGGACCCTCTCCTCAAACATACTGCTCCACAATGGGTTGTCTCAATGTCAAGGACACGAAGGGACTCTGTTGACCGTTCGAATAGCTGCAAATTATCCTGCATCTAAGGCCAACTTGCACCCCAGTTTAGGGTCGACCAAAGCTTTGCGTCTTGTTGACTTGTTGACCTGTTGTTATTGTTGTTATTGTTGTTGTTGTTGTTGCTGTTCTCTCGCCTTCTTTCCTGCTCAACATGTCAGTTACTTTATGCAGTGGATACATGATTTACACATTGCGCCAACCGTTTTCCTTTTGGACACCTGTCAGCGAATATTACACAAGGAGTCGGGGCACTCAGTAGACCATTTGATACGCGTCGAGTCCTGTGGAGTATGCGCTACACAAAGAAGACCTGTGGGCGTAAAATAAGCACAGCACATACATGGCCAATATTATTCTCCAATGCAGATGGCCATGTCGAATGCGTTCTCGGCTCGAAGCTTCCGTGTATCCTTCTTTTTCCTTATAAAAAGAACAAGGAGCCTTCTTTCTTTTCTTTTTCTGTTATCCATCCGCCTCCTCTTCACAACCCTGCCCTCCCAAGCTCTTTCCCAAGAAAAATCAAGAAAAATCAACCAAATCTCCGACCATGAGATTCACCGCTATCGCTGCCCTTCTCCTTGCCGCCGTCGCAAGCGCCCAGTCTTCTTCCTTCTCGAAGTGCGTCATTTACCCGAACAATACGGCCTATCCCACGGAATTGACGGTGACCAGCCTTAGCTTGAACCCCGACCCTCCGTGTATTGGCCAAAATTACTGTATCAATGTCACCGGAACCCTCAGCACCCCTATCATCAACGGCGCCAAGTTGGCGATCTCTGGCAGATATGGTGGACGCGTCATTTACACCGATAACCAGGACCTGTGCACCGTCCTCGCCGCCTCTGGACATCCCTGCCCTGTTCCCATCACCACCACCAGTCTCTCTCTCTGCGTTCTCATGATGACTTATACCCCTCCTGTAAGTCGGAAACATAATACTAAGTGCTTATGGGGGGGGATTATTTTAAACAAAGCTATTGACGCGCTTCTGACCATCTTATCTTTTTGTCGACGACTTTAATAGATTCCTCGCAATATGACTATCGAGGTCACCAACGGCAACGGCAATCGGCTCTTCTGCCAGGCCACCATGAACCTCGTTCCCAAGAAGTGCACTTAAATCAATTGAGCAGGCTCGCCCTCTCCACGGTTCTCCAAAACATCCCCCTTCTCTTCTTATCACTTCTTTTTAAAAGAAAAGCCTTTGGCAGTGGGGAGGGCGATTTTTGTTTTCTAGTATTTATTGCAGATTTATCTGGCAACAACAAAAAATAAATTATTATTGGAGGTCAAACCATATATCTGTCTCTCGACTCGGGCGATGCCTGGACGCGTATGACATGCGGCGGTTGGAAGAAAAGGAAGAAGTAGGAGGTGGGTCATGAAGGGAAGAGAAATGTACAACTTCTTGATCAGCTGCTAATACTAACCCTCGCGAGACAGAAAAGATGCGCTGTTGATTTATGACGCCATATTCCTGCGCGTCGTGTATTTAACCGCGGTCGGTCGCTGTGTTACACAGCTGTCTGTTCGTTTTTCCATCTGTACCGCTTTGGTCACATAGCATGACTGGTTAAAAGGGCTTTGGCGCCCTTGACAATGAATTCCTTGCTGCTTTCCAAACCAAATACGAGTACTGTATGCACTCCATGTGTCAAGAAACCTAGCCTGTACTCCTCCCTTCGTTTCGTTTACACCAGGACTGAGGATAACAGACCTGAATGTATGTTTCTCTTGGACAGCCCTCGCTTCTCGTGTATATATGCTTAGAGATACTGTTTATTCTTGTGCCACATTTTGATCCTTTGTGCACTCATCTCTCCAGCTGTGGAAACTGGGGGATATGAACGTGTACGCAACTGCTTGTCTGTACAGTCCCTCAACAGCCCTGAGCTTGCTTTACAAACAGCTTCGTGCACCCGAAGTTACTATCAGTGGAATCAATGCACACGATCGCCTTGTGTGGACGAACTCTTTCTCAGCATGCTTTACCTCGCTGCAGCCTCTCCTCAGACATCCTGCTCCACAATGGGTTGTCTCGATACCAAGGGCAAGAGGAGACTCTGTTGACTATTCGCACAGCTACAGAGTATCCTGCAACTAAGGCCAGCTAGCACCCCAGTTTAGGGTCGACCAAAGCTCTGCGACTTGTTGACTTGTTGACCTGTTGTTGTTGTTGTTGTTGTTGTTATTACCGTTCTCTCGCCTTCTTTCATGCTCAACATGTCAGTTACTTTATGCGGTGGATACAAGATGTACACATTGCGCCAACCGTTTTTCATTTGGGCACCTGTCAGCGAATATTACACAAGGAGTCGGGGCACTCAGTGGACCATTCGATACGCGTCGAGTCCTGTGGAGTATGCGCTACACAAAGAAGACCTGTGGGCGTAAACTAAGCACAGCAGACACATGGCCAATATTACTCTCCAATGCAGATGACCATGTCCAATGCGTTCTCGGCTCGAAGCTTCCGTGTATCCTTCTTTTTCCTTATATGAAGAGCAAGGACCTTTCTTCCTTTTCTTTTTCTGTTATCCATCTTCCTCCTCTTCACCATCCAGCCCTCCCAAGCTCCTTCTCGAAAAAAGCAACCAAGTCTCCGACCATGAGATTCACCGCCATCGCTGCCCTTCTCCTTGCCGCCGTCGCAAGCGCCCAGTCTTCTTCCTTCTCGAACTGCGTGACCGCTGCCGCGGACATGACGGTGACCAGCTTCAGCTTGAGCCCTGATCCTGTGTGTGTCGGCCAAAATTACTGTATCAATGTCACCGGAACCCTCAGCGCCCCTGTCGTCACCGGCGCCAAGTTGGTGGTCACTGGCAGGTGGAGTGGACACATCGTTTACACTGACAACCAGGACTTTTGCACCGTCCTCGCCGCCTCTGGACGTCCCTGCCCTGTTCCCATCACCACCACCAGTCTCTCTCTCTGCGTTCTCATGAAGCCTACTTATCCCGCTAATGTAAGTCGGAAACATGATACTAAGTGCCTATGAGTGTTTATATATCATTGTTTTTTTATTCTAAAGCAATGATATTGACGCGCTTCTGATCATCTTATCTTTTTGTCGACGACTTCAATAGGTCCCCCTGGCGCTGACTATCCTGGCCACCAACGGCAACGGCAATGTGCTCTTCTGTCAGGCCGCCACGGTCATTCCCCAGAATTGCTCTTAAATCAATTGAGCAGGCTCGCACTCTCCACGGTTCTTCAAAACATCCCTCCTTGTTCTCATTCCCTTATTTTTTTTTCTTTTTAAAAGAAAAGCTTTTGGCAATAAGTGAAAGCGATTTTTGATTTCCAATATTTATTGCAGGTTTATCTGGCAACAGCAAAAAATAAATTATTTTTGGAGATCAAACCATATATCTGTCTCTCGACTCGAACGAATGTTTGGATGTGTGTGAGGCGTGGCAGTCGAAAGTGATGAAGCAGAGAAAGAAGAGAAATGAAGTGAAGTGAAGATAAAGGAAGAAATAAAAGGCGCGTAAAGGCTTGGCAACGAGGATGCAGCCAACGAATGTCGATCTTGACATTATTACTGTCAAATGCTAGCGCGGATTCGTATTGTAAAGGCTATCAGCATTCATTGCGCCCTGGAATGACAGCAGGGGGCCTAAGTTGCGCACTGGATGTGAGACGAACAAAGTTGCTGAGACGGGCTCTTTGCGTGTGTCGTTTTGTTATTTTGTGGGGAAGGGTGGCAGGTCGACAGTGTGAGTGTCGACTTCCTTCTTTTCTGAAGAGTGCCGATGGGAAAGGAAGGTACGCCCCAATTGGCCAACGACTAGAGCCAGTACAATTGCTGCAGAAAACACTTTTGTTAGGTGGAGGAGAGGAGCCCCGGATGTCGTGGCTGTCCTTTATTCCCCGATATGGTTCCTGGGTTCCCTTTGCGCCCCAAAGAAGTCGACTTGGAGACTGTTCGTGGCGCGGAATGAAAATTGTTCCAAGGAACAAATCAAAAGGACAGCCCACGTCCCTCCCCAATGGGACTGTCCCTTGCTGCGAAATAAAGGACTCTCTCCCAAGCTTGCTCTCACCCTCCCTCTCGCACACTCTCTCTTTTGTCCACACCTCCACCTCGTTCCCCAAGGTCCGCCTACTCTCCATCTATCGCACCGCCGCACAATGGATCCCGCAGCAGCAACAGCAACTACAGCCGCTGCACCTTCTCTGCCCCAGCGCAGCAGGACTCCTGTTCTACCTCCACCAATCACACTTACTTCCCATACCGCCACATCAGCAACAGCAACAATATCAATGCCGCACACAGAGAACAGCAACAGTAATAGCAGCGGTCTCTTCCGCAGACACCCCTCGATCGTCATCAAAACAGAGAAACGCAAGGGCAAAGGCAAGGATAAAGATAAGGAAAAGGATAGGGACAATGAAGGGAGCTCAAAACACGATGGTGACCCATACTACACAAAAGTGTCCCTAAAACGGTCTCGGTCACCCATCAAGCTGTTTAAGAACATCAAAACCTACCTCCACGTCCACAAACACAAGTACTCAGGCAATGGGAGCCATGGTAGCAGTGGCACTAGCAGCTCTTCTCAACAGCTCGGATCGAGCTTTAGCGGAGGTGTGTACTACTACAACAACAACAACAACAACAGCCTTGCGCCCCCTCGGTCTTCCTTCGATAATGTTAGTCACCAATACCGCTCGGCCTCGCTTCCATCCTCATCCATCTTGGCCACCGCCCAACTCGCCCAAGACGACAGCTCAATACCCAAACCGCCAAGAGAGAGACAGTCTCCGGATTCGCTGACCCCCGAGAAGCAAGTTTTGTTGCTGCAGGTTGTGTCTTATTTCGAGCATGCGGGTCATCGGGCCGATGAGGATACGGCAGAGTACCTGTTGGGTTCATATCAGTGGGACATTGATCAGACGATGCAGTACTGCCAGGATCTGGTTCAGGCTGTCCAGGGAACACTTGTGCCCGTCCAGCAGGAGGTGCAGCTGACTGGGGCTGTCAATGACCAAATGACCAGCTGCTACATCGGTAAGTGGCAAAAAACGAAAAAAGAAGAACGGGAAGGAGATGGTGGAATGTTTAACCAGAATAGGGTTTGTTACCCTGAATATGCAATGCGATCATCGCCGAGATCAGTAAAGGGACTTTCCACTTTCACGAGCTTGATGACGGATGCTGGACTGATCTTTATCTTTATTTCCATGTACCTGGTCTTTCTTATCGATCGATAGATGCACTACTCTTCGCCATGTTTGCGCGCCTCTCGGTCTTTGAGGGCCTCTTGAACGTCAACCTGGATGCAGAATGCGACAGCGATAGCGATGGTAGCAGCGAGACGGGGGGGGATTCCCGCAAGGAAGAAGAAAAACAGGAGGCACTGCTGCATACCCATCTGCTCCAGACCTGGCTCCGGATGTTTGTGAACCAGCTGCGCTCAGGACGACTGATTCAGGCACATGTGGTCAAGGAGCTACGACAGCACTTGTACAGCTGTGGGTGGAACTGTCCTGGACCGTATGACCCTCCAGGAAGTAGTCGGCAGGAGGATTCGAGCGAACTGTTCATGTTCTTGACGGAAAAGTTGCATCTGCCGTATTTACCACTGGAACAGAGGCTGCTGCATGGCGCCAAGTTCTCGGCGGATGACGATAAGGTGATCACGGAACGGATGCTGCAGATTTCGATCCCGATACCAGAGCCGGCGTCTTTATCGCCGACCAGCAAACTTGAATCGACCTTTTCGAAGCTCTTGTCGTCAAAATCATCCTCAAGCAGCAGCAATCGAGATGGCAGTGGCAGTCCGGGATCGGTGTATGAGATTTTGTCATTGGAGAAGCTGCTGGCTCAGCATTTTTATGACAACACGCTCACGGGTATTCGACGACTCGTCTCTTCAGGAACAGGAGTGCCGCTGTCCCCAGGAGTAGAAGTACCTGTCTCAGCATGGCAAGTCCTGGAGTTGCTTCCGTTTTATTCATCTTCGAATGAGCAAGGAGGAATTATCCATGCCAGCCAATCCCAGTATCCTGCGGATGTTGTGATCCTGCCCTTGATTTTAAAGAGGTATTCCTTTGGAGCGGACATGCAGGCGCGGAGGATCAACACCCCGATTGATATCCCTCGGCGGATCGATTTTTCGAGGTTTGTCAGCCGACAAACATCAGGTTCGTCTAAAGCAGCAGATCCTTCAGCAAACAATGCTACTAGCGACAGTATTGCTAATGGCGTCAGCAACGGAAACAACAATGACCTACTGACAGGGCCACAAGAACCGTCTGGTGCGGCTTCCTTGTCATCGTCATCATCATCAACATTGTTCACAGCTGAACCGGGAACTCTTTCAGATAACATCTCGACAGTGGGCGCATCTGCTTCCGTAAACAGCCTCTCGACCATGGGCGTCAACACACAGGCTCCATCTCGTCGCAAGTACTCGATGTCGTTCCTTCAGGCTATAGATTCTCCATCAACGCCGATCACCCCTCCACCACAGTATTCGCCCACGGTCCAGAGCAAGACATTTTTGAATCTTGGAGACGACAAACGGGAATGGTCACCGAACCCACCGCCGGATGATATCTTTGAGGGAGATTACATGGACTGCGGACAACCGAAAATCAAGTACATGCTGGAGCTCAAGTCGGTGGTCTGCCATCTCGGCTCACGTCTGGATTCGGGACATTATCGAAGTTATGTGGCGGACACGGTCAGCAACAAGGCTGCTCCAGCTCCAACATCGGTTCCCGCCCCTCCTGTCTCGAGCGGGAGCACCAATACTGCAGCGGCTACGAATGCTGCACCGCATCCATTATCGTTTCAGGAGCCGAACTGGCTGAGACATGATGATCTGGACCCTTCGGGACAGCGTGTCCAGTTGATCACCAGGGATTCGACCGAAGAAATGGAGATGGAGGCTGACTGGGCACGGAATGGATATATTCTGTTCTATGAGCTCCAGACGGTCCCGTCCTGAGATCCACAAAATAAAATAAAAAATAAAAAATAAAAAAAACCCCCACGGCATCCACTCCTCACTCAAAATAAAGAGAACTCTTCAAAGGGACATCTAGTACAATGTGTATAGGATCGATATGCATTTGTGTAATAAGGAGGGTATTCTTTTTTTTTTCTATCTATCGACCGCCATGCGCAAGATCACCGTCGTCATCCAGGATAAAGGCCTCATGAAGAGATGCATCCTTGCGACTCGCAGCTACCACTTCATGGTTCCACGGCTGTTCTGCCGCCTCCATCACCGCCACCGCCTCTTCCTTTCCTGCTTCAGGCTTCTGCTGCTCACGCGCCGCCGACTTTTTTGCCTTTGCACGTTCCTTCTTTCTCGCAGCCCTCGCAAGCTCCACATCCGCGAGTTCCTTGGTCTCCCGTCTGGTCTTGGCCTGCATCTCCCTCAGCTTCATGAAATGATAGAAGCCGATTCCTGTGAGCGTGACAAACAATCCTAGGATATTCACGATCGTCAGCTGGTCATGGAAGACCAAGGAGGAAATGACGATCGTGACAACTTCCTTGATGATCCCGAGTACCGATAAGGTAACGACGCTCGTACGGGCGATGAGGTTGAACTCGGCGAGGACCATCATAAAGGCAAAGAGACCGCCGAGGAACAAGAGTCCGAGGGTTGAGAGTGCGCTGGAGAAGGTCGAGAAGAAGACGGACCCAAAGATGGTGGAGTAGCCTTCAAAGATACCGGCGACGATGGAGAGGCAGATGCCCATGATTGGGGAGAGGAAGAAGATGGTCGAGATCGGGTTGGCGAGGCTTCCAGATTTGGTGTCGGTTTTCTCGAGCAGGAGTTGGGTCAGGGACCAGCGCAATCCGCCCAAAACGGAGGCCAACATTACTTGGATGAATCTATATATATATATTGAGGGGATGGAAGAGTATAACGATCAGAAGTCTTTTTTTTTTCAAGATAAAACTGTAGATGCAAATGAAAAGAGTATGCGCCTTACCCGATGAGCACAAAGTCGACCTCGGACATGACCATCATGAACAGGCCCACGCAGATAACAGTGATGACACCTGCCAAGGTCCAGGTTGGCCGCTCCAATTTGAATGCAAACGCGAACAGCAGCACGAACGCCAGCGACGAAGACTTGCACATCGCTATTGCATAGCGGGGGGGAAAAAAAGCAATGGACAAAAATCATATTGTTAGCGGGGGCTTCTTTTTTTTTCCTTCCTTATTGCAACAAGCGTCGGCAATTCCAGCTATTCTCCAGAAAAGCTCGAGCGGGGAACGTACTGTAGAACGCAAGGGTGATGGTCTTTAGACTGCTGTTGCTTAACCCGATGTCCAATCCAGAAGCGACAGCGCACGGCATGATCTTTGTCCTACAGAGATTGTCGATGATAAACAAAAAAAAAAAAAAAAAAAAAAAAAAAAAAAGATCGAGTGGACAGTGTTAGCAGACAATTTTCGCTAGCTAGCATGGGCAGGCCGGAATATCCAAAAATGTCTGTGGACTTCTTTTACCCAAAATCCTTGGCTGAAGGTGCAGCCTTTGGTCGTAAAGCAGGCAAGAGCGCGAGAGTGAGGGATGAGAGTCCGAATTGGGCGACCATGTGAAGACTGGTCGTGAAGAGCGGGTACGTAAAGTTATGGTGGTTTGGCGAAAACAGCCATTTGTTGTAAAAGGACAATGCTGTGGAGCAGGAGTACCTATATTATAGGAATAAGTACCAAACGTTTGTTAGTCTCAATCCAGCTTCCCCTCAGAAACCCTTGACCAGGCGGAAAAAAAACGGAGGCAATGAGACCCAGTTTGCTTGGCTTACCATGCGAAAACATAAAAAGCGTTCCAAAACATGTTCACTCGGAGCTGCTTCTTTGCCAGCGCTGCGATCTGCTCTGACCGAATCGCGCCAAGTCCCAGCCGACGTTCTCCCTCCAACTGTCCGCCTCTACGCTTCTTTGTCTTCTTCTTCCTACCGCCCTCTCCTTTGCGTCCTGAGCGCCCAACAATCCCTTCTTTTGATGCCTCGATCGCATCGTGTGCTCGCCTGGTATTGACTATCGACAACGGCAGGGTATCATAATCGTCATCCTGATCCTGGCTCTGTTGGCGACGATTAAATGATCGGGTTCCGTGAGGCTCCAGGTCTAACCCGATCATGGTACCGGTTCCAGTCTCGCCCACACGCATGCCCATGCCCATGCCTCCGAGTCTAGTGTTGGTCGAGGTCAATAGCAGGCGCTGAGTGTCCTGCTCATCGTCCTCCATTGCGTCGTCTGCGGTCTCATGGTATGCAGTTCTGTGGGCAAGGCCGCCATCGCTGCTGTAGTCGCTAGCGCTCAATTCGCCATCATCATCGTCGTCGGTTTCGCTTTCGTCGTCGTCAGCGGTATCATCATGAGAGTCAAAAGAGTCGTATCCAGGGTCACGGCGGCCGTTCTTCTGCAACTGAGTCCTTGTCCTGCCCCCATCTTCTCCGTCGCCAATGTTGTCCGCAAAAGGATTCTTAGGAGCGTGATAGCTGTCGGCGGTGGCATCAATAAAGGACTCATGCTCGTTCTCGAAGCTGCGAGGACGTAGGAATGGGGCCTGGTCATCCTCGAAGGGGTCACGCTGAGTCATTGGGGCGGATATTGGGGCCATTGAGGTCGTTGGAGAGGGCGAATTGATAGCGGTGTTCAGTCGTCTTCCTCCGCCGTCTCTTCCTGGAGCTGATATTAGATCCTGGGATGATGGGTCTGTCATATTGGTGCTTGTGTTCATAGTAGTGGGGGCGTTGTTCTGAAGGCGAGGGTGGTGGTCGTCGTTGGCGAGAGTCTGTCCTCCGCATCAAGAAAAAAAAAAGAGGATGTGTTGAGTGTGGATGATGAGTCTGTTGGGTTGAAGGCGAGGAAGTGTGAAGGAAAAGGGGGGAATGAAAGTCTGGAAGGTTTCCTTGGAACAACCGTCCTTTTTCCCCTGGCTCCGCTCCTATTTTCAACCGTTCAATTTCGAGTGTTTCCACAAATGGCGGGATAATGTTGCACCGTCATCAAACCATTCAAGGGTCTGCAATTGCAATGTAAAGAAATGTGTTGAGAGCACAATCCTTTATTGAAATAAATATGTCCATGCACCCTTGGAACCTGTAGAACTTGAAAACCTGTTCGATTGCAAGTCCTACGCATTAGTCTCCCAAGTTGGCGCCATGTTGAGGGGGAAGGGTACACCATTGACAGCGTCAATGCAATCAGCAAAGCCGTGCTCTCGCTTGAACCAGTCCTTGATTACAGTCTTGCATGCGTGGTCTGACCAAAAAAACATATTGTTGGAACAGCTAGTCCAAAACGTTGATGCATCTCCAGGTGTACTTAACAGCCGATCCAATATTGACGTCCAAAATCCATGACACCTTCAAAACGGAGATTCCATTTATACCAAGGCGGAAAAGCGTAACCTTCAATTGAATGATGATGTCCTCCAGCGGCAGGTGTTCGTCTCCGCGTCTGAAACGCTCGATTCTGCTAAGCAACAATGTGGTCCTCTGGAACTGGTCTTTGGTGAGATTCATGATGCTCTTGAACCTGTCTTCATCATATGCGTTGAGGACGCGACTCCTTACGTCTGTGGACGATATCTAGGGTATAGGTATCTTTCATAGCGTAAATTCGCGCGTCATTGTCATGATACGCGCTGCAAAATCTCGACATTTGCCCTCAACAATAGTAACCGAGCAAGCCTTCTTTCCTTTGGAGTCCTCACGACGGCAAGGGGAGCATCGGCAAGTTCTCCCTCATACTTGCTAACAAAAAAAGGACGCAAAACATGTTACTCTTTCTCCACAGAAGCGGCACGAACATGGTCAAATGGGTAATTTTTGCTATTATTATCCTAGCGAATCAGAAAAAGTGCCCGGTAGGAACTTCCCTATCCTCATATTTCGCATAGAGCAGGTTGATCTTGGTCTCGTCATCCGTGTTCTTGAAAACACCACTGATTAATTGAAGCATGGGGGATGATACCAGCGCTTCTAGCGATCAAGGAGATGGACTTGTGCTGGTTTAGCTGGAGAGGGTGCTTTGAGATAGGACCTAAAGTCCACAAGACAAGTTAGCGAAAAGATGGCGGGGCAAAAACATGTATGTTGACCTTTGAGAAGGGCGAAATTACGTCGCAATCTGACAAATCAATCCAACCCACTTATGCTGCTTCATCGTCCCAACGTTCAACAGACTCTCCTCTTGCCCTTGATAGTGAGTGTATCACCGACTTTCAGGTTGTGGATGTGGACGGACATGACGCCAGCTAACAAGAGAGAGTGCGATTGATTGCAATTAAACAGCATGACTGGTCCTCATTTTTTGTCTGCAAGTACAATGCCCTGTTTCGCCCGACTTGATTGATGAATGAATGCATATCATCATATCGCTTGGTGAAAAGTCCGAAGGATCCCTTAAGATCCACATCAGAAGTAGGGGTGTAAGGACGGGCTATGGCCACGCCATTAGCGTTGACGAACTTTGTGACGACGCAGTAAGCAACGGTCAAGCTCAGGGTCTGGTCATCGGGCAGGGCAAAGACGAACTTTGAGGTATTATGCGCCCGAGTGCGGAAGCTCTTCAGCTTGAAATCCACAAAGGCATCAGGGTTCAGAGCAGTAGCAGTAGACAGTGTCGACAAAGAAAAGAAAGGAGACGGGTTTAAGCAGGTGAAGAAAGAACGGCCATTTTTCTCACTGAAATAAAATCGGACGCGCTGATTGGACAATGATCAGCACGGCTTCTGCAGATCACGTCAACCCTAGGATTCCTATTAGACGCGTCTTTTTTTTTTTTGATGGGTAGCGGGTGGGAGTGGGGTCGAGGTGCACGGATAACTGTCAATATCGACATCCGCTGCTCGCAACCCTCGATGTTCTTGTTCAGACAATCCTCTCATTACGATGGACACCTCCTCCTTGCTTGCTCTCCCACCTCTGCACCCCCTTTCCCATCTGTTTCTGCGTCTTTAGCCACATGGATCATTTAATCTAATTTATGTGTCTACGATGGCATTGTGGGGGGGAAGGAAGGAGGGGTAGTGGCGACAACAATCCATCTCTCCCATGGGTCTCCGTGTTTGTTGTCGAATGCTCTTTTTGCCCTTTTCCCCTTTCATTTACTTTGTGTAAGCAACCAAAAAGAATAAACGCAATCGAACCATCGACAATAGACACAAGTGGGGTGGACGTATACAAGAAACACAGCTGACCGTTATCGGCTGCTGTCGTGTTGTTGCCCAGCCCACCTTGAAATGGACACTTATGCTCTGCTGCCGCCTAGGAATAAAAGGGGCCCAAACAGAATGGGTTTTATTTTCGCGAAAAGGAAGGAGGTGCAGCAAGGGAGGAGGTAGGCCGCGGCCGGTTCACAAGGGGCAGGAAGAGACAGAAAGTACTATCGTATCTGATCCCCCAGTCAGACATCTGCATCTGCGTCTGCGCCTGTATCTTCATCTTTGAACTGTAGAAAAGCGAAAGTAAAGAAAACCCTAAAGAGAAGAGATGAGTCTAGTGGCATTAGTGAGCATTAATGGCATGGGATGGTTCGTGTGCTCGATCGTTCAAGTGCAGACACAACAAATACTTCAGACGAAAGTGCTCTCTTCCTCTTCTTCTTTTCCTTCTCTCGCCCTCTCCACCTCTCATCTCATTCCATCTGTTCATCGTCGTCTTCTCCATCCTCGCCATCTCATCATCCTCATCTCGACTCATCAAAGAAAACACTCGCCGTGCGGAACAAGCACACCTGCCTCGCACTTTTGACCACTACAAACCACTGCTGAGGAAAAGGTGTGGAGAAATACCAAGAAGTTTTTTTTATCTGACGATGGTCTTAGGCCAATTGATATTCACCTTGCTCCTTTGACCACTCTTGACTCCGACCTTCTTCTCCCCTCTCGTCCACCCCCATCCTCACCGCCCTTCCACCCTATTTCTTGCTGCAAACCCGTGCCTTTACCCCTGTTCAATATATTTCACATTCAAATCCATAAGACCCATACAAGTTGCTTTGCCCACCATGGCTGTTGCTATGCTCTCCAAGAAGAAGCTAAAGGTAGCGGCAGAAAAAAAAAAAAAAAAAGCGTTAAAATATTCTTATGCATGTACGATTGACCGCTATTTTCCATGCATGTCATTTCTATAACTAACTTCGACTATTGGCTGCACGGTCACACCCCCCTTAGAACCGATCGAAGCAACGCTCGCTATCTTCAAGAGCGTTCGAGGAGGAAGAGGAGGATATGGGCATCATCAGTCGTCTAGAGAGCGAGCCCTGGCAACCCGATCTCCTGCTGGAGCGCCAATTTGATAACAAAACAGCATCATCTCCATCCTTCCTCTCAACATCCTCCACAACAGTTGCAGCAGAAGGCGCATACAACACAATAGCATCGATCGATTATCTCAATAGAAATGAAGGACAGAATAGTACAACAACACCGGGTTCTCAGCGGGTGATCCCTGTTATTATCAAGTCCCCATCCTCAGTCATCACCACCGCAGACGACAGCTCAGACTGCGTGGAGTCCGTCTTTGAGGACCATACGCTCAAAAGACCAGGGATCCAGGAATACCTTCAACAGACACATCAGGAGCAACAGCTTCTGCAGCAGCAACAACAAGAGATGCAGACACAGATGCAGTCCGAGCTACAGCTGCACTATCAATTGCCGGCTCATCTACAGAGCACCCTTTCTACCCACAACATCACCAGGAGACAACAGCAACCACCGCAACCACATCTGCAACAATACCGAAACTCGTTTCATGGACACTCAGGGGTATCGTTAGGGTTGGAAGAGGACCCTACTGGGTTTTTGTCAAAGCCTCTGTTGACTAGCGCGAGGAGTGAGTTTTCTCTGGAGAACACTTGCGTGACCGACAGCGAGGTAGCCAGATCATCCATTTTATTCGCATTCGCTCTCGATATGTGTACTGGTCTCTTGAGTTTCGACAGCTAAAACAAAGAACATTAACCGATTCGCAACGGCTTCTACTTTTTCGTACATAGAGTGTCACCCAGTCGCTGCAGTCTCTCAAGAACATTACGATGCTGGCCCTAGACAATCTGCTCCAGCATGTCGTCTCTGATGTCACAGCCAGCGACCCTGTGCACAACCCTGATGAGACCACTCTTCACGCTCGGGCGTTCATCCGACGGAAGTCCAACCCTTTACTCAATCTTGTCGATCAAGAGCAAGACCCATTCGGAGATCAGCAGTATCAGCAGTATCAGCAACAGGACCAAGAGGAGGACCTGCGCCCAACCATTACCAATCATGGCTCACCCGTTCAGAGATCCATTTCAAGCACGCCGATCGCTAGCATGGCCGCCTCATCGCGTGAAAGGCTCGATGAGTTGACCCGAAAGGTGGATCAATTGGCAGCCGTCACCCACGCAGAGGACCATCGCCAGCTGTCTTCTGAAAGAACCTTCGAGGTCCTTCACGAGCCTCTAGAGATACCCACGCGACAGCGTAGCCATCCCACGACCTGCAGCAGCAACAACAACAAAAACAACAACAACAGCAACAACAACCCGTTCTCAGAACAACCTGTTCAACAGCAACAGAGACAACCTCGATTAGATCCGTCCCACATTTTTGAGAGCCAAGAATACCAGCTCGCCTGTGCACTCGCGGCCATGTTGGCCTGCATTTACCGGATCCTAGACCACATGCCCGAGCAGTCCGAGCAGCCCCGTCGCAAGAAGACGCCTCAGCGGACGGAATCGGTGGATTCGGGGCTGGACCAGGCCTCAAATTTGTGGAAGCGACTTTCGTCCAATTCGTTTATGCCACGCAACACGACTCGACAGCCGTTGTCGTCCTCTTTGGGACCGAGCAACAAGTGGAATTCACAGGGCTGGAGTTCAGATACGACCAACACTGCCTCGCCTCTGTTCTCATCCGACAACAAGGCCCTCGTGATGGGGTCCGAGGACGCCGGAGGGGCCACGGCGACAACGAACTTTATGCAGACGATCAATAAACAGGTCCGGACGCTCAGGAGCAGGAGGTCACAGTCAACGTCCCAGATCGAGGTAACGGGCAGCAATGGCCACTCTAGCAAGTCGCTACATGACCGATTACTCGGCGGACTTGGATTCGGCTCAAAGACCAGAAGCGCCCCCTATCTTGAGAATGCGGCCCAGGTAGAGCGTGCAAGGGAGCTGGAGCGGGAATGGTCAGAATTGGATAAACTGATGGAGGAGATGGGCCACTTGTGGCGACTGGTAGAGACACTCGAGGATGAGTCGAACGAAGAAAAGGAACGACCGAGGGCTGTGGAGACGACCTCAATCTCCGAACGGGACCCGTTTCATGACAGCAATCAAATCCCAGCGAACGCTTACTCTGTCGCCAGTGCACGGTACTTTGACCAGCAGACTCTGGATATGACGACGGAGGCCGCCCCAGGCGACGACCTTCCGCGATACGAGGACAGCAACGCGCCAGAGTACGAGCTCTCTGAAAAGGCCGGACATGAGGCGACTCAATTCAAGGATGCTCATTCTGTGGAGGATCTGAGACGCAGAAGCAGCCGAAATGGTCTCCATGGGATCCCGGGACTGGAGGACGAGAAGACCCGTTTTGATCTGAACAACGTCATGTCGGCGATCGAGCGGCTCTCGAAAGTGGCCCCACGGATGGACAATCAACGGGTCCAGCTCTCGCCGAGTCAGAAACGTCAGATGGCCCAGGCGAGTGTTGCGCACACGATCGATCGTCTGTCCAGGGATCGTTGGGAAGGATCCGGAGCCACGACCTTGTCCTCGTCCTCGTCCTCGCCCTCGACTCAAAAGAAGGATACGCAAGGACAGCATCAGCAGCAGCGTCAACTTTCGATGGAACGGAGCAGGGATCTGAACAAGCTGGTGAACCAGATTGTAGAGTCGGCCAACAGGGCTAGTTTTGTGGCACAGCGCGCAGAGTTTAGTCCGCGTCAGCAATGGAAACTGGAGGGTGCGCGTGTTGGAGATAAGATCGAACGTGGGGAGAGGTTGCGCATGTCGGGCCAGGTAGGAGAGTTTGTCTATTTTCCTTGCGAGCGGGAGGGGAGTGATTGATACAGAATAGGGATCATGCGAGCTTACTTTTTTTTTTTTTTCTATCTCTTATTTTTATTCTTATTCTTATTATTTCCATCCTGCAGGATTGGCAATCTCCAGAAAAAGTACTGCTGAAGGACATGACCCGGCTCACGAACACGCTCTACCAACAGTCGGCGTCGTCAAAGTCGTTTGCGACACAGAGGTACACCCTCACGGATGATAAGGCACGGAACATGGCACTACAGGAAATCATCAGCAAGATCGAGCGTGTCTCTGGAAGGAGGATGGATAACCAGGATGCCCTACCGCCTTCGTCAAAGCCCAGATCCGTATCCTCGTCGTCATCGTCCTCACCTGCCATGATCGAGAGCAGAAGTAGCAGTAGCAGCAACAGTTGTAGTAGTGGTAGCGGTAGTGGTAGCAGGAAGAGCAACAATAAGGCCAAGGATCTGCAGGAGATGATGAAGCAGGTGGCTGAGAGCGGTGGAGGGCCGACAAGGAAATCGGCCATGGCCTCGCAGCGCGCACAGTTTGGTCCGAAGCATTAGACCACGTTCTTTTTTTTTTTTATTATTCCTCCAACTGATATTCCATACAAACTAGCTTGCATCATCAATGCTCTGTAAAAAAAATATATATATATAAACATATGCAACTTTTTTTTTTTTTTTTTTTTTTTTTTTAATAAGAAAACCTGCATCTTTGGTTTATGTGTCTATTTGGAAGAGATCCTCTTAGCAAACTCGATCAGAGCCCTGGCAGGCCGACCAGTCATGCCCTTGGCGTAGTACCCGCTGTTACTCTGCGTGTCCATGACACCCGCAATATCAATATGAGCATATCTTACACTGCCTGCCTTCAAGTCCTCGCCCGCATCCTCCTCCAGAGGCTTCCCAACCTCAGTTGTGGGCTCGCCCTCTGTCTTTGCAAAGCCATCGTCCCTCTGGATTCCGTGGACAAATTCTCTCAAGAAGACGGCAGCAGTACAGCTTCCAGCACTGCGTCCGCCCGTGTTGATCAGATCCGCAGTGGTGTTTGCTGTGATCTGTGGCAGGTACACGCTATGGAGTGGCATCCTCCAGAAGGCCTCGTGGGCCTCTTCACCGGCCTGATCCAACTCGGACCAGAGAGAGTTGCTGGTGGAAAAGACACCGGCGTAGGCGCTACCGAGGGCAACGTCCATGGCGCCGGTGAGGGTGGCAAGATCGACAAGAGTGTGGGGCTTGTAGGTCTTGGAGATGTAGGTCAGGGCATCGGCGAGGATCAGACGACCTTCGGCATCGGTGTTGTCAACCTCGATGGTCTTGCCGGACATGGAGGTGACGACGTCGCCGGGTTTGGAGGCCTTTCCGGAGGGCATGTTCTCACAGAGGGGGATGCCGGCGATGACGTTGAGTGGGAGCTGGAGAGCTGCAATACCGTAGAGAGCACCGGCGACGGTGGCAGCACCACCCATATCGCCCTTCATCATGCCCATGTTTGCGGAGGGCTTGATCGAGATTCCACCGCTGATGGTCAAAGGAATCGGGAGGGAGGCGCATAAAGGGAAAGGGAAAGGGAGATTTGGGTTAGCTGGTGAGATCAAAACTGATCCATGAGGACATTGAGGGTATGATTCTTGCGTAAAGAGAAGGAATCCTGGACTTACGAATCAAATGTAACACCCTTTCCGACGAGCGCCAAGGGCTTATCTCCATCCTTACCACCCCGATACTCAATCTCCAGGAACCTGAGCGGCTCATCACTTCCCTTGGCGACGCTCAAGAACGCGCCCATCTTCAGCTCCTCAGCCCAGGCACGATCCCTGACCGTGATCTTCAATTTCTTCGCGTCCACTCCGAGGCCCTCTAGCTCCTTGCGAACTCTCTCGACGAACAAGGTCGGCGTCATATGGTTGCTGGGGGTCTCCATCAAGATCCTGGCCAAGTTTTGTGCGCGAGCCTGGATCACTCCGTACTCAAATGCCTGGACTTCGTTGGGGCTCTCGAGGTCAAGTGCCGAAATCTTGACGTCGTTGGGGGCGCCCTTCTTGCCGGATTTGAACTGGTTGAAGTTGTAGAGTCCCAGGGATGCTCCTTCGGCCGCTGCTTGGTCGTGACCCATCCCGGCGATCCCGATATCCTTGGCCTCCTGAGCCTTCAATGCCTTCACGCCCGTGGCCACCTTTTTTTTTCGAGAGATCAAAAAAAAAACGTAGCGTTGGTTATTATGGACAATATCACCCCCCACATTTGCATTAACTATTTGGTCTCTATTATAAAAATAAAAAAAAAGGGCAACATACCGCCATACGAATACGATCCTTCGCCGCCGCACTAGTGCCCTGCTTTCCGAGTCCCACGACTGCGACCTTCTGGATATCTGAGCCGAGTCCAAAGTTTCCATAGAGAACTCGACTCTCGCCGGCCTTGCCCTTGACGCCCGCAGCCTTGACCAGACTCGTCAGAGACTCCTTTCCGTCTGCAGCGATCGATCGAGGCATGAGCAACTGTCCATCGACATGAAGTCCGACAATCGCGGCATCGTGCAGCTGTGTTGAACTCGTGTGGAACGTTCGAGTTCGGACCGCCTTGGTGATAGCTCGAATGCGGAACATGGTTTTTTTTTTTTTTGAAAGAAAGGAAGAGAGGAAGGGGGGGAAAAGTGAAGTAAAAAAGATGGTCTCGGAAGAAAGCGCCGTCCTTTCAAATGCATGCGACCAACCAATAGTCGTGGCTTTTTGTAGAGGGAGGGTAAAAACTGAAACTGGGCATTTATTATAGGTCGGTCGATCTGCTGCAACTAAAATACAAGGGCCGAGAAGGGAAGGGCATGGTCTCTATCGGTAGTGGCCCATGGTTCTAGTCATCTTCATAGCGAGATCGGATGCGGTTACCACCCACATCGTCGGCCCTGTTGGATGCACGTGTGTGAGCCGTTGCCTCTCCTCCGAACGAGATCTTGGAGTGGTCGCCAATGACGCTGTTAAACAAAGACAAGAAAACCCCCCCCCCCCCCGTTGATGCGTTAGAATTAGGATAAAACAACCCAATTGAGAACACTCGAACCGTCCATATGGATAACAAGGATCGTTTCTTACCGAGGCCTGATGATGTGGAAGGCTGTAAAGATGACTCCTAAACCGGCGCAGAGGACTGCGAGCACGATGTATCCGATCCCAAGGAAGTTGTTGCGTCCTCCTGTCGCACCCAGAGTCGTGATCACAATGTACTTCTTGCCTCCATACGTATCGATCGGAAAGTCTACACAAGCATCGATATATATTAGCAATTCACTCCTTTTCAAACCCAACTAAACAGCATAGTTCTCCTGTATGTAACTTACTCATATCGATCGACATCGTATAATTCCCTGCCTTGAGGACATCGTTATCGTTACGGCCATAAGCCTTCAAGAAGGTTGGCCATCCAGCGGTTCTCATCCAAACCTGGAAATGCTCATCCACCGAAAGATCTGGTGGTGGAAAATTCGCCGAATAGACGCCGCCGGGATAGCGGGGGCGCCAGTTGACCGGCGGAAGAATCTCTGTGAGATCTTGGTAGCCGGTCTTGCCATACTTTTCACGATCTGACGACCAAGCGATTCCCGTGTCCCCAAAATTATAGTTGACGCCCGCTGATTGTGTTCCATCTGTTGGTGCCGCAACAAACAAATCGCTGATAGTATCTGAGCAAATCGTAATAACAAAGAGTAGAACGAAAATATTAATCATAGGAACAACAAGAGAGGGTATAAGAAGCGAACCTTATAGCAAGTAGTTGCGACTCTTACCGTTGAACATGGAGTTGGCAATCAGCCCACAGGGATAGACCAGCTCATTGTTTTGCAGGTTGCAACCCTTCCTTGACTTAATAGCTTCGACTGAGCTGGCCTCTCCGCGGAGTTGCTTATAATCCAGACTCTTGGTATATCTGCGATGGTTCTGGTAAAAGTGCGTCAGCTTGTAATACATCATCACGGGCGGCTGGAGATCTACAGGGATGGTCAGATCGATCGAGCATCTCTGGACGGGATATTGATAGGGCTGAGCCTGGCTTCCCTCGACAGGATTAGTGGTCCCGGATTGGTTCAACAGGATCTGGTAAGTCGGCTTGTCGAACTCTAGGACCGCAGAGGAGTGCATAAAAGTTGATTCAGGGACTGGAGTGCGGGCGGTCGCGGACTTGCAGGCTGTGTACTCGAACGACATCTCTGTCACCTAAGTGGATGCGAGTGTCAAATGTGGATAAAAAGGATTTTAGTAAAATTAGATAAGGTAGGATACGGTTCTCCTTGGCAGGCTGTGTTGGATCGACAGTTTATCAGTATCCAGAGCTGCTGACAAAGTCATATGTGTCCTCAGGGTTGGTCCTTTACCTGGCCGTTTCTCCAGACGAGAAGTCCTCCCAGGGGAGCAAACAGAATGCCGATGATGAAGAAGGTCGGGAGGACGGATTTTGCTGTCAGAATAGGCTGCCATGCTTTCAGACGCTGCTGCTTGAAAGAGGTGTCTATGGATACAGAGAAGTGGGGGGTGTATTGTTAGCAATCACAAGAACGATGGTCTTTAGATATGGCCAAGGCTGCCCCCTGTTGCTGCTGCTAGTAGGTCGTACTTGGTGGCCTCCTCTTTGGTGGTTCATCCATCATCAAGAGTTGGGATGAGTTGATGAGCTGTTGGCGAAGGGTAAGTGGTGATGGCCTGCTCTTTACGATTCAAGCTGGAATAGAAGTAGACTGGGCTGTAGGATGGTGGAGAAGGGGAGATGAGGAGATGCTCTTTGGACACGCGGGAAGGATGGCAGTGAAGTGAGGGCGCATGATGAGGAATAAAAGGGAGGGAGTGCAGAACGCCCAAGTGGACCAAGGCACGTGCTGGGCCGTCGCTGTTTCTATGCTCCAAGCATTTTGTGTGGTGCGGAAATACCACGCTCTAAAGACGACCAATTGCTCGAAAGCGAGCATACTAAATCGCCCTTCCAGTGTAGACAAAAAAGATGCGCAGGTCGATTGCGCTCCAGAAGGCATCATTCATTCGACATTGATATGTTCATCCTGAACGGTCAACTTGCCGCAGAATATTGCCCGTGCGGAGGATTAATATCATTCAAAGTGGTTACATTCATCTGCGGTTTTTTATGAATACAATGGACAAAAGGAACCATGATAAACCACGCTGCTATATGTAAAATCGACTGGCGCTTCAGTCTGGTTAAGGTCGAAAACGTGGTTTAGTATACTCGCTTTCGAGTAGTTGCTTTATTCTCGAGAGGTGTTCCATTGAATCTTATGGATAGGCTCAAAGATCTAAAGTGGCTTGATGGAGTAGAAAAATAATAAAAGTGCCCCCTCCCCGCAAAACACTTTGAATCCTTCTCTTTTTTCCACACACTCCACCAAAAGGTACCCATGAATCTCAGCCAATTGTTTACTTGATTGCAGCCAAATCAGCCGGATCAGCTTCACCAGCACTCTCCAGGATCAGGATCAAACAAACCTGGGCGTGTTTGTCCAGATTGATCATCGCGGGATTCGATTGCCAGGAACACGCATTCCGTCTAGTCGGAGGAGACAGCCATCATCCCGATCATCGCGATTCTCATCATCCCTGCTATCTCCAGAACTCGCTCGACTAATTGGATTATTTTTTTACTAACTTCTAATTTCGTGTTGACTCAACCGGACCCTTTCTCTTCTAGTACACATATATTCAAAATGGGTCGCATGCACAGCAGTGGTAAGGGTATCTCGAGCTCCGCTCTCCCCTACAAGCGTTCTCCTCCTTCGTGGTTGAAGACCTCGCCCGAGGATGTCTGCGATTCGATCTTCAAGCTCGCCAAGAAGGGTATGACCCCCTCCCAGATCGGTGTTATCCTCCGTGACTCCCAGGGTATTGCCCAGGTCAAGAACGTCACCGGTAACAAGATTCTCCGTATCTTGAAGTCCAACGGTCTCGCCCCCGAGATCCCCGAGGATCTCTACCACTTGATCAAGAAGGCTGTCGCCGTCCGCAAGCACTTGGAGCGCAACCGCAAGGATTGCGATGGCAAGTTCCGCCTCATTTTGATCGAGTCCCGTATCCACCGTCTTGCCCGTTACTACAAGACTGCCGGCCAGCTTCCTCCTACCTGGAAATAGTATCAACCTTGTGTCGTCCTTGGACGTGTGTGGTTTTGGGTTGGGTTTTCTATCTTTTGATTTCTGTATCTTATACCCTTTTTTGTTTTTGGTGAAAGTGCGATCCTGGTGGTTTCTTGATATTTTCTAGGGCATCTCGGCTTTTTATTTTTCCTGCTTAATGCTGTTTTCTCGGTTGTTGATGCGTACTATTACTATTGTGTCTTTTTTCTTTTGTTGTTGTTGTTGTTGTTGTTGCTTTTGCCTTTCCCTCATCAATCAAAACCAAAGCGGGTCTATATTCGACAGTACGTTGAGTGTCAAAGGGGGGAGATGGACAGGCGAGAGGAGCGAGGCATTGAGCCTCTCTTCTCGAGCGTGTCTGCATTGAACCCTGCTCCGTATTCGTCTGCCTTAACTTGATTACCCGCGCCTGTCTTTGTATGTGTTTTCTATCTGTCCTGTTCCATCCTAATAGCGAGTCTGCCACTGCCTCCGCCCTTGTCGCCTAAACGGTCCCCATCGTACGATCCTGGTCCTGGTCCTGGCCCCTGCTCCTGTCGTAGTCCGGCTGAAAACAAAAGCCGTTCGATCATTCAGCTCAGCCCAATAAACGAAACTTTAAACAGGCAAATGAAAATACGGAAATACGAAAAATGCGTTCAATTGGCTCGGTTGCAACACGGCCTTTCTTGTTTTGGAAAGGCGCCGAGAGGGAGGGAAAAGTCAGGCCATGCTGAAAGCAGAGCAAAAATGGGCCGATGATGCAGAAAACAACAAAGAGTGACAGAAGGTCTGCTTGCATCTCCGCAGGTCCGTTGGGGAGAAACATATGGAAGCTAGTGCTCAGCAGCGCCAGCACCAGCACCAGCACCAGCACCAGCAGTAGCTGCAAAAGGGCGGCAGCGGTAGTCTCCTGCTAATGAGTGAGAGGACAGGATCCAGCTAGCTACTTCGGTCCGCTCTTCTCTACATTCTCCGTGCAAGTATAAAAGATCATCCGTCCACCGCTGCTTCATTCCCTTCCTCTCTCCCTCACTCTCTCTCTCTCTATCTCTCTCTCTTTCTTTGTCCGACAGTTTCTTTCTTTTCGTTTCTTATCTTTCCACCCCACTCCACTCCACTCAAACACTGTTAATATCTACCCCAATTGCTCTCCCGCCCCACAAACTATCCCATAAAAAAAGAATGTCGATTTCCGCAAGACTGGCCACTCAGGTGCGGGGCAAGGTGTTGTCGAGTCTCCCCCGATCTGCGGCCACTGGCCTGGTTGCCTGCTCTTCCCTGCGGATTGCCCAGCAACTGAGACCGCAGCAGATGTCCTGTTCTCCTTCTTGGACAAATCATCCGACGCAGTCAGGAGTCCACATGCGCAGCTACAGCAGTCGCCCAGCCGAGCCCGATCTTCATCACGGTAAGCCAAAAACAGCAAGACCCTCTGTTGCCCCAGAAGGGGGGGGGAATGAAATTTTTATTTTTCATCCTCTTGAACGCACCCACAGACATCATTAGTCAACCGACACATTGCCCAATCGCACAAACCAAGCATCCAAAATGCCATGTGGCAGCACATACACATGCAACCACGAATAAGGGGGCAGGAAGAGAACAGAACAGAGGGAAGCAAACAATAGGGCATGAGTGGATGTCGTACCTGTCTATGACTATCTATACTCTATCCATATGTGTCAATGTGTCACTGTGTTTTCCCTTCACCTTTGACACATGCTTGAGCATCATGAACCGCATTGTGCAAATGTGGGGGAAGTGGTTCACAATATGCTGTGCTCGCTGTGTCCAATTAAGGTTGGGTCCCTCCTCCCTCTTCTGTATCCCCTGCACACGTTTTTCTTTTCTTTTCTTTTTTTTTCTTTTCTTCCATATTCTGCACACGGAGCGTATACATTGCGCCGGTTTGAGATGACGGCATTCAGCACCGCACATTCCTGTTACACAAACACAGCCTTCATATCCATCCCGGGCCCATCGAGCCTCTGCCCCTACTTTCCATTCATTGCAGCCACGTACCTACACCATATGCACTCTTGCACTTTCCACACGAGCGCATACACTCATCCTTCGTTCCCTCACAATCCCTCTAGTCCGCCCAAAGGTCACACTCGCAACCCTGCGCAAGCTATACAAGCGTAAGGAACCTATTACCGTCATGACCGCCCACGACTTCCCTACAGGCTCACTGGTCGACAAGGCCGGCATTGATATGACCCTGGTTGGCGATTCCCTCGCAATGGTCGCACTCGGCTACACTTCCACCTCTGAGATTACCCTGGACGAGATGTTGCACCACTCCCGAGCAGTTGCCCGAGGTACCCGTTCCAGCTTCTTGGTGGCCGACATGCCCTTTGGCACATATGAAACCAATGCGGACCAGGCTGTCAACAACGCTGTGAGGATTTTGAAGGAGGGCAAGGCCGAGGCCGTCAAGTTGGAAGGTGGCAAAGAAATAGCCCCTACGGTCGCTCGTCTCACCCAGGTTGGCATCCCAGTTCTGGGCCACATCGGCCTCACACCCCAGCGTCAAGCCAGCCTTGGAGGGTACAAAGTCCAGGGCAAGACGGTCGCCAAGGCTAAAGCAATGATGGAGGATGCACTGGCGCTCCAGCGAGCCGGATGCTACGCAATTGTTCTTGAGGCTGTCCCCGAACCCGTCGCAAGGCACATCACGAACATTCTTTCGATCCCGACCATCGGCATTGGCGCAGGTGCAGGTTGCTCTGGCCAGGTACTTGTCCAGCAGGACATGCTGGGTCTGTATGGTCGTGTGCCTCGCTTCTGCAAGACATACCGTAACCTGGCGGATGAGATCGTTGGAGCATTGCAGGAGTACAGTGCAGATGTCAAGTCCGGAGCGTTCCCAGCGGAGGAACACTGTTATCCTATGCCTCAAGCGGAGCTGGATCGGTTCATGCATATGATTGCAGAAGAGAAGCAGCACGAGGAACAAAGCGTGAGTCCAGAGGCAGTTGCTGCGGGACTCGCGTAACATAGGAGCGGACAAGCAGCACGATCTATCTATCTATCTATCTATCTATCTATCTATCTATACCTGTATTATCTACTTGCTACATGATATTCATCACTCTTTGAGAACACAATAAAACACGGGGAGGCGACTCCAAAGCAGAGATAAAAAAAAAAGACATTATGTGTTTCGTGGAAAAGACACAAAGGGTGTAGCTGGAATCTTGGGCTGAAATATCTTGACACATTTTTTTGTCCGTGCTATAGATAAATGCGATTCTTTGCCAAGATCGAGATCGCGAATAGAGAGATACCAACTGTGTTACACGGATTCGCAGTATACATTTCGTTTCTTCTGTGCGCGCATCCTGCAGGGTAGATGGTAATTCCCATGGTGGCGTTTTTATCTTTCGAGGAGAGGAGAGGGCTATAGTGGCAATGGGCCATAGTCCAAAGGTTTGATGTCCAGTAGTACTCCACTCAGTAGAAGTAGTAGTGGCGGTACCGGTGGCTCTACTCAATTCTCTCCACAATAAAATTATTTAGCAAACACAGCAACTTTAGACACGTGGTGCCGGAAAGAAGGTTCGCTCATTCCGAGCAAATGGCAATAGTCACAGGCCCTGAAAACAGTGGCAACGCATCACTTTATCCACCCTCCCTCTGGCTCTCTCTTCTCTCATCCTCTTCTCTACCACTGTGCTCTTCGCTCGTCTTCTCTTCACTCCTGTCCTCCTACAGACGCCAACAAACTGCATTACTTGTTCACTCAATCACGCTCAGCTACATTTCAACCATGCCCGACCTCCTTTTCTTTTGTCTCTCCGACGGAGAACCCATGTCGAACGCGTTTCCAGTCTCGATACCATCTACGAACGCCATCGGTAACCTCAAGGAGCTCATCAAGGCCAAGAAGACGCCAAAATTTGACGACCTCGCAGCAGATGAGCTCACGCTCTGGCGTGTCTCGGTTCGAATCACGGACGACGATGAACTTCCCATCGTACTCAGCACCCTGAAGGAGAATGAGAAGAAGAAACTCTGCCCAACGACTCGTCTCCCCAAGGTCTTCACAGAAGAGCCACCTGAAGAAGCAATCCACATCATTGCGCAGCGACCATCACCAGGTAATACATCGCGAGTTACATTCCTAATAGTGCATGGACTTGCCCGCCGTATCTGTTTTTTTGTGCGAAATACTGACTCTCGACCTAATCTTTTCTTGTCGCTTTTCTTGCTCTTCTTGTAGTTCAATATACAGATCTTATATCAGAGTACCAGTTCGTGCAACGTGCTTTCGAACCTGTCACCGACATACACCAAAGGGTGCATGGAATGATGACCGACACGACTCGTACATACTCGTTGACCCCTACGTTAGTTGCCGTGTGGGATGGCTTTTTAACCCTGGTGTGCCAAATGCAACTTAAGACTGAGCCAATCCATCCACGTCCAAGCTTTCTACCGGTCAGGACGTTTGTGACCGAGCCAAATCTGCATGCCGCCTTCCAATGCGATGTCGGCTCCGTCCAAAGCTTGCCCCCCTTTGCAAACACTCTCAGCTCCACTGGCCTGCGATATAGTGTTCCCGATCTGGTATGCTCACGCCAGAATGACCCCGCCTCGATATTGTTTCTGATCGAAATGAAAATGCCCTCCTATCTGTATTTGGATGACGGCACCGGTTATTCAACCGCTTATAAGGCACAAGAATCACGGACACAAGGCCCGGCTGGTGCGCTAAGGCAGATATTCGGATACATGCGGTTCAACGGGTTTCACTATGGCGTACTGTCTACCTACATCCAGACTTGGTTTATCAAGAGAGTCAAGGAGCGTGAGAACCACATCCTAGTCTCGCCTACAATCCAATACGACAGCACGGAGCCAACACTACTTCAATGTTACTTGTGGTTGATCAGAATGGCAGACAAGGAGGTTAAATGGCAGCCGGTCATTCCCGATAGTCCTACGGTTGACAACATGCTCGCAAACGAACGGCTTGAAGACGAGATTGAGGAACGTGATCCTGACTGGAGGCAAAGCCCTGGCGTAAGCGTTGAACCAGGAACGAAGAGACCTCGTACGCGAAGCATGTAAGAAAGAGACAGGTTGATGCATTCCGGTTGGAAAGGTTTCTTTTGGGCATAGATGATTGACCATCCTATACTATGTGGTAATACAGTGCCAATGAACAGGCAGGGGTCACGGAACGAGAGCTTACCAATACCCCTGCCTTCGAAAACATGGAGCTTATCGCTCAAGGTGAAGGTGCCCGTACGTTCCGGGCGTCATGGCCAAACGGGGATGTTGTGTTTAAGAAAGCCGACAGGTGGAATCAGCAAGAGGTTGTTCGCGAGTTGGAGCATGAGGCAAGGGTTTACCAGGTTCTGCAGAAGCTGCAAGGGCAATGGATACCCAAGTTGAAGATAGCCGGAATAGCAGATGAACTGGAGATGATTCTGGTCACGGAATTTATAGGACCTGACCTCTGCGAAGGACGCTTGGATTTATCTGATCGGAAAAAGATACGGGCGGCACTGTCAGCAATCCACAGGCTAGGTATCCTGCATGGTGATATTCGACCGCACAACATTGTGGCACGGCGCGATGGTGGAAACTCGCAGTTTTTTTTCATCGACTTTGGACGTTCGGTATTCACAAGAGAGAAAAAATTTCTGAAGCACGAGGCGAAAGAGTTGGAATCGCTGCTTGGCACAATGCCTTGGCCAGAAGGTAAGTAGCCATAGTTCATGATACGTGTCGGGTCAAATTAATTTCTCACTCTACTAACCTTGTTCTCGTACAGCATTGCGTCCCGAGATAGGAGAAACCCCACCGCTCTGAGCCAAGACGCCGCGCTCTACCCCAAGAGTTGGAATTTGCTGTCATGCTAATGGGGATATTTGCTCAAGACTATTCAGCTGCTGGTCTAACTCAAGGGGGGAACTATTCGAATGCCGATTTGTTTCCTCCACTCTACAAAGCATCAGAACGATAAATTGCTCGTTCTCATGTTGGAAGCAAGAATGAAATTGCACAGAAATAAAACGACATACTGTGATTCACCTATGAGAGCACGAATGCTGACATGATGTGTGTCCCCTAGACCCTTGATATTAAAAAAACCAAAAGTGGCTGTAATTTTCCGCCTTAAAGGTTTATATCATTCCTGAAAGCCACGAGCGAGCCCAACTATTATTTATTTATATTGCCTCGGTACGTATGCCACTTGCGCTCTATTCCAGGTCAGCATAAGGATACACTCGACATCATAATCTTAAGGTATCTGTGGCACCGCCTTACTATTCCAGCCCTCTTGTTACAAGCGGGTCATGGGCGTCCTCATGTTTTATATGACCATACTAGCAGAACCACCCGTGGCACACGCCACGCGTCCAAGGCAAAAAAAATAAAATAAAATAAAATCGTCGCTTGATTGTATGTTCAGCACATTTCTACAGATGATATTCTGGGTATAAATGCCCCTCCCTTGCATCTCTGGAGCTATTTCTGACCAGAGCCTTGAGGTTATCTCGGTGTTTGCAACGCGAGAAGCCGACATACAGCTGCCCAGCACCAAAGACGTGCTGAGGAAGGTAAAACACCAAACGTGGTCAAGTGTTTAGTCCTTGCACCTTGTTAATTAATGGTCATGGCAAACGCAGGCTTGACAGGAAACTGGCGCTCAGTGGGCTTGATTGGCGTAGACCCTCCGCCCAAGGTCGTGAGAGGGGTAAGCACCGTTCGATCCTTGAAGTCGACGTTAAGAACCTAGGCACTGATGTATCTCCGACGGAGTGATCAAACAATCAAACGGGTAACCATTGCAGAGGCCGGATTTGTCGTCCTAGTTTCAAAGGAGAATGATGGGCTGGCCCACCTTCAGCAGCAACTCGTGGGGAGGCAGGCATACCTGGAGGATTGAGAGGATTCAGGTACTCTGCAGGATATGCGGCCCCCTTGACATCATCCGCTACTTTATCCTGGCTGTGATAAACCTGTCCCTGACCTTGACCCCAACTACTGTAAAAAGCATCGGGGGTTGCCATAGCATTGACCCTGTCAACATCGACATTTAGTGTCGTCAGTATAGCCCGACCTTCCAAAAAGGACTGACTGCAAGGGAGCGGTCTCAATGTCGGGGTAAATCTCCCTGAAGAACTGCTTTTCGGGAGGGGTTGTCCCTGGTGACGGGGTCGGATGGGTTGAAGATAAACTGATCTGGAATCCTGACCAAATCATCGTATAGTCCTGAAGCCGCTGTTTGGCTCCGTGCCACTGTGCGAAAAAACTGCTTAAGCGGATCTCCCTTTGTTCGCATGTTCTCTCTAAGGAACAATGTCTGTACGTGCGGCCAGTTCTTTCGAGAGTTCTTGAGGCAGGCATCCTCGATCTGGCCAGTGGTCCCATCAATAAAGAACACTTTTGTGGCGTCTTCGTCCTTGTTATCCAGCGCTGCTGTGATTACAGCGCACAGCGCTTTTTTGATCGTCGTTGCAGAGGTCCAAGTCATGAACCGCGTTAGCCGCAAGTGCCCCCCCCCCCCCCCCCAAGTGTCGAGCTCTGCAGCTCCCTTCAAAACCTCGTTGACACAGAAATAGTGTAGTGCTCTTGGCATCCTCTTCAGCATTTTGGGCGATCTCGAGCAATGTCCAGAAAGTCCGGAGATAGATCGTCAGTGAACGCTTCCCATAAAATTCGAGAGGATTTAGATGGGGGGCTGCATAGATGTAGAACCATGGCGAAAAAAGATGGTGTAAGGCCGCTAAGCTTCAACTCCCTGTCACTAAATCTTCAATGAAGTGCATCTAAACCCAATGCGCTATGCCCGGCGATTGTAAGCGGCAATTAAATCAGCGCGCCTGGTGGGAGATATAAATTGGCTCTAGACCTATGTCTTCATTACCTTGGCTGATTAGTTGTCCTCAGTCTATGGATGACATCGAAGCGCGGAAGAATCTTCAGGGGGTAGGCGGGAGGGAGGGGACCATTGATAATAGAGTGATTCTGAGTACACACAACCCCCCCCGATCGGTGGCAATGAATCTCTGAAATTCCTTTGGATCTGAATACATAAAGACGCATGTGTCTGTGGGTATGTATGTCTTTGTACCTGAACTTTTTTTTTTATCGCAAATCGTACGACCTCCCCTGCAGTCTCCCTATTTTTTATTTTTATTAAAAGTCTATGGATGGTGCTTTGCCTGGCTGTTTACATGTGTTCATACTTTCTTTTTTTCTGATTAATGTAGACTTTAATGCTGTTTTCCATCCCCATGATACGGGTATGAGCGCTAACAAGAGGGAGGGGAGGAAGGGGACGTTTTTTTATCTCCCTGGCAGCACATTGCGTATGTACAGTGCACACTTCATACGATTTCGATATGATATGAAATGTGGGCTCCACCACTCTTCCGTGCTCCTTTTCTGTGGGGCTAGAACTTTTATTTTCGCACTTGCTCCGTGCACCGGTTTAAAAGTCCGACCCCAGCATTCTCGTGTTTCCGATGTGGCTCGAGAGCATCTCGGAAGGGTAGGGTGGGTGAGGGGGGGAAGGGGATGGACCATGTCCAAGAAGCAACCCACGGATTGTACGATGGATCCGTGGATCAATGGATCAGGACCATGAAGACAATTACAACGAAAATAAATAAATAAATAACTAATACAGAACATTACGCACTGATCTCCTCCCCTGAGTGGTGTTCCTTTGGATCATTACTCATCGGTTGACATTCTTCATTCTCACGTATGATAACCTCCTTGGACTCGCAGCTGGCAAAAAGAGAGAGACGGGGGTGGGCATCTGAGCCGGTAAGCGTGTCTATCATGTCTGCATATGGCTTGAAGTTTCCGTGTATAGAGACCTACGAGGACCCTCAAAGTGAAGAGGGGATTATGGTAAGATGAAGGAAATATGCTGTTTCAGTGCTCCTGTATTACATTACATATTACTAACAGTCAGTTCAGCTATGGACTATGACTACAAGACATAAGGCAGCCCCATTCGCCGCGGAACAGCACTTAGCATGGTTACGATGCATCCATCTGGAAAGACCGAGAGTCAAAGTAAAGCAATTCAATTTGTGGCATAATTGACCCTCTCCACAGCAGCAAATGCCTAGTACAAAGAAAGAAACGCCCCGTTCACCTCATCGTCATCATCATCATCATTGTACACAAAGAAAAAAAAAACATGCCAAAGGGGGGAAAGGATAGAAATATGTACAGACCAATCTATGTCATCGTGAGAGGTCATGCGTAGGATACGTGGTATATATGAGTGCGCAGGTACATGGGACATGGACATGGTGGAAAAGGCAAACATCGCACAGACAGAGAGAAAGCGGACACAAGGAGGACGATCGACTGTGCCACGACATCATGTCAGGCAAGTAGTAGCTGCTAGCAAGAGGAGATCGGAGGGGGGGATGTTAATTGCTGTATCTCAAGGAACGACGCAAGACATGATACGATATGATTGATATTCCATGACATGTGTGGTGAGGATTGCGAGTGATAGCAACTGCATCAAGGAGAAGATTGTGGATAAGATAGGGCATTGCCTACACAGATACTTCATTGGGTAGGACTCGAGCTCGACTGGAGTAGACTGGACCAAGTGGGATCTGTCATCCTTGCAGGACGGATCTGGGTAGCCATGTTCGGGTGGGCGGGTAGGCCGATTGTTCTTCTTCTTGTTGTTGCTGCTGCTGTTGTTGTAGTAGTTGTCGCAGAAAGGGAAGGTGCGTGGGGTAGACGGTGGTAATAAGCGGAGTTTGATCCCCTGTTCCCTGTGCTCAATGGGGGTGGGGTCGATGTTGGATGGTATAAAAGTGTATAGCACCCTAAATAGAGGAAAGTCATATCTGAAAGAACCAATTGTTTGCCACCCTCAACTTCTCCTTTTCTTCTTCCTCTTAATCCTCATCTTCACTCTTTCATTCCAAATCTCATTCCGCATTCCTCTCATTCCTCTCCCCCTCTCGCTTCAACTTCTAGATTCCTTCCCTACCGCAGTGTACCTGTAAATACTACTACTCCACCATGTCCGCTGATACCAAGACCCTGAACGACCTCATCAAGGCCACCCAGGACCAGACCGAGGCCGGGGACAGAAAGGCCGAGGCCGCAAAGGTTGGCGACGAAGTCAAGCGTCTCGGTATCGTCAAGGCCTTCCACGATGGCAATCTCATCAAGACCCTCACCACCTTGCTCGAGAGCAAGAAGCAAGCCAACTTTCGGGAAGCAGCCTACGACATCCTCGCCAGCGTAAGCAAAGCAGTCGGACAGGCTGGTGAGCCCTATCTTATCCCATTGGTCCCCAAGGTCCTGGATGGATATGCCGACAAGGTTGCCTCGGTCCGTGAGGCTGCAGAGGAGGCCAGCAAGGCTATCATGGCCCTACCCTCTCGCTATGCTGTCAAGCTGCTGTTGCCTGTCCTCTTTGATTCGATCGAGAATGGACGCTGGCAGTCCCAGTGCGGAAGTCTTCAGCTCCTTACTGGACTCTCAAAGACCTCACCCAAGGTATGTACGCATTCGACATGCGAGTCCACATCAATTGCAGTAAGGAACTACTGCCTTGGTCAGCTTCAATTGCTAATGCGCCTTTGTTTGATTGCTCGCATTTGTTTCTACAGCAAATTAGTCTATGCCTCTCAGAGATTGTCCCAGTCCTCAGCGCCAGCATGTGGTCCACTCGTCCCGAGGTAAGGAAAAGTGGCTCCTTGGCCCTTTCGCCATCGAGGGATCAATGAAACAGTGGCAACCTGCGTGACGGGATATAGCCGCGCGACTGCGAACCTTGATTGCTGACAGTCTCAAACTGTGTTGCGCTTCTTTTGATTAGGTTCGCGCCGAGGCCACCAAAACCACGACTGCCTGCTTCGAGGTCGTCGGTAACCCCGATCTGACCTCATCTATCCCTTACCTGGTCGGATGCATCAATCGCCCCGAGGAGGCACCAGAGTGCATCCATCAGCTAGCGTCGACCACATTCGTTACTACAGTCGAAGCCCCAACGCTCGCCATCATGAACCCTCTGCTCATCCGCGGTTTGGCCGAGCGATCACCCGCCATCCAGCGTCAGACCGCTGTTATCATCGACAACATGTGCAAGCTCGTGGAGAACCCCGCTCACGCCCATCAGTTCTTACCTAAGCTATTGCCTGGACTGGACCGTATGATCGAAATCGCTGCCTCTCCCGAACTCCGCTCCGTTGCTGAGCGCGCCCGCGCTACCTTGGTTCGAGTCGGAGGAGGAGAGAAGGCCCAGGAGGAGAGCACAGTCAACATTGCTTATGAGGTCAAGCCCGCAGAGGTGCTCGAGACTCTCAAAAAGACCATCGGGTCTGCACTCAAGGTTAACGATTTTGTGCTGACCAGCTTGAACTACAGCGCCACCCTTTGCTCCGAATTGATCACAAGCCGCGACTTTGAGGCCGATGCATGGCATGCCTCCATCGTCCCTTACCTGTTGACCTTTATCTCCAAGGACGAGGCCAAGCGTGTTGCGAGCGAGGTCCACAAGTTCTACGTCGACTTTGATGCCAAGAACACTCTTGCGAATGCCGCTGTTGCAGATGTCGAGGAGGGTGAGCTCCTGTGCGACTGCGAGTTCTCTCTCGCCTATGGCGGTATGATCTTGCTGAACAAGACCCGCCTCAATCTTCGCCGCGGCCAGCGTTATGGTCTCTGTGGTCCCAACGGTGTCGGCAAGTCGACTCTCATGCGTGCTATCGCCGATGGACAGCTCGAGGGCTTCCCTCCACCAGATGAGCTGCGCACAGTCTTTGTCGAGCACAATTTGCAGGCAGAGGAGGCTGATCTGCCCGTTGTTGAATTCATGTTTGCGGATCCCAAGCTCGATAACATTCCCCACGAGGAGGTCGTTGAGAGGCTGACCAGCGTCGGATTCACGCCTGCGATGCAGCAGCAAGCTGTGGGCTCTCTTTCGGGTGGCTGGAAGATGAAGCTGGAGTTGGCCCGTGCCATGTTGATGAACGCCGATATTCTACTTCTGGACGAACCCACCAACCATTTGGACGTCCATAATGTCGCTTGGCTTGAGAACTACCTCACCAGCTTGACCAATGTCACCTCGATGATCGTGTCACACGACTCCAGTTTTTTGGATACTGTCTGCACAGGTATCATCCACTACGAGAGCCGCAAGCTTAAGAAGTACCGTGGTAACCTGTCCAAGTTCGTTGAGCAGTACCCCGATGCCAAGTCCTACTACGAACTCAAGTCTTCTTTGGTCTCGTACAAGCTGCCCGAGCCCGGTTTCTTGGATGGCGTCAAGTCCAAAGACAAATCTTTGCTTCGCTTTACCAACATCTCGTTCACGTATCCAGGCAATACTGTGCCTACGATCAAACACATGTCAGCGCAGATTTCACTCAACTCCCGAGTGGCTGTCATTGGTCCCAACGGAGCTGGTAAATCGACTTTGATTAAGGTCGTGACTGGAGAGACCGTCCCCCAGGACGGCGAGGTTATCAAGCACCCCAACTTGCGCGTGGCCTATGTTGCCCAGCATGCCTTCCACCACGTCGAGCAGCACTTGACCAAGACCCCCAACGAGTATATTCGCTGGCGTTACCAGTACGGTGAAGACCGTGAGTTGGCAAGCAAGGCCAGTCGTCAGATCACTCCCGAGGAAGAGGCACAGATGAAGAAGCTGATTCAGTGGGAGATCAATGAGAAGATCGAGAAGCTCCAGATCGAGGATATTTATGGTCGTCGCAAGGCCAAGCGCTCATTCGAGTACGAGGTTCAGTGGGTTGGCCGCACTTACGAGGACAACGCCTGGATTTCCCGTGAGAAGTTGGAGGAGTGGGGCTTTGAAAAGCTGGTTCAGTCGTTTGATGACAAGGAGGCGGCCCGCGCTGGAGCCTGGACCCGTTCATTGACGGCCGTTGAGGTCGAGAGGCACTTGGGTGACCTCGGATTGCCTGCAGAGTTCGCGACGCATAGCCACATCAAGGGTCTTTCGGGTGGTCAGAAGGTCAAGGTGGTTCTTGCGGCAGCCATGTGGCTGAACCCACACGTCTTGGTTCTGGATGAGCCCACGAACTACCTGGATCGCGATTCCTTGGGCGCATTGACGGAAGCCCTGAGGGAGTTTGGCGGTGGTGTTGTGATCATTTCTCACCACCGTGATTTTACAGAGGCCATCTGCACAGAGACATGGAGCATCAATGCTGGAGAGCTGACGGTGACGGGCAACAACTACACACAACGCGCGGAGAGCAAGATTGTGCAGAAGGAAGCGGATACGAAGATCGATGCGTTCGGTAACATTGAGAAGGTCAAGTCAACGCGCAAGTTGTCGCGCAAGGAGTTGAAGGAGAAGCAGAAGCGCCGTGCAGCAGCGAAGAAGCGTGGCGAGGAAGTGTCGGAAAGTGAGGATGAGCTGTAAGGACCCCCTCCCCCAGGAACTCATTCATACCTCTCTCCTCCCTCTTTCTGTTCCTGTTATGTCTTTGTTATGTCTTTGTTATCTCTTGAGTCAGTCAAAGCAGTGCAGTCTATTTCTTTCCTCAATTTGCAAAAAAGCAAGCCAACTCAATTCAATCGCATGCACATAAAATAAAAAGAATTGGTTGTACAGAAATATCCTGAGGACTGCCACCACATTCCAGCCAATTCCAGTCGATCGTTTGTTGTTACACCAAACACAAAGCAAACGGCAAAGTCGATCGAAACCCATTTCCAGCTCGCAGCGGGCGATCAAATTTTTCATTCGTTCCCTAGTCGTGATGCCTGTGATCCCTTGGTGGGTTCATTTTTTGAAAAACATGTAATGCCTAACTGGCTACTTTTGGCTCTTCATTTTTTCTTGTGCACAAAGCCAAGCATAAACTTTTGCAAGAATCGGTTTGAATGAGAGAACCCTCGTCAGCGCCCATGATGCCTCTTGAAGGCCATGTATGTTCTCCATGTTCTCCAGTTAAAACGAAAGGAAGGAAAGCAGAGCACGTTTAGTAAACGAAGATAACAACCGTGGGAGAGGCCACACGCGAATGGACCAATGCTGAAGCGGCCTCAGATGCAATCGGTAGAGGAAACTGTCGCAAAGCGAGGGTTTCAGGACATGTGTGCGTGGGATAGAAGAGAACGAAACAAAGCGCCGTTGTGACTGTTGTGTCCGCAATCCCAGGACACACGAGGGAAGAGAAGAGAAGACAGGGGAGAAGGAGAGGTTGAGAGCAGGAAGAACTGGCGCTTGTGGAGAATCATATCATGGTACTTGCTCGTAATGGTGCGCAAGTATCACTGACCCCGTTTTGGCGTAGCGTAAATTGAAGTAAGAGCTCGAAAAGTCGATCGCCATATTAATGAGCTCTGCAGAAAATGGAAAAACGCTTCGTGCGACCCTCGCTCTGAGGACTCTCGTGTTCATACACACATTCGTTTTTTTTTTTTTTTTTTTTTTTTTTTGTGTGTTCAGTGAGGATCAAACCCTAGCGAAATGATTGGATCTTAGACGCGCTCTCGTCAGTTCTCTTCGGCGCCTTGCTAGAGAAAGGACATAAAAACTGTTTTTGCTAGTAGGATGATCGAATCATTGCGCGCTTCAAGGACAGGACCAGCAACAGCACCCTAGAGATCCCAAGGAACTTTGTTCCTGATAAGATTAAACGCGTTCATGTTTGAACGATCAACACGGTACGTTATATATCATTGAACTATATACATCCTACCCGGCGCGCAAATCGATAGGGGGTCAATTCCATTACTTGGTCCTGGGGTGGCTCTTGACGGGACTCCGCAAGGGGAGACGCGTTTCATATGCTTAAAAAAATAATAATCGACGCGCGATAATGTATGACCAGCACTGATGGAAATAAAAAAAAAAAACTAGGTTAATGCCATGTAGAAGAATTACATGTACATGCATGTATAGTGGATGGATACCTTTGCCTTTAGCTATTACGCTAATGGACACATGGGCAACGTTCTTATCACTGGTTCCATTTATTACGTGCTCTCACTCACTCTCCACACTTCACGCTCCACTTCAGTCGTACTGTTGGTATCTTGTTGTTTCGATCACAGCACTTTTTTTTTTTCCAGAAACAATTAAGAGCTGGGTTATGCGGGCGTATACCCTAGCTTCGTTTCCATTGTTATTATTGGTTGTTTGGCATTTAATATCCTGCGCTGTAATGCAAGTATCGATGCTTCCTGCTCTCGCTGTAGATGCATAACTAAACACATGTCGACGCCACGAAGTATCTCTTTCCCCCCCCCCCCCCCCCCCACCTACCGCTAATTCATTTAAACGGCTTTAATGCATAGTCCTTGTTTTAGCCTAGGGACCTAGTAAGGGGAAGGAAGGGGTTGGATAAAGTCAATATGGTTGCAATAAGTCCTAAGCTACACAAGATAAATTAGATGTTTATATGGTAGCAGGTTTGTATGACGACGGTGCGCTGCAAGTGAGGAGCATATAGGCCATGCACCGGATTATTTTCTTTACGAACCCATGGATACATGCCAAATGCATGCGAGGTTGCCAAAAAAGACGCAGACGCTGGAGGCCGATATTCCTTAAGGCATGCAAGGTAGGTTACACTTGTTATTCCCCCCTAACTCCTCATTATCATCTAGGCTTGAATAAGGTCTCTCTTTGTGTGCGGTCTACGCCGATGTTGAACGATCAATGTTATTATTGTTTTTTGTTCATCAAGCTGCAAGAAGTATGTGTGTGTGTGTGTGTGTGTGTATGAGAGGGGGGGAAGTGATCAGGTGCAGTCTGTGTGTTGCGGACTTGCAGCTGTGAGCTGAGCTGTGAGCTGAGCTGTCCTCTTCTTTGTTCGTTCTGTTCGTCAGTAGAGGATTGCGCAAAGGATCCAGAACGAGGGCGACTGAGCATCGAACTGACGGTTGTCGTCTTTGTTTTTTTTTTTCTTTTGCTCTTGCTCTTGCTCCTCAAGGTAACCGCACAATATGCTCTCCCTCTTCTCTCCACGATCGAATTTTTGTTGTTGTTTTTTGCTTGAGTAAACATTTCTCTAGTGCTATGATGCAGACAAGACAAGACAGGAAACATGGCATGACCTGCCATTGACTGTGCCTGGCACTCACTCCAATTCATAAAATAAAATACAGCCCGCAGGCAGATTCCAAACCTAAACTCCATAGCACGAGGTCCATGCATCCCCCACCACTCCCATCCCATCCCGCCTCGACAGCCAAACATAGTAAGCAGCGGAGCATACCATACAAACAAACAAAATCCTTCCTTGCCTGCCCTTTGCCTCGATTGACGTAAACAAATCAATAGGATGAAGACTGAGAAAAAAAAAAAGCGAGGTGGGAGGGATAGGCCATAGAAGGAAACATGCAGATATCTTCCATTCCATTTAATTCAATTCAATTTAATACATGCATCGCATACAGCAGCAAAAACCCTGCACCTGAACCTGACCTTAACCTCACCTCCACCGCCCTGTCCTCGGGAGCTGCATGCTTGCTTGCAAAAAAAAACCAAAGAACAACGAAGAACTGCTTCGGAGGAAACGTTATATAAGGTATCGGTGTCCTCGACCATCCCGCGTCTTTTTTTCCCTTACATATCAGCCCTCAGTGTCATCGTCCATTCTTGCTGTCTATCGCCAACTCTCTTTCTCTCTTTCTCTCACTTTCTTTCTTTCTTTCTCTCTCTCGTTTCGCTTTCTCTCACCACGGTTGTGAAATAGCTTCTTCTGTAATTATTTCCGAACACCCATCCTTCCTCGTCTAACACTATATACCCTATCTTTGTCTATACTCTCACGCCCACCCTCTTCACGTTTCTCTTCTTTGTATATTCCTTCCCATTCCTTTAAAAAAAAACACTACATTTACCACCTACCACATGACGCACCTCTCAGATCTCTCCTACGTCCAGCGCGGAGTCTGTTCAGCTTGGTTCTATGGCTGGTTCATAATCTATGTCTTCCGCTGGGATCGCTTTGAGGCCCTTCGCCTACGACGAATCGCGCGCTTTGAGCTACGCAGCGTTGTAACGTTACTTATCCTGATCGCCTTGGCCCTTCAACTATCGTAAGTCGTCCATATCCTTCCACCTACTCGTCAGAGCTTATACCCCCATTCACGCTTCCCATCAACAATCACAACAGCAACTACTACAACAACAACTACGACGACAATAACTATAACAACAACAGCACGCTACACTCTTGTCTATAAACACAACAGACCCTCTTGGTCGTGGACCACAACTCCTTTGCCTCCCAATACACCTTTCTCGTTGTTGTTGTTGTTGTTGCTTTTTGGCTCGTGATTCTGTCAACATTTGGGTTACCCTCCATTTCCTTGCTCCTGAGCTTTCAGCATCGCTAGGTTACAGTGTTGACCTTTATTACGCGTGAAGTGCTTTCAAAAAAAAACACACGGCTTTGACAACCCGCTACCATGCACTGCGGCATAGAAGCATGGGCCCCCTTATTCCCTCTACCCATCTCTACGCTTTAATATTCTCTCGCTACACAAGTGCGACCACAATCATTGTGTATAACATATCGCCTGGGTATCCCTGTGCCACCACAAGTGGAAAAATAAAAGGTTTTCCAATCGAGGAACCAATTACATAAATGGACTAGGGTCGTTCAGGTAATACAGGTGCAGAGGGCGCGCTTGTTTGGGGGCGACAATCTTACTCTACTAGACACACACTCAAGCATGGTGCACCTCGCCATCCCCGTCCGGCGACGCCCATGCTGGGCGCATTTCGGTCTTTTGCCCTCCATCCTTGTGTCACATCGTAGAACGAAATCGGGATATGTTCTTGACCCTGGATTACGATACCACACCATGCTCTTCCCGCCAGTCATCCAAAAAAACAAAAGCCGAAAACTAAAATGCAAAATGCAAAATGCAAAATGCGCACTGCCGATTCCAGCACTGATTGTCTCATCACCCTCGTTTCTTTTTTCACTTCTTTCAATGACATCCATACCATATTAGCTATGATATAGGCAGCGCTCGACTGAAATATCTCGAGGGTTTCTGGATTAATCCGCGGACCAAGGAGATCCAGTCCAAGCCAGCACAGGCTTGGAGTCCGGAGGACATGGTCCATGTCGAGCCTCTCTACTACACTCTGGCCTGCTGTCTCGCATTTGAGAACTCATGCTTTTTCTTGCTCCTGGCATTCTGGTCCTACATCTCAAAGTCCGTTACAAAGTCGTCGTTTATGTCGAGCTTTGAGTTCAAGGTCAACATTGTTTGCTCCTGCATCGTGATCGTCCTCTTCCCAACGGTCCAGTACCTCTTCCGCAAAGACTTTGTCTACCGTGAGGTCGTTCCCCAGATTCTGTTCAGTATCCTGACGTTCATCACCGGTGTTCTCGGTATCCGAACGCATTTTAAACTGGTTGTCCTGATCAAGAACGCGCGCGAGATCATGAACGAGACTACGTTTCATGTTCTTCAAAAGCTTGAGTACTTTAAAGACATGGTAAGCCTTGGGGGGTTGAACCGATCAAAGTCGGGGTGTAGAGCGTAGGGGGATTTCCTTGGTACCATGCCAATATACTGATCATATTTTTTTTTCCCGCGCTTTGATTTCTTTTCCCGTGTCTTACCAAATCATAAATAGAATCTGATCTTGACGTTCGGACTCTTTGGTACGTCCATTCCTCTGGGGATCATGTCCGCGGATGGTCTGACTTCGAACCCTGTGATCGCGACGAACAAGTTCGCATCCGATTTTTTGATTACGAACCTCAACTTTTTCGAGTTCATCATCTGGTAAGTGAACAACAAAGTGCGCACAGGAAAAAAGAAGGATCTTGGACCATTTGCACAATGCGCGGGCGATGCATGCATGAATCCAAAGGGCTGAAAATAGAACAAGACGTCCTTGTGCATGCGGAATGTGGCGAAGCACATCATTCCTGACCCTCTTTCCCCCTCCCCTTTTCTTTTTTGTTATTTTCTTCCCGTCACGAATGTTTACTCTAGGGTGACCTTGGTCCTCATTTTCTATCCTCGGAAGACCGGTACGGGCTCGCCCTTCGATGGAGGGTCGGGCGGATCTTCAAACATGGTCTCGCTTTCGGCCTATAACCGCAACTCCAGAGATGCGCATCTCCCTCGGTTCAACGATGTCATGCCTCAAGACAACGATTTCTACTGCAAAGTCGAGCCCGTACAGGATTTGGAGAACCCTGTTTGGTCCGTGGATCGCTCTGCGGGTCCACGTCATCAGCGCACGCTAAGCAATGAGAGCAGATATACGACCCATACTCCCATCCCCCTTCCGCCTGCTGCTGTCACTGTTGCTGCATCGACATCCAAGTCCAATAGCAAGCCCGAATTGATCTCTACTACGATTTACTACCAGGACGGTCTCGCCAAGGCCCAGCAGGAACAACAACAGCAGCAAGATCAGGAATTCTACTCCAGAAGTCTTCAGAACGGTTCCCTCCCCAATCCCAACGGTACCTCCTTGCCACACCGATCCTTCAGCCAGAGCAGCCATTACAGTTTGCCAACCCCCCACCAGCCCCATCGTTCGGGCAGCCAGGCTAGCCAGCGTCCATTGGTTCCTAAGGCAAGCAAGCGTGGTACACGAGTTGCCCATAGTTCTATGGATTTCCGTCCATCGCGAGATTATCCTTCGCTTGCGCAAGAGGCATCAAATTGGGATCAGTCGAATGTGTCGAGGTCACAGTCATCTGGCAGCAGTCGTCCTCTGCGTCAGCAGCAGCAACAGCCAGTGTACCACGATGAGACAGCGAACACCGCGCGCGCTGCTTCTGCAATGGCGTATCCATATCAGAGGACGAGCCTGGATAGTGACCGGGAGATCATTCAGATCGCGTATGTGCGGAGCATGAGTGAGGATAATAGTGCGAGCCACAGTAGTTTTTATGAAGCTTTGGGTCGAGAAGCAACGGCTGCTAATGCGAGTGCGGCTGCAGCGTCGAGACCCTATTCTCCACGACACTTTTAATAATAATAATAATAATAATAATAGCCTGCGTCAAACCAGACTGTTCGATTTAGAGAAATGTTGACTCCCTTGTTGGGAGAAAAGTTCAACTTGCGTATTTGTAAATCCAACACAACGCACACTTTCCATGTAAGGCAAAACGAACCACACGCGTTCAAACATGAAAACGAACAGTTTCGTTTTGACCGTGCAGAACCTTTATGGGGCTAATTGTTTGGCCTACAGGCCTGCGAGAGTGATGAGAGTAATGGCGTTAGATAGATATTGGTTAAGGCTTTCCTGCTGCAGGATTGGATGGCGTCAGGTTAGATGTTGGCTGCCCAGTTAGTAAGGAATAAAAAACGAACAGCCGTATCACCGAACGCAGTGTGATATTTTACCCTTATTTTCACCTACAGATAAGAAAGTCAACAAGATAAGATAAGGATCTTTATTTTCAGGACAGACAGTACCTTATAAGGCGGTTCCCGTCTGCACCACGTGAAGGGTATTCTTCTCTGCTCGTACGTACCACAAAGGTCAATATAGTGCAGACCCTACAGCAGGAAAGCCTCGATCAATATCTATCTAACGCCATTACTCCCATCACTCTCACAGGCCTGTAGGCCAAGCAATTAGCCCATAAAGGTTATGCACGGTCGAAACGAAACTGTTCGTCTTCATGTTTGAACGCGTGTGGTTCGTTTTGCCTTACATGGAAAGTGTGCGTTGTGCGTTGGCCTTGACGGGAAGGTATTCGATTTACAAATACGCAAGTCTGAACTTTTCTCTAAATCGAAGAGTCTGGTTTGACACAAGGAAAAAAAAGGTTAATCTTGTGTGTTCAATCATATCGTACTCCGACGAGAAAGAGAGAGAGAGAAAGAGAGGAAGCAAGAAGAGACCCATTGGACTATTTCCAAAAACATTCCTTGAAGAACAATGGGGGCAGGGTGGATGCTGTGATGCTCTCGACAAGGCAGATCTGAGGACATCGACAAATGAAAATTGTCCGTTCAGGTATTAGTGAGGGTCCAGCGATCGATCCACAGCCGATCACTTTTGCTGTTAGTCTATTTCAGGGCGAGGTACTTTTCTCATGTGGGTTCATACAACTGAAACCTTCGAGGGTGCTGAAATGAACGTACCGAGACTTATTCCAAGACCGAGGAGAGACCGCTCGACGGATTCCATAGACGGCAACCTTATTCGTCCACAACTAGTTGTGGAATGAGGGTGGATTGGGCGCTTGCTCACTTGCTCGCTCAGGAACTTATCTGTCTGGTCGAAACGGCTGAATGTGTTCCATGGCCTAGTTCCTTCGCTCTCTTGCTGCTCCCTCTCCACAAGTAAACATTCGGAGATATGAAGAAGCCCAGCGAACCAGCAGAGGGAGAATAACAAAGAGAATTCAACTCTCTTTTTGCTCACAGGTCATTCCAGTCGGACTTGCCTCCGCATCCGCTTTATTTCCCACTCGCTGGCGCCGAGATGTTCTTTACTTTCCTGCGCTGTGTCCATTATTATTAACTTTCCGTTGCTGGACTCTCTTGCAGGTGGACGACTGTTTCTAGCGAAACCAAGGCTGTCTTGAGTTTGGAGCATATACGCGGAATGGGTCGAAAGAGTAGTCCGTGTACTTTGAACTCCTTTCCTCCTTTGAAGTTGTTTTTTTTTTTTTCTTTGCTTCCTCAGTCCTCACTCCCACATCCTCTCCACTCTCCTCTTCCTCTCCATCCGCTTCACGACCTTCTTTCCTCTTCCTCCTCCGACTCCATCAGCCACTCCATCTCATCCACACACCCACACCGTTACGACACTTGCTACCCCTCCCTCCCTTATCTCTCTTCCCCTCCCCTCTTCCCACATCTCATCTCTTCCACAATTACGCCCTCGATCGCGCGCTCAAACCACATCGTCACCGCTTTAGTAACAAAGTCAAAGCCCTTCCACAATGACTCATCTGTCCGATTACTCGTTTACCCAGCGAGCGATTGCCAACGGCTGGTTCTACCTTTGGTTCGTAACCTACGTCTTCCGATATGACCGCTTCCAAGCGCTGAATATCAAACGCATCTTACGATTTGAACTGCGCAGCATCGTAACATTGCTACTACTGATCGCTATCCCGCTACATCTAATGTAAGTTTTCCTGCTTTTAATATTTAACACATGGGATTTGGGATTTGTGCCTGTGTATGAGCGTTGATTCTTTGGCTCATGTGCAGTGCTTCCAGAAAGACCAATGGGTTATCTTGGTTGCTCAACAAGACTTTCCCAAGTGATCGGCATCTGTGCATGTGCCTATCCATGCATGCCGTTTTTCTTAGCCCTGAATCGAAAGAACAAAAAGCATATGAATATATGGATAGACACAGAAAATTGGCCTTGTGCTTGTACAACGCTACACTTAATCATCCATTGCATTAATTAGTGCTGACGCGCCTTTCTATATATTACATTTATTACTATTTAACTATAATACTACGTCGCGTAATACATAGATATGATATAGGATGTGCAATGATCAAGTATCAGGAGGGTTTCTGGTCCAACCCTATATCCAACGAGATCATCAGTCGACCCTCCTTCCTCTGGAGCCAGCCCAACCAGGACACTGCCTCTGCGCTCGACTACGCCTTGGCCTGTTCAATGGCGCTTCTCACCAGCATCTTCTTCTTGCTCCAGTCGTTTTACCACTACATTTCAAAATCGGTCACAAAGTCGTCGTTCATGTCCAGCTTCGAGTTCCGGCTCAACATTGTGTGTTCTTTCATTGTGATCGCATTATTCCCGCTGCTCCAGTTTCTCTTCAGGAACAATCTTGCCTTCCGTGAGGCAGCCCCCCAGATGGCATTCAGCATCGTGACGCTAATTATTGGGTTCTTGGGCGTGAGGACCCATTTCAGGTTCAAGTCGTTGTTGAAGGTGGCGCTGTTAACGATCAATGAGAACACACAGGGTGTGGCCGAGAAGCTTGAGTACTTCAAGGACATGGTAACATTCTCTTCCAGACAGTGTTTTTAAGGGTCCAATTCTTGAGGATACAGGATGCTTACCTTTTTTTTTTTTTCTTCCTTTTCAATAGAACCTGATTCTCACATTTGCCATGATGGCCAACGGCGTATCCTTGGGCATCGCCTCTGCAGATGGTTTGACTTCTAGCCCCATTATCGCCCACAATAAGTTCGCATCTGATTTCCTGATCGCGAACCTCAACTTCTTCGAGTTCATTATCTGGGTGACCTTGGTGTTGATCTTTTACCCCCGTCGATCGGTCGCTGGCTCCACGTTTGGAGTGTCCACTAGCGGCGGAAGTCGCTCGCGCACGGTGCCCGTCAACACGCAAGCACAGAACCAGGACGACCACAAGCTAGGAAAAAACTATACACATAATAGCAGCGGTACAAAGTCCGGAGGTCGGTCGAATAATAACGCATCGAAGAACAGGCCCCCGAGCATTGTGGTCCCCTACCGTGCGCCCGAGAATTCGAACGCCAGGGCAGAGTACATTGATCTCCAGATCTCACCCCGTCATAACCATAACCATAACAGCTTTGGATACAACGATCATGACACCTATCCTCTCACGCAGGGCGTGACACAGGACCGGACGGATGCTGTGCAGATGAACACGTTCAAACCCATGTATGATGATCCGTTGCAGGCTGATAGATCCTCGCCGTCGTCACATTCCTTGCCTAGACAGCAGCTCCACCGTCAATCGCAACAACAACAACAACAACAACAACAGCAACAGCAGGAATATAATACTGTGGGGGCTATAAGATCCCCTCCTCATTCGCCTCTTGCTTCACCGTCGCGTCATGGTGCCGTATCACCATTGTCATTCTCGTTTGACCAGCGAGTCACCAGTCCAACGGCTCCGATCTTTGGCGTTGGCGTGCCTCGACAGTCACAGCCAACAGCCGCAACGACGAGGGTCGGACAGCATACGTTTGCGTTGGAGGATGCACCAGGGGTCGCGCACCAGCGCGCCAAGGCGGCGATGCAGCAACAGCAACAGCAAGCGGTTATGGTGGATGAGTATGGGAACGGAAGGCCAGGCACCCCCACGACACCTACGCGTGCTAGAAAAGAGTTTCGGAGTCCACCTACGTACTGAAAGCGACTCTAGCAATTAGAATTGTACATTAGAAATTTCCACATTTTCATCTTTATCTGTTGCGGTCAACCGAAGAAGAAATAAAAGAGGAGATCTATTCGACAGCCCCTCCCTTATACCCTTACATTGGGGGGTTTTTTTTGCGAGCATCCGAGTACAACGTACGCCATCGTCAAGGGGGTCCTGGAGTAACTAAATCCTAGTTCTTTCTTACTAAAACCGTGGAGATGTTACTTGCCCTAACGAATATCACTCGCAGCCGTAAGCATACTTATTTTTTTTTACGAAAAAGACAGAAAAAACCTTCGCGTTTGAAGATGAACAGGGGCAAGTGGTATGCTCAGATAACCTAAGCCCATCCATAGTGTCCCTATAGCAGGATCATACATAACACGCAAATCAATGGTTGGGTTTGTTAGTCTAACTAGTACCTTTTTTTATGTTCACATGGTACGGCACCTGCTTCACGAGGGGGCCTGTTGCTTTACGCCCAGCGCCAAGTATTTTACATGGATTTTCTGCATGGGTTGTCCAACTAATTATCCTCCAAAAAGAGGACCATGGGGGGTGGGCGCCGGAATCTCAAAAAAAGCCCAACGCGGGGATCGAACCCGCAACCTTCAGATTAGAAGTCTGATGCTCTACCGATTGAGCTAGCCGGGCAGGCTGCTTTAAATTCGCGGTTTTAAAAACCTTTTTGATCCTAGAATTTTAAGGACCCAGCCACAGAGTGGCTTATGTGTTGTCGTTTTGGGGCAATTTTGGCCCTGACGGCTCGAGATCTTGCCAGCCAGGGTCATCAGCATACTTTCTTTACTCTCCACTCCCTACTCTGCTCTTACCATTTCCTGTACGCCTGTTATTTCTTGGTTTTCCTCCATCCCTTTTTTATCTTTTCCCTCTACTTTTCTTATCTTTTCATCTCGTGTTGAGTTTCTCATTTAAAGACAACCAGGACGATGCCAGCACACTCCTCTACACAGGCGATCTGCACCCGAATTCTAATTCGTACTCGATCAAGGACAGCGCTTGCAAGGCGCCACCAGTCGACCTTCAGTTTCTTTTCTCGCAACAGAGATACAACACCCTTGCCTGGCATTCCGACCCCTTCGAACACAGCTATCGAAACGAAAGGAACCAGCACTACGGTATCGTCAGCAGCTTCCTCCGCCCACTCCAATGATCTCAAGACCTCGCCTTCGTTTGCGAACGCCGCTCCACTCTTGGCCGCGATCCAGAATAAGGACCAAGATACAGCATGGATGGTTTATTCTGTGCTCAGCCGTGCGGGTCAATTGTCGTCTTTGCTTCCAATACACCACTCTCTTTTCCTCCGCAGCATTCGACCCGACAACCCCAACCGCTATGGATTCCAGGAGATTGCCAAACTGACGGAGCGGTTTGAACAGGTCTGGGCAGGGATGCGAGAATGCCATATCCAACCAAACATGAACGATTACACCGCCAGACTCGAGTTTTCTGTCGCGACACGACAGTATCAGATGGTGGATTTGACCTGGACGGAGATGCGGGAGAAGGCAGGATCGTCGTTGGTCATGGATAGGGGACGAGCAACTGCTGCTGTTGGCACTCATGGGCCGTCGGTTCAGCCGACGCTGCATACCTACAATTTGATCCTGCAGTCGTGTGTGCCACGGAAGAATATTGGATTGGCCATGGAGACGATTACGCTGATGAGGCGTGCGGGGATCAAGCCCGACAACATGAGCTGGGATTATGTGCTGCAGATCCATACGAAGATGAAGAACTGGGGGGCAGTCGAGTCGACTTTCCGATCGGCGTTCATAACACCGGCGGTTGGCAGCTCAGGAGGTCAGCTGCAGCAGTATATTCAACAAAACGGATCAGCTTCTTCGTCGTCAGAGTGGATGACGATCCCATTGGGTCAACGCGCGAAGTCATTACATGGAGGCGTACTTTCTTTAAACAACAATCATGGCAACAACAGCAACAGGGAAAAATTAGTACCGACGCTGCAGAATGTCCACACGCTATTTTCGTTTTACGCATATACCCAGGACCTCGAGGATTTGCGGCACATGTTTGACAGCCATGTGCGATTGTTTGGACTGGTGCCGACGACGAGGTCCTACAATGAGATGATCAAGTTTGCGTTCTTGGCACGACGGGATAGTGATGGGCTGGAATTGTTCAAGGAACTGGCGCAGATTGGTCAGAATCTGGACAAGATGCAGCACAGCAACAGCAGCAGCAATGAGGATGGACAGCAACAGACTAGAGGTCATGCGGACCCAGCACAGGCGTCATTGCCGGTTATGCAGGTTTGTGGACCGGATTTCGACACGTTCCAGATTTTGATCAAGAATGAGCTGATCGATGCTAGGAACCGATGGGGCCGCGCATGGAAATGGATCCAGGTAATGCAGGAGGCGTATGGACTTGAGCCGAGTGATAAGATGTTCAAGAGGACACTTGCGGCAATGAAACGGCGTCAAGGCTCGCCTCGCTGTGCCGATGAGGCTACGGTGCAGGCGCTGCAAGCCAATTGGGACCAGGTTCGCGCTCGTCGTGAGAGCAAAGCCGTTATCAACGGTGGTGATGGTGGTGGTGGTGGTGGCGGCGCAGGAGGTTTTAGCGAGGCTGCAGAGGAGGATGACCAGGAGCTGGCGCAAGTAACCAGCAGCTCGTAGATTAAAATAAAACAAAATAAAATAATAGATGTTTTTTCTTCTCTGCTAGTCTATTCTTTTTGTGCGCGGTTCGATATCGACTGCTTTATTTGGTTGGTTGATCCTTCGTTTTTATTTTTATTTTTTATTTTTTATTTTTTATTGAGCTCTTCGATTACGCTGAATTCCCAATATCGCGATATTTTTGATCCTCAGGATGTAGAGCTCAGGATATCTTTCAACAACAATACCCAACTACATGGTGTCGGCAAAAATCCATGCAATACGGCTGAAACTAGTGAGTTTCACACCACTAAAAAAAGGGGAAGGGCTTTATTGATATCTGCACTCTTAAAATGATTAGAAGTATCCTTATGTTCAAGGGGTCCCATTTCAGAACTGCCTAACGGCTCATCGGGAGTATAGAGGGCATCAAAAAATCGGGTCCGCTACTAGGGGTGAAGGGTAGCTCAACCCTAAACGCAAACGGAATCTCAATCAGCTGAGCGAAGTAACAACTAAAACTATCCTATCAAATAAGTCGTATCATGCGAGTCCCAAACAGGAGCCAGGCTTAGTACAGACACATCAGTTGTGATTTCTACGTTTATGGCTATGTTAAGAAGTTCCATCGTGCTTACTACAATCGATGCGACGATCGATAGAACGGAAAAGAACGAGAGAAAAAGGGCTCTAAAGCGAGGATGAGCGAAAAAAAAAAGGTAAATGAAGAGTGGGCGCGATAACAAAGGGAACAAAGGTATAGAAAGTGATAGAAAACAGGACTTCGAGCGAAGGATTTCTTTACTTCCTAGCTCGCCCTTTTGAGAACAGATTCTTTGCTTCTCCAGGAAACTTCATAGAAACATATAATAATCACGTAACTGCTAACAGAAAGAGATACGGTCTTGAGCGAAGAAGCAAAGCTTCCTAGAACCATGTATTTTTTTTTTTTTTAACATAAATCCCCATGATTCCTAGAACCATGTACTTAAAGAATACTGTATTAAAAGAATGTGAATGTGCTTTTTTTTTTTTTTTTTTTTTTATAACAAATTGTCTCTCGAGTCAATTGACTCTGCGAATCTATCAGACTAACTAGCAAAGATCTACTATCGCTGTCCTCACCACCAAAGCGGAACCGATCCACAGTCGCCAAAAGATAGGTCACATTCCCCGGGCCTACCCCTAGGGCCTGCGCAACAATTGCCACACCTCATTAGTGTGTTAAAAGCTGAAAACACCTTGTTACAAGAAGGGTATCTTCCCCATCCCCTCCATGGTTGTCAACCGCCTCCTCCCTTGCAGGCAATCCAGCAGCGTCCGATCCGCTGCGTCTGGGTCAAGCATGGGGCCAGGGCAGCTCCCGTTTACATGGTCAGCGAGTAATGCACCACACACTCTATGTGAATGTGCATTTAGTTTTTTTTTTTTTTTTTATTCAACATGGCCTCCGAGAGAGAACAATCAGTGCTGGTTTCCTAGTGAATAGTCTCTGAGACTTGTGTCTATCTGGCCCTAAATCTTCTAGTGTGGCAGTCGCACCATCTCCAACAACTTCACTGTAACCTCCCTAAGCGTCCCGAGGTCTTTCTCCTGCGATCCGCTCGGCTAGCTGGCAGGCTCCTCACCTGCTAATCTGCCAAGACCATCTCTCCAATTGTAACCTGTACATCTGGGAGATGGTCTTGATTTCTTGAGAGCACGGAATCCGTTCTACTGGCTTGCGAGCCGAATCCTCTACTATTGTAACATTTCCTCCACCTCCTCGTCCCGTCTTTCCTCCACCTGAGGTCACTGGATGTGAGCTCAGATTAGCCTATTATAAAGTGGGCCTACTCACTTTTGAACTTATACCTGTAACCCCGGCAGGGGTAGCTAAGACGCATGCTGCCAGTGCAGTGGAATAACTTGTACACCCTGGTGTATAGCTGGGAAGTTCTGAACCAGCGCCTCTCGAAGTCCGGAGGCTAGCGCAAGGGTGAAATTTATTCTGAGCATTTTGTCAAGCGTTAAGGAAGGGGAAAGGAAACCCACAACGATTACATGGGGTAGTGCCACTCAATGTGGGGGTCGCCGGGGAAAGGAAACCCACATAACTGAAGTGGGGTAGTACGCCCGACTCATGCTCCAAATAAATTTCTATGCGTAGCACATATTACTGTGCTTTAACCAGGGCTCGAACCTGGTCCCTTCGCGTTACAAGGGAGGTGCCCTGACCAGTATGCTAACTGAGCCATCGGGCCTTATGTGAATGTGCATTTAGGGAGCGTAAGTCTGACTGCTTGCATTTATAGAATGATTTATAAATTGACTATATATAATTTTATGCTTCTCCATCTACAATGTCAGCTTGGCCGAGTGGTTAAGGCGTATGACTTGAAATCATATGGGATCTCCCGCGCAGGTTCAAACCCTGCAGCTGACGCGAACTTTTTGGGCTTCCACTCTTTTGACAGGAAGAATATAATCTCACCCCCCCCGTGAGATTATCCCTCGTTTTGTCATCTCACAGGGGTGTAAGCGGGTTATTCTCACACCCCGGTAAGAATAATTCGAGCTTTTTTTTTCACGGGGAGGTGAGCGCCATATTCTCACGGGGATAGTCTGTAGGACCTCGTTTAAAAAAAAAAAAATCACTCGTTTATTGTTCAAGGTCTGTTTCAGCAGGATGGAATTCTTTGGATGGTCGCGACATCTCACTGCGGCTCTTGATACATTTGCCTCTGGACGCCCCTTCGGCTTCACCACAAGTGGGTCTTTGGTGACACCAAGACCTGCTTCGTTGTCAGATGCGTCCTGTAGCTCTATGAGTCCCGTCTCCGTTTCAGCGGGATTGAGAGGTTGTTGAGCGTTTGCATCGCATTGCTGGATCGGCTGTCCCCATGATGGCCAGCTCTCTCACGATCCCTGTAACATCTGCGTGCCGCTTTATCCTCAGTCGCTTCTCCTTCCTTGGCTGTGGTGCCGAGGATTCTGTAGAGAACAAGCTGTGCACAATCCTCGTACAAGTGCTGGCGGGGTGATCCTCAGTCCTGGTGGGGTGACCTCGGTCCTGGTGGGGCGATGTAATGCGGGTAGGCGACTAGGAGCTTTGAACCAACTTTCGTCTCGAAACCTTCGAGATCCTGCCACTGCTCCTTGAACCAGCGCTTGAGAACGAGGCTGCTCAAATACTCGCACCTGCTGTCCCCTTGCATCACGCAAAAGAAGTACCTGCACACAATCTCCGTGTTTTGCAGCAAGAGGCAGGTGCAAAAATATGAATGGCCAACCATAACCACAACGAACTCCTGTTGACTGAGACGGATCTTGTTGTGGATGGAATAAACCACAGTGATTTCAGCTGGGTCCAGTCTTGAGAGTAGTGATGCCAGAGAAGACTCGCGGAGGGCTTTCCCAGTTCGATCGACCTATGCAAATGGACTCTGTGGTGTAGTAAATGAGAATTATTCGGTTGGCCTCGCAAAGTTGATATTGGATCACGGGAAAGAGCACCGCCCCAGAATAAAAGAATAAACGGTCTGGTTAGTCTTCTTTCCTAAAATCATTTGTATCACATTGCATTCGTCCAGATTGTCTGGATAATACCGCATCAACGACAGGTACTGACTACCGCCGTCAGCAACCCACGCAAGGAGATACAGTCAACAGGGAATGCCGATCCTGATCATTCGCCACCTTTGCACCGTCAATCACTTTTATTTAGGCATTGTACTTGCCCTGCAGCGCTTCCCCGATCACCGATCGTCTCATTGAGCATCCGTCATCGGCCCACCCTCGTCAAACGGCATTATAAGGGCACAACCGAGGCCTGATCAGCGAATATTGGCATACAACGACTCCAGAGGGGTAGACTTCATTGTCATGACTCTTCACCTCATCGGATATCACATATGCGAACTCCTTGCAATTACCCCAGTTATTCCCAAAGGAATATAGTCCTAGCTCGTACCATTTAGCTAAACAGATCCCGTATTTATTTCCTTCCATTTTGTCTAGTTTATTTTACCTTTGTGTTCATACATTCCGATCTAAAGGAGGACCCTGCAGCGCGAACCAGTATGTGACCGAAGCACGCCCTTACCGAAGTCCTATTCGCGTGGTGTCTCCTATTGTAAATAGAACTAATGATAGAAGTTACAGAACTCGTTATTGGACCCCCTACGCCGCATTACCCCGTTGCCTCTTGCCACGGTAGGCAATGAGGCTTCTAGTCAATCAGAGATATTATTCAGAAGCCGGTTGCTACAATCGACCTTTCGTGCAGCGCCATACGCGTCGCTCTTGTCCTGTGCATCGAAAAATAATCCAACGGTTACAGCCTAATTGAATGAATCTCCCTAGTTCCTAGTTTTGGAGCGTTAAATATGTGAGTTAGGTCCAGATGCACTTCTCAGATCATCATGGAAGAAGGTTGAAAAAGCAAACGCGTGGCGATACCTCCAAATGTTCCTCAATTGCAAAGGCGCTGCACAAGGTGAGCATCAAGAGTTTACTGAGAGCAATTGTTTATGAGTATCTAGTCTATGAGTAAAACGTATCTCAAGACATTCTCCGGATACCCGGTCTGGATAGACCATAGACTAAAGCCTTATATAACGGACTCTGGTGAATATGTGCTATTGCTGACACTGCCGATGCTTATGGCCATTGATTACCCATCTGATTTAGCAATCTCTCTCTTCTTTTCTTTCTACATAGGACAAACCCTAATCATCCTGACTTAAAGTCTAGCATTGCATACAAACAGCCTTACACATTTCGAAAAAGAAGAGGACGAGCTCTAAAAGGACGAGCTGCAGATGGGCGTAAAGCAATTGGACGAAGAGAGAGAATGACACAACATGGCCGTTGCTCGAGATTGCCTGGCCATGTGGATATGGTCAAGAAGAGAACTTGTAGACTATGAGGCGAGTTATATTCTATGCAAGGTGGAGGACATGGTGCAATGCACTCTTTCTCGCAGCTTTTTCCTCTGTGCACACTCTAACACTCTATAACCAACATCACTGTTGCGAATTACCTTCCTCGCCAGCATTCCACTACACGCTACACTAACTACAATGATCAAGGCACAGAGAAACGAATGTACATTCTACAACTGTTTCCAGGGACTGCTGGACAAGAAAGCGGCGATCCAGACACAGGAGCGTCGCATTGAATAGGGTCTCCCGGCCAGGGACGAAGACAGACCTGTGCCATAGGCCAAGTCAGAAAAAAAACCATTCGCTTCAGTCGTACTCAACAGTGCCAGTTCAAGTGAAGAACGTCCTTTTAAATGTGTTCGTCCAATTTGAAAGGCGCGAGGATAGAAGCGTAACTTTCATCTGCGTCTGCAGAAAGTCATCCCTGACAAGGGATAGCCTGAGCAAGCATTACAAATGGGTCTGCGCCCATTCCAACCCCCGACCAACGTTCCAGGGCTTCAACTTATTGACAGCGCTCAAGTTCTCCCTGATGATTTGAAGGTCGTCAATGCCTCAGGTACATCTGATGACGAGGTTGATGAGGAGAACGACAAAGGCGATGAGGCGTTTAGCGACATCAATGTACTCATATTCAATAATAACGACATTTCGGCTACTTCAATGATATTTGATTCAGGAAGAGTGGTTGGTGCAACTATCCAAGAGTTCATGCAGGGCTTGGGTATCGCAAGTACTCAACAGCAACATGCACAGCGCATGCAAATCATGGCGTTTCAAGAGCAACAGCGCACACTGATCATGGCCATGGAGCAACGGATCCTGAGCTCTATTGCCCAGATTGCAGCAGGCCAAGGGCAGGGGCAAGCCGTGCAAGCTGCTTTTGCTTCTGCTTCTGACACCGGACATTCAAGTCCGGTTTCTACAAGTAGAAAGAGAACGCGCTCAGACGCCCCTCACCTTGGAACATTCAGGCTCTCTAGTTGTATATCTCCAACTGAATATAAGTAAAATAAAAATGGCGGTTTGATGGAGCGAGTGTAGATCGGTATAAAAATTGGGCAGATGTAGAGACGGGAAAGCGCATGATCTCGCCTTGCTTATCATTTTTCCACGACAGTGAAAGCTAGGTAACTCCCTACGCGTCGGCATGCTTGCAAACGATTGGAGTATCTAGGGTGAAAAGGGTGTTTTACTGGGCGAATGCTGCTATCTAGTTTTATGCGTAGATAGGGTTTATATACTAGTTACATCGGTGTCAACAATGCACTAAAATATTATAGAAATTGGGCGAAGCACTGACGACATCATAGCATACTAAATCTAGCATTAAACCTTTGCAAAGATCCACGATAGTGATTTTGAGTCGTAAAGTACTACTCCAATACGATCACAAACGACTGTCTGTTTGCTCTTTTCCATGGTACCCCGTCATTCAGCTTCGGAATGGAATCTGGCTCAATTCTGCCTCTTATTGGACTGGATAAAGGAGTAGATTCTCCAGCGACGAGGAAGCTGATATGCGAATTAACATGTAGACCTAGTATGACACCCCGTTATCACCGCACTACTTGTAATCAGCAATTCAGTGCGCCGTCCAAGTGTGTCAAGAATGTAACGCACCTAGTATCAGAGAACGAAGCTGAACTACAGCTTATATCAAGGAGGCGATGGTTAAAAAGATCCGGACCCTTAAACGAATTGAGATGATGTGTGATAGGAGCAAGAGCAATCTATTAACAACTGCGTATTGGGTACGGCGGCGCGTGGTAGGGGCAGAAGGAAAAAAGTGCGGGCTGGTATAGAGAGAGAGAGAGATGTACTAAAGTTCGCATTCTTGATACACCTGGGCGACGCACTAAATTGCTGATTACCAGTGTACGGTGGTAACGGGGTGTCATACTAGGTGTGTTCAGGTGTGTCAGGTGCTTAAGCTCTTAGAAGCCCAGGTATTAATCATAAAGCGTCTTCTATATGAAGGGAGGATGCCCGTGAGATCATCTTTGTTTCGCTATAATAATAGGGTGTAAGATTAGAGCTCTCACGGGGGGTGCGAGAGGAAGATTTCACTCTTGGGATAATCTCACGGGGGGTGTACGAATAAAATCTCACGGGTGTGTGTGTGTGTGTGTGATTATATTCTTCCATTTGCCACTTTGAGCATACAAGTCAATTCCTGGAAGAAACCCATGTAACTCGTTTATCCTAAAAATCGCGCCTATGGCCTTAGCAATGCCTTTCCTGTGTTTACACGGCGGCTGGTTCACGAGAGGGTGTGTTGTTTACGCTCAGGTTGCCTTTATCTTCGGCAAATGCACCAAGTATATTACATGGCCCTTGAAATAAAATGGCTAACACAGGTGCTTAGATAACGCGTGGCCCTTGCTCGTTTGTCTATTGCGGGTCGGGTGCGATGAGGGTTGCAGGCAGCACTAGACCCGTCCTTCTGCATTCAAAGCTTTCATGGGCGGCTATGCTTCTTTCCATAATTCCCACACAGACGGTTGTCTAATGTCACGGACAGCCCAACTACCCTCGTACGCCGAGCCGACCCTATGCCACAATCTTGTCAATTGTGGCAAGGATTTTGAGTTCTTAGAGCCTGGTATAACCATACGGCCCACGAATCCAGTCTGCAATAAGCCATTATCCTTATACCTAGTACCCTTGCTCTCTCTCCCCTTCTCCCGTAAATACTTTGCCTGCCCTTGACGTATACTTTAAGTAGGGCAATGATTTGGAATATGCATGAGATTCATCTTCATTTAAGAACGTCGTGTGTTGCGACCGGACTTGAAAGTGGAAGAGGATCAAGAGGCGGAATGGCTCTTGGAATACTATTGCGCCGAAATGGCGAAGAAGTTTCAGTATAAGGAGTCCATGATGAATTAGGAGGAAGGAATGAAGGAATGCAGGAGTGAAAAAAAAGTGCGAAGTGTTCCCATGGCCGGGGGGAAGAGGGGAGTGGAGGGGCGACGAGGGTTGAGATTCGCTTCTTAGTTGTACAAGAATCAGCTCGAGAAACAGCAAAAAGCCGTTCTTCAGACCCACCCCGATTCTGATTCTTCAGGTTACGCAAAGCAGGTCGGATTCGCCCCTTAATCAGGAACCGGAAGTGAGAATCGATGCAGTGAGCTGAAAAGTGGCATGCAGGCTCAGAACCGTATGGGATATGCATTATGCTTTTGTGTTGAATGACACCCCTATCAACAGTGCTGATGTGGCGCGATCTATATGCACCAACGCGCTTCGGATAGTTGCACAGCACCAACTCCGCTAAAAAATCTTCACATACCTTACACAGACTCCAAATACATGTCATACGTGGCCTAGCTACAATAAAGTTCCTGGCTTAAAAAAAGTGAGCTGAAAAAAGGAGCATGCAAAACAGGCACAAACAGTTTGTAGAAGCAGCACGGACCTCTTGGCAAAGCAGCATAGGCACAATCGGCGCACATGCTGCAGAGTCTTCTTGTCTTTGTCCATTTTCAATAAAGCTCTTCGTGCCACCTTTTTCCACACAACGCACGCAGTTCTGCGCTTCAGACATATTTTGCAACGGCCAGTCAGAACGAATATGACAGCGATTTTCCTTTCGATAATGATGTCGACGATGATTACTATGATGAGGACCACCAATGAAAGGCCTATGGACGAACACTTAATGGTCAGCGAGGACGAAGACGGGGATGACAAAACTGATTGCTAAGTCGCAGTGCAACGGTTGGTACTGGAAAGATGAGAGGAATGGTGAGTCGGTGAAGTGTTAGCAAGCAATGTGGACCAGCATGTGCGCTGATTGTGCCTATGCTGCTTTGCCAAGAGGTCCTTTTTCAGCTCAGTTCTCTGAATCGATATCGATTCTCGCAAATTTCAAGAAAGGAGGGGCTATTAGCTTTAAGCACATCTTTACGGCTAAGGACGCCATGTCTATTAGATCTAATGGATGTTATTAGATATGTAACTCTTGAGCAATGGTTTTATGATTTGGTATACATTACTGTTATCCTAGTTTCTGGTCTAGATAAATAAAGAATTCAGTTACTTTTGTATCCGCGAGCGGGGAAAGGGGGAGCCATCAGGGATTAAGAATGCTGCGGGCGAGCCTGACGGGGCCAAGGTCAAAGATCTCAAAATCCTCGAGGTAGTTGCCCTTAGTGAGCTTCTTCTGAGAGGCAACGACGATACGATAGTAGTGGAAAGGACTCGTCGAGTTTTCGGGAGAAATAGGAAGTCGGATAGGGGCCAAGGTCGTGTTCTCGGCAGGGAGGACCAGTCCCTCCCAAGTATACTGGGTAAAGGCCAACTGACCGGTGGTGCTATCAACGTTCTTCGTTCTGCCGGCGGCGCCAAAGGCAGGGCCGCCATCCTTGGATGTCAAAAATCCGATAAAATCGCCCCCAGCAAACCCGTCATAGATGCGGATGGTGGCATCGGGAGAGTGCGAACCAAAGCGGGACAAGATAACGGGCTTGTCGTCCCTCATGTTGTAGATCGTACCTATCGAGGTGTCGCTCAACTGGCTGGCCGGTCGAGATGTCCAGCCTCTTCAACTTGGGGAAGCCGAGACTAGTATCCTGGATTGGCATGTCGCGGATATCGCCTTTGATGCCAGTGTAGGGAATATGAACAGCAACACCGCCCTCAGAGCGAGGGGTAGCAACGACGAAACCGGAGTACAAGGGCCAGTCAGCAGCCTTACCCCTCTTGGGCTCTGTGAACTTCAAGGTGACCTTGGCAGACTCGCCAGGATTGATCGTAACGGTGCATGGGTCGAACTTGATGGTGGCATAGTCTGACTCAATAATGGGGGTACCGAGTGGGAAGGCGTTGTTGGCGTTGTACGAGTTCAAGGCATCAGCGGGGACGTGCGTGAGAGTATAGGTCTCAGCGTTCTTGCCGGTATTATTGATCTGGACCTTGACCCGCCTCCGGAAGTTGACAGTATCGAGGAGATCAATGTGATCGGGGCAGAACTCGGTCGAGGCTAGGACAGCGTTGAGGACGTTGATCAAACCAGCACCTTGCTTGGCAGCAGAGGTAAAGGTCTCGGACTTGTAGTTCTTAGAGATCGTGGCAGTGTTCTTGAAGACCTTGCGAATCCTATCGCCATGGGACTTGACCTTCTTAGCCTGCATGTACAAAGCATGGGCACCAGCACCGTAGGATGTGGCCATGGATGTGCCGGAGAGAACAGCATAACCACCCAGAGCGAGAGGGTAGGTCGAGAGGATATTGCCACCAGGAGCAGCAACATCGGGCTTAGAGCGGAGATCACCATCCAATCCGAAGGAGGAGAAGGACGAAGGTGCCCCCCAGTTGTCAATCGAGAAGGGTCCCTGGACATTGGACCAGGTCATAACGGACTCAGGATTGGCCATCCAGGTATCGAGCAGCTGGATACCAGCATCAAACTCGATCGACGCCATGGGCAGGTTGGGAACACCTCCCAGAGAGTCGATACCAGCGCCGCTGGACTGGATGATCATACCAGCAGCGCCGTTGGTAACAGCCAGAGCACCGCGTCCACCAGACTTGCAGCGGGTGATGTCGCCAAGAACCAAGACGATCTTGCCCTCGACATCGACACCGTTGTAGAGGGACTGGTTACATCCGTCGCTCAATTTACCGTTGAAGAGCAAGGGAACGATGGTGGCAGAGGCGGGCAGATTAATGGTCTCGCCGTAGGCCTCAGAGAAGTTGTAGGGGAAGTCCTTGCCGCCATAGGTGAGGTAGTAGAACAAACCGGATTGGTTGTCGAACGATGCGACCGAGGTAGCGTGGTCGCCAAGACCAGTGCCAGACACCATCCCGACACCATCAGAACCATCGTTACCAGCAGGGCCGACCAAAGCTTTGCCGCGGATCAGAAACTTCTCAGCAAGTACAGATATGGGGTTGGTCTTGTAGGAGGAGCCGCCGGCGATAGACATGTTGATGACCTAAATGTTTAAGAATACCGTATTGACCAAAGTGGATGAGTGACCATTCTTCTTTCCCCCATCTCATATGTCTGTGTGATTGTAATTAATAGCTCGATCACTTACATCCATGCCGTCGTTGAAGGCCAACTCCATGGCGGCGAGGATAACATCCTCACCAGCTTGGCCCTTGCATCCAAAGATACACCGACGAAGGGCTGTGGGGGTTCAGGCGAGACCTTGATGTTCAGGGCATTTCCACCAATGATACCGGCGACGTGAGAACCATGTCCAAGGCAGTCCATGGGATCACTGTCGGGGTTGGGAGCGTTGGATCCAGTGTAGTCATCACCGACAAAGTCCCAACCATACCTGACACGGCAGTTCTTGCCATTGAGAGCGAAGCATCCAGCATCAGCACCAGCAGCAGCGAAGGCAGGGTGCTTGTAGTCGATACCTGTATCGATGACACCGATCTTGACGCCCTTTCCAGTCAAATTGTACTTGCTGTGCAAGACATCGACACCAGTCATGCGGTGATCCGAGGTCGCAGAGGCATCATTGGGCTTCGTGTTGGGGCTCTCAACCTTGGGCATGTCGTAGAGCGAGATGTGCCAGACATTCTTGACTCCAGGGATCATGGAAAGAGCGCGGCCATCATGCTGGGAATCGACAGTGATGGCGGCTCCGTTGAAGACGTTGTACTCGTTGCGGACCTTGTAGTTGACCTTGTGGGACTTGAGGGCGTCATGGGCATCCGAGTGCTTGACACCATCGTGGTATTCGATAATGAAGGCGTTGTTGATGATGTTGGTCTTTCCAGGCTTGAGGGAGTGGAACTTGCCGGCCGAGACGAGGGTGGCCGCAGCAAGGGCGGAAAGGATGGCGGTGATTTTCATAATGAGAGGTAGGGACTAGTGTCTGTAGAAGACTGTGAGGGGTAATTAGCGAGGTAAGAGAGGGGAGGAGAGGGGGGAATTCAGAAGGACGACGCGGTAATGGAAGGGCTATGGTACGATGTAGGGTGGTGAGGTCGAAGACGGCCAAAGAAGAAGCCGGTTTCCAGGGGACGGCAGCTGGTATTTATACTGATTTATACTGCTGTTTCTCCGCAGATATCCGTTCGAAGTCGGTTGAATCGCGTGCTGAAATGCACACAATCGCCGGATGCCATTGATGTGTACCTTCGTGCTTCTGAGGTTTGTTACCGGGAACGATTGTCCTCTAAATAGATGGATACACTTGCCTCGTTGGTCTCGGGGACCATAGATACTTGTTTGTCAGTCCAGCTGTATTTTTACATCCTCTGCCGTCTGTCTTTTGGTCCTGTCCATGTTATCCTTCCAATTAGGATGTGCCGCGGGTCTAGCTTTCCCAAATTTGGTCCGCGCAGGCGCGCAGGCGCTGTCTAGAGCGTGATTTTAAATGTAAGGTAGATGAACCCCCCCCCGGCTCTAGACCTGCCAAACAAGTCGGAGGAGCCCATGCATATTTTTATTGGTTACTATTCTGAATGCCTTGATCCATGAAAATTAAGAGGCAGTCTTATCGCCAAAAGTGCCCCAGTATGCTGGATACCATTTTTTTGCACTAGATGATATTTGCCTTCATCCGCAGACCCGTGATTTCTTTGATGCAAACGATGGTATCCGGAGAGAGTCGATCTAGGGAGAAAGGAGGACCTTATTCGTGTGAATGCTGCTGTCTAGTTCTACGTGTGGATAGGGTTTATATGCTGGCTGGGTCGATGCCAACAGTGTCCTGGAATATTGTAGGAAATGGGCGAAGCACCGATGACACCATAGTTACTTAACCGAGCATAAACCTTTTGCAGGTATGCGGGGAAGGGCATACAGCAAGAACACCACTTATAGAGACCAGATGTTCATGGGAGCAGGACCAACTCTCGGGCTCAACTCTTGATGGTGACTAAAGTTTGCCTTTGCAGGAGAGCAAAAATAATGTAGTATAGCTGTTGGTACGGAGCAAGTCAACCAAATAAACAACAAACCTCGCTGCAACGTAGGTTGGCACTCCCGATGACTGCGATTGGAGCGAAGCAGGGTGTTGTTGACAGAGCTTCAGATTACGATTGACATTGCATTGACCGCCTAGCACGGATCATTATTCGATACGTGCCAGCTATAACGCTCTGCCGTCGCATTCTGAAAAAATCGTGGATGTTGCTCATCCGGAACGAACTTCCGCAAGGTTCAAAAAAGACAAAAAGAAATAAAGTTGCTAGAGACGCCCACTTTGACCACGCATGCAAGCAGCTAAGCCTTCTAGGGCCCCCGTAACTCCCTCGTAATCCCCGCAAAAAAAGACGATAGTAAATAGAGTTGTTAGAGACGCTCACTTTGACCAATTATGCAAGTAAAACCTGCCACTCACCCACGCTCACACTAAGAACCACATCCAAAATCGTCCTGTATCATGCACACTCTCAACATGCCTCCAGGACCGATGTGCAAAGACTACAAGAACTGCTCCCTTCCTACAGAGAAACAGACTGCCGCTCACAAGCTACGCTCTCATGCCGCCCCAAAGGTCCCGTTTGTGAACCCTTCGACCCACATCATGGTTGATGTGGAGAGAGACCCCACGTATGATATGTATTATGTGTGCACCAGTGATGAATGTCCCTACAAGTCTTTCCTCTCCTCGAACCCACGAGCGCACTTTCGTGAGTGCAAATTCGTCCTGCAGGACCACCAGCGAAAATATCCTTGGCTATTCAAAAGCTCTTCCGATCCTTCGGGTCTTTCAGGTTCCTCACGTCGCTACACGCGCATAAAACCAATTGGCAACGCCACTGCGGACACAGCAGCAGCAGCAAGCAGTGGAGCAAATGCTAGGTATCACCTATACGTCTGTCCTAGCTATCTACCGGCCACTACCACCGACATCCTTCCACAGGACAACACGCAAGTTGCGGCCCCTTGACTTTTAACGAAACGATATCAGAGAACTTGACTTCCATTACCAAGCGACTGCAAGGGATGGACGAGAAGCTCATTCACTTCGCAAACGATCTGGATGGACGAGTCAAGAGCACGGGGTCATGAGCAACCGCAACAGCCAACATGGAGAAGCATTTGGACGAGAGGGTCATATCATTATCAGAGCGAGTCAAGAACGTACAGAAATTCACCAGTCGACCCCATTACAATGAGGATGCAATGGCGAACATGGTAGAAGATTTGAATGATATATCATCATCTTGCGTTCAGCCCCACCAGGAACACAGAGATCAGAGCTTCCAGTCCACCATTTTTTCACGCACCATAGGCCTCTTCAATACCCTACCTGCACTTTCGACATCTTCTAACGCTATTGTACTATTGTTGTGATATAGACGAAGGAGCACCATTCATCATATCAGGTTTATCAGAAGCTAGCTCAGTCTACTCCGCCTGCACTCGAGACACCCCTTCCCTGTCCATCGACTCTCAGAATCTGCCGGCTGACAGTGACGAGGAACATGAGATTAAGGCTACCATCACTGAGAACATCATGGGTGAGGTGGCGGACCAAGACTAGCAAGACCATTAGGAGGCCGGGTGTGATCATGGACAGTGATATTATAGGAGCGGGGGTGGTGGGGAAAAGAGGGGTCTAAAAAATAGCAGCAAGAACAGCAGCAAGGACAGCAGCAAGGAATGAAGTCCATAATGCCTTGATATTCTTATGAATTTATGAATTGGCAGTTGCGCTAAGCAGTGCATAGCCAGGCTTCATGGCTGCATGATCCTTTCCCCATAAGGATTTTCTTGTTGAATAGGACAGCATTTCAAATGAACTGGGTGCTCTATGACGCCCAAAGTGCTGCGCCTAATTCCGATGAGGTTTTTTCTTTTGTTAATAGGCTCACATGAACATGAGATACATGGTCCCCGAGGCAATATTCTCCGTAGTCATTTAAAGGCATTTGTTGTGTATATTATCCCTTGTCTATAGCACAGAGGACCTTACGGCGCCCGCATGCACAAAGAGCCCAAAGGGAAAGACAAAAAACGGAACTCTGAAGTAGCGTGATAATCCCATGTAATACAAGGTGGGTTGCCAAATTGATTAATCCTTTTGACAACCCCTCCTTGGTGCTACTCAATTGCGTATCACCAGGATCCGTGTTGTTGCTATCTGCAGATCAAATGCACTAAGGTTCAGTATCGTGCGCTTACAAATTTACATTTGATAGTAATTTGAATGTAACCTAAACAAACCAGTGCAGTGAGCGAGTCCCAGAGAGACTTCCTAACCCGTATAGTGCATTGACGACTTCTTGAGTTCACTCGCATACATTGAAAGAATTGAAATATAATAAAATAACATACCAAGCCAAAGTTGCATGGAGCCCTGCCAAAAAGAAGATATCTAGAGTCCTGGCCAAAATTCGAGACCCCAATATCTTTATTATAATTATTATAATTCAATAGGCTTGACCTAGCCCTCTCTTCCAGTAAAGGAGGTTGGAAATGCAATTTCCTTTTTAGGCCTCCTTCTTTCAGAGATTGAATTATAATGTTATATTGTAAAAATATTGGGGGCCATACTTTTTGTCCAAGACTCTAAATATAATTGAATTGTTTAGAGTACAGTCAATTCTTTTTTATCCGGACAAAAGGATAGGAAATCTGTCCGGATAACAATTTCGAAGAAATGAATTAAAATGTTATTCAGTCAGATCAATTATTCGGTCACATGAGGTATTTTCAACCCACATAAAAGGAAGGGCAAAAGGGCCGGACAAAAGGTGGTTAAGAAAAAGAATGATATTCGTTGATGGGTATGTTATTTGCTACTGTTGCTGCTGTTGTTATTGATATTGTGTTGTTGCTCTTGTCGTGGTCACTGTCACTGTTGCTCTCATCGCCGGCATGGCCGCTGTAATTGCTGTAGTCAGCAGTGGGTTCTTCCTCTACAGCAAAGGGTGCAATAGCCGCTCCTCGATCACGATGCAGCAGCAACTCCTCGTCTTCCTCCTCCTCCTCCTCATCTCCATACCCTTGACGCTGTCTCTCAAACAATTCTTTCTCCACCCACTGCTTCTCCTCGTCAACCTCCTCGTCACTTTCCTCACTGCCTTCGTTCTCTCCTTGACCACATTGATTTCCATCCATCACGTATCCCCCGTTGTTGCTGCCGTCGTCAAGGCTGTATTGGGTTTTGCTCGAGTTGGTGGGGCAGAGATTAAGGGTTTCACTGTCCATCAATGTTGAAAGCAATGGTTGGATGACTGGTTGAACCTCCAACTGTTCCACAGGTCCTCCCAGATGGTCAGCTTTGTCATAGGAGCGCAAAACATCCTTCAACACCTTGCTGAGCTTGACCTCCTCCGCCGATCCACCGCTCAATACCCTCCTTGTCGCCTTGAACTCGTCAACGCTCATCAGTCCGAGTGCTGGTGCCCTTTCTTTTAGGACCTGCATGCCTCTCGCATAGACGTCCTCGGCCAGAGGAGAACTTGCTCGCTCGTCGGTATCGTATGGTCGTGGACAAGACGGGCTCGAGACAGGTAACAGGTTCAACTCGATAGCAACCTCCTTCACTGCAGGTTCGGCAGCTAATGATTCGTCGGCAAGATCCTGTACGTCCTTTGTTCCCTGTGGTTTGAAGGTCCATTTCCAGTCATTGGCTTCGTTCACCTCGACAATTAGGTGCTCAAAGTAGGCTTGCGCTTCTTCCCTGTAATCGTTGCGCCGCAAGTATTGAATCTTCTCCCGCTGTTCCTGGGGTGCTGTTGGTCGCTGTCGTAGTTGCTGGCGCATGTCATCCGGGAGAACAGGAGTTTTCGCAAAGCAATTGCGAACTGTTGATGCCTTGACTTTGTTCCATGCGAACGGAACAAGTGACCATGCGTGTCCGTTGCTGATTGCCTTGCTTTTGTCGTAGGTCTTGACAAGGCTTGTTTCTCGACTGAGAAGATCCAATAACGCTCGTTTGAAGACGCTGATGATGCCGGCGTCGAGTGGTTGCGTGATAGAGGTTGAATTCTTAGGCAAACGTTGGATTGTGAGGAACTTCCAGTTGTCGCGATAGTTGAAGTCAGGATCGGGTTTCTCGACCTTATTATGCGCAGGACAAGAATCCATGAGTAAGAGGGTGGGTCGCTGGAGCTGTTTATCGAGATCGATCAACCAAGACATAAAAATGTTGCTATTCATCCATCCTGACCCGTTCCTCCGTATCTCCATCCTGCCCTTGGCCTCTTCATCCACCTCTCGAGCCATGCTCTTGGCTAATGTACCAACAAAAAAAAAATAGTTAAGTTATAACGTGGACATAGACAATCCACAAAAATAACACCTAGGAAAAAAAGAGCGTAGTATGGCAAGAGTGTATATTTACCAATAAGCAAAGGCCTCAACGCAGACATTTTCGGGTCTTCTGACAAAACCAAGGACGAGCCTGATGCGTTGACACAAAAAAGAATCGACACTCGGGCGCTCCTGTTGGGCTTGGATCCGCTTGTCTTCTCGGGGATAGTGTATGACTTTGTGACAAGTTCCTTGAGGTAGACTCCGGTCTCGTCGCAGTTAAAAATATCGTCCGGTGAGTAGTTGACGCAAACCGCACGGATGTCGCGAAGTTCAGGTTCGATGGCAACCAAGTCAACTCCTCCTGCTTCCCCGTACAGCTGACTGTACGAAATCTGGTATCGTTTTTTGAAGGCATTAAACCACGAGGCGGAGAAGGAGGGAACGACAGCGTCTCTTGTATCGCTCTTCTCGTATTCGTCGACAAGAACGGTATATGTCACTTGGGCGGCCTCCATGACCATCTTTCCATTAATAGGAATTTGCCTTGACCGTTGATCCTGCAGCCATAAAAACAGAACCTCCTCTACCATTCTGTTCTTCCGGTTGATCATGTACTTGGCATCGAGGGGTAGCTGGTCCGCCTGTTTTCGAATAGTTTTCTCGTTCCTGATATAGTCATACATCGTGGAATGAGCAATATCAATGCCCATGTTGAGTCCAAAGTTCCTATAGGTAATTGTGGACTTCATTCGGGTTTTGTCCTTGACCAAAGGCTTTGTGAGGTGTTTCTGAAGGTAGTGGAAGATATCCACGAGTTCGAGCTTGACACGAAGAGTGTAGCATGTCCTGGCCATTGAGATGGCATAGACACCGGGGTCAGGCATCAGGAGCAGGCAATGTGGGGCGTTGGTCCTGGCACAATGTAGGAGATCTTCGTACCTCCGGACGCGCAAGTCGTAAAAGGATTCGAGTTGGGCTTTGGTGTAATTGACTTTCATGTCGTCCTTGAGGGGGAGTTGTAAGGGTGTATAGGGTCCACTTGTTGAGGTAGGTTTATCCTTTTTCTTTTTGAATACTTTGCTGTCTGAGGCGAGAGGGCGTTTCGGCGGCATGTTGGTGCTGTGTTGGTGTTGTTGATCAGAATGATTGTCTGTCCATTGTCCATTTGTCCATCTATCCCATCTGTCCTTTTGTCCGGCCCTTTTGCCCTTCCTTTTATGTGGGTTGAAAATACCTCATGTGACCGAATAATTGATCTGACTGAATAACATTTTAATTCATTTCTTCGAAATTGTTATCCGGACAGATTTCCTATCCTTTTGTCCGGATAAAAAAGAATTGACTGTATTTCTTTATTATGATTGCTTTGTATAACTCGATAACCCGATAACACGCCCGAACGCGTTCAAAAAAAGACGCGCTTCACGCATCTCACACAAGCATCGCACACATCATATACACATCGCGCATACAGATTGCACTACACTACACACAGTAATTCGGTACAAAATGAACAACGAAAAGACCCCCATCAACAACAACGATGCTGGACATCTCAAGATCCCTGATTCACCATCCTCTGCCTGCCGAAGATGCTCAAAACAGTGTTCCTGTTAACACCTCCGACGCGATGCGTTTGCAGGCTGTAGAGCAGGAATATAGGTTGAAGGCGCAAGAGGGCCTTATTAACTTACTGATTAAACATACGGTACTGCTTGAGAAGTATGTGGGACGATAAGTCTGTGAAAAACGATATGCCCTTTTAATAGTGGCAGATCGTGCCCTATATACTAGGGAATAGCTATTAATGCATCTAATATAGGGGACTAGGAATATAGGGGAAAGCCCCAGAGGCACAATGCGCTTCATAAAGGATCGGCACCGAGTGGTGGTGAATCCAAGGAAAATAGGGTGCTTTATACAAGCAAGACAATGTGGTGAATACACCACACTGACGCTCTCGGCGTCCCTCCGACAGCACGGAGCATCATAGACTGGCGCACCCAGCCGTCAGGAGAAATCGCACGAGGATTTGCGAGCGTTGGTCTTTTTTCAACAGATCAGATTACGGATGAAGGATTGGAGGTGCGGTCGCGGTCCTTCCTTCGCAAGCAGCAACGAGTCAAAGGGCCATCCAGACAATAGTTTCATGATTTCCAGTCCTGGATCACAGGCGACGATCACCGGCGCAGCTTCATCAGCCAGTGGATTGCAGCATGAGATATTTTGGGATTCAAAATGAGATGTGGCTCCACACACCACACCGATTAGGTATTTATTTGTATTAAATATAATAGTGAGCTTGAGGTACACTTGTTAAACTAAATATGCAGTGAACTCTGGTGAAATATGCGACACAACAGAACGATGCAGGATGAGCAAATGCGCACGCGACTGCCCTCGCTGCATTGAACAAGCTGTACCCCCACCACAACAAGAAATCCTGCGAGAGGTGATAGGGCCCCTCACGGAGACCGAGGACAGACAAGCGAGGCGTACTGCTGAGGATGCTTTGCATACGTACAATATCGCTGTCCGACTCAAGGAATATAGACAGCGACAGCGACGTGAAAAATATAATAGCATGGATGAGGACCAGAAGGCACATGAAATGGAAAAAGCAGCACTCAAGGACATGGATTCACAGCCAAATACCATTCAGGATGCGGTAGCGCTCGCGTCCTTGGCTCCGCCAGCGCAGACGTTCGGTTTCCCATGGGTTGATATTGACCAGGAGACATGGCGAACGATCCGTGAGACTCGATGGAGGATCTCGCCTGGGCTGGAGGCAATTGTCCTTTATTCGGATGGGTCAGTGAAGAACGCTGGCTCGGACACAGTCAGCCAATCGTTCGGTAGTGTCTATAGATGCGTCGACGGCTCGTTTCAGACGGCTATCTGTGGTACAACGACGGATTACGCATCATCTACCAAAGCAGAACTGGTGGGTCTGCTCGCGACAATTCTGTGCTGTCCCCGGGATCGCAACGCCATTATTCATATCGACAATAGAGCAGTGGTCCAACAGTTTGCGGCGTTAGTCAAGAATCGACATACAGCTACTCCACGACGACGATTGAGAGCAGCGTATGCCAACTGGTGGGCCGTGATCTACGAGGTATACGTGCAGCAGGGCAGCAAAGTAGATGTTCAGTGGGTTAAATGACACAGTGGCGATACTGGAAATGAGGCCGCTGACGAATTGGCGGACAAGGCACACGACAGCGGGCGACGGCCATGGCAACTGAACACACAGTATTTCACGAGTATGAAGACACATACGACCTTCTGTGGTCAGCCAGCGGAGGACGACATTCGCCAATTGATCAAGCATCAGTCTGCAGCCAGAAACCATCATGCATGGACTTGTCAACAACGAACGAAACAATTTATTCAGCAGTGGGAAGAAGCGGAGTGGCGATCCAGCCTTGCTATAGTACATGAGAAAAATCCGCCAGGGGGGTTTTTCACCAGCCTTGCGGATTGCAACCATCGGTTGCACAGGATCAAGAAAATCCATGGTATGCTGCCAACCATGCAGTATATGCACAGGTGGAAGCTGAATCTGTATATCACTGACAGATGCCAAGTGTGCCTTACCATGGTGGAGGATACCCAGCACCTCTGGGTCTGCAGAGCCACACAGAACAGACGACAGGAAGAATGGAGAAAGACACTTGATGGGGTTCTAAGTCTTGGATACACCTTGGTGGATAAGGCGAGGAAAAAGTGGTTGCGTGACATGGAGGAGGCAATCAAGGATGGTCGACAATTCACACGCACCGAACTGAGTTTTACCCCGTGCGAGTTAGACACCCTTTGGTGGAGTCTGCGTGAGATTCGGGGAGCGGAAACGATGGTGGATACGCGGGATGATGACTGGATAAGGCTGCTGGAGGAGCAGCGAGACAGGGACAATGGTGACGAGGACAGAGAGAATGTTCACGAGGAAGAAGGAGAAGGAGAAGGAGTGGGCAGTCAAGAAAACGTACAGCAGGCAGCACCGCCTACCAGGCTCTGGACAACGACAGACATATATCACGGGCTCGTACCAAAGTCCCTGACAACGGATTGGGCGCTGCTCTTTAAGACGTCGAAGAGCATCGCGGCTTACCTGATTGGACATTTTGTAGAACGAGTTGAGGCTTTTGGCCGAGAGGAGCTATGGAAGGAGCGATGTAGTGCCACAGTGGCATGGGAAAAGTCCGAGGGCATATGCGTGAGGATGAAGAAAGCCGGGGTCCAGGTAGGAGGGGAGGCCCAGGGCTTTGTGAGACAACAGCTCCAAGAGGAGGTTACAACAGCGGCGAGGAGGAGAGCAGACAGCCGCTTGGTGGACCATCTCCAGGGAAAGGTGGTTTTGAACGAGATGAAGAGAGGAAGGAGGATAAAATTCATATTGGCCCGTGATCTTGGCTAGGAGAGGACCCGTCGGGTCCGATAGGTTACGTAGCGGTTTTGGACCCCGGCTCAAGTATTAGAAACCATGCGACTCAGAATGTGCATCATAGGTAATTGGTCCCTCATTTTACATTAGTTTAGTGGGGGCCTTTTGTTAGCTATCTTTAGGTAACTATCGGCCGGCTGACAGTACAAGCCGAGGCTTGGACAATGCAGCCTGTGGCACGCCTGCGCGTCTGGAGGGATCTGGCGTCAATAAAAAAAAAAAAAAAGGGGGGTTTGTGCACTTTATTAACTTGGAGTTGCAATGTGCACAGCAAGGTGCCACAGATGTTCTGCTTTTTGAAACACAAGATATACACATTAGGCAAGCTATGCTAACCGGAAAACGAAGAAAATCCAGGTTGTATACACTTGGACTAATGTCTGCTAGAGGGCTGATTGCGAAATTTCTCAGAAGGGGAGAGAGATGATAGATAGGGACCAATGCGGTCTGTCGTCTTGCTTACCATCTACTTCTGTTCTGTCTCTGAAGACACCAGCGTTTCCGTGGACGAGGATGATGACGACGCAGCACTCCGAGGCTCGTTGCGAGGGACTTCATTGCCAGCAGTGCTGCTGCTGTGGCAGGTAAGCGTGGGTGTGGACATGGTAGCATCAGAACTTCCTGTCGAACTCAACACCGCTCTTGGTGTGGCAGGCCGAGACTTCATCGAACTCGAAGATAGATTATTGAGAGCAATGGTTGTGAATGATCGGTTTGAGCCCATGGATGTAGATGATTGCACGGATTGGGTGCGAGAGCGTGCTCTTGTTCGAAAGAGGTGCTCGTTCTGGATCCTCTTCACCATGGTCTCGACCTTTGGCATATCGCCAGTTCTGGCTTGTATGGGCTTCGAGCCTTGCGATTCCTACAGAGATCAAAATGGAAAATTAGAATTACTATGCTGCTTACGATAAGCAGTGAACAGCGATGTATCTAGTTCTTCAGGCGATCCGACCCCCTTACCGACAGCTGCATCCACTCATGGGCGAGAGAATCATCTACAGTGATGCGTTTCCCCGGCTCGTCGCACAACAGGGCCTGAACTAAGTCAACTGCCTCGTCACTGATGTCGTCCCAGTATGGCGAAGGGAACGTATAAAGGTTGTTGAGAATTTGATGTTTCAAGCTGGGCGGTACAAGGTCGTCTAGAGATAGAGATGCAGAGAAGCAGACGATGTTAATTAACTGAAATTTAGAAGCCAGCAAGACGCGATTATACAGGCAGTTTATCTCTTGCCACTGAACGGAGGGAACCCGCATAGCATGATATAATATACAACGCCGAGACTCCACATATCCACGGGCTTTCCGTAATGACTTCTACGAAGGACCTCGGGCGCCACTATCGGTATCGAAGAAAGATAGGTTTTCGTTTGAGTCATCTATCACAGTGCGGTACCTCTAAATTATCCATGCAAATAGTGTGTGGCAGTTCACATACCATACATCGGGGTTCCACATACAGTTGATAGGAGGCGACCTCTGTTCACGATGTTCGCTAAGCCGAAGTCGGAAATCGTCACCGTCATGGCTCCCCTGTCAGTGATAAGGATGTTCTCCAGCTTCAAATCACGATGTACGATTCCCCTGTCATGCATGTACTTGACTCCATTCAGGAGCTGACGGAAAACGTGTCTTGCCAGAGGCTCTGAGAACCTCCCTCTGTCTTTGACAGCGTCAAAGAGCTCGCCCCCCTCCGCCCTATATGCGACACACCAAATGGAGAATATACGTTGTCAAGATAAGTGTTCAAAGCGTTATGCGCCGTGCAGCTTGATATGAGCATATGATGTGCGATCACACGATGAAGTGGTACTTACAGCTGCATCACCACGCAGCATCTGCGCTCCTCACTAAACACTTTGTATATCCGGAGGAGATTCGGCTAAAATGGAAGAGAGGTCAAAGATCAGCGCATGCACAAACGATGTGATGACGAACGAATACCAGATGGAGAATGAATTTACGTGGTCGATACTCATAAGCGTCCCTATCTCGCGCTCCAGACTGAGCGCAACCTTCACATTCACAGCATCCATGTCCTTGACGACCTTGACGGCGTACACAGTGCCCGTTGTCTTTTCCGTCGCCTTGAAGACAGACGCGGTGTTTCCGATCCCCAAAGACGCTCGCGCCATGTCAAATTGACTGTCAAATGTCTGTTAAGGAAGCAGATTGTTAGATGGACCGGATAAGACACGTAAATTTTTTTTGGCTCATTGCTGTCGAACAGCCGTACCATGTCCTGGCCACGTTCGCCTTGTATAAATGTGTAAACTACGCCGTTGACTGTAAGCGATAGAGTTGTGTATAGATAAGTCAGCGCAGTATCAAGGATAGAATAGACTTGCTATTGCCAACAAGAAGATGCACTCACGTTTCTTGCCTTTCGTCGGGCCAGTTTTCGGCTTCTCACTAACATAGGTGATCCTGTCACCATGTTCGAGTCGAGTCGTACAGCCCATTCCAATGACAACATCGTTCACAAGTGTCCCGCACGGGCTGTATATCGAGGGAGAGAAAACAGTAGATCAAGAGAAAAACGGTTAATCGATCTGACCTTCTCCGCCACTGGATACTTGCTTCACGAAAGGAAAGATGGGTATTGATTCTCACCTTGTGTCTCTCAATCGGACGCACTCTATGCCCGACTCCAGTTCTCTATAGACAACAAAATGCCGATCGTTGACAGAGTTGCCGCCTGGCAAGCTAGGTGTGTGGAGAACAAATAGAACGGTGTGCGGAGGTTAGTTGTCAATTGTTTAGCGGATTATTAAAAAAAGAAACGAGCATTTAGTTATAATGTTATGCTCTCGCAAACTTACATGACATCGCAGTCGGGTCGAAAGCCAAAGACATAGCCGCGGCTACCTGAGCCGTGCTCATTGCCTTCCTTGGTGAACTCAATGGTCTGAGTCCTGCCGTTGTGTTCGTACTCGAATGATCCCCAGATACGGGGAGTGTAGTAGCGAGGATGGCGATTGATTCTTCGGTCTTTCGGCATGATGCTATGAGGTGAGTGCTCTGCTCAATTGGGTTGCTAGTGTTGATGCTGTTGTGTTATTGGATCAGGTAGCTGAAGGATGGAGAAGTAATCAAGAGAGCTAATGCCTGTGCCTGAGGCTAAGGACGAGGTGTGCCTTTTTTCCCAGCACCCCCAGGTGCCCCTTTGTTTCGCCTTCCTATTTTAAATGACCACCTAGACCGGGAGCGTAAAATCGCGTCAGTCTACCTCAGTGTATCTCTTACGCGGATGTTCAATCGAGCTGGCCCCTGCTTCTTTTTCACACACACAGCCTGCGGATGTTTATCTCTCTTGTTCCCGCTCATCTTTTCGATGGCGTTCTATGGTCGTCACAGCATTCTCATCGCGTAGAAAAACCTATAAAACGACCCTCTTCCCCTTTCTCTGTTGCCGCACTTTGTCTCTTGCGCTCCTCCCCAGCCTTATAACCCCAGCCAACCACACTATCCATCCTCTACCGTAATGGACTCAGACTGGTGTCTTTTCTGCGAGAAGCATGTCGACGACCTTGGTGCACTTTATTGCTCTAAAGAGTGCGCCAGAATGGACAAGACGATGGCTATCTCAAACAGGCAGAGCTCCTCTCCCTCGGTCTCCAGCCCATTGCTCAATCTGAAGCGCTCCTCCCGACAGTCTACGACGGTCACCTACCCGTCCATGTTTCGTGTCTCAACCCTCTTTCCAGCCTCGACCTCAAGCCGCGGCGGTATCGCCAAAGGCCCTACATATTCACCCATTCCAGCTACACCGGCCGGTATCCGATCTGCCCCATTGAACCGCACTACGACCCGTCGCCAGCCCTTCGTTTTGCAGGGCTAGATTTCTTCAATCTCCCCTTTGTCAATTCACCCATACATGCCAAGCACTTATGGCTATAGCGCTCGACGGACTCTGTTGTTCCAGCCTCTCCATGTTGTCGCCTACATGCACAAATGCGTATTTGCTTGTACTTTTCATCCAATTAAGACATATATCAAATCCACTTTGTTGTTCGATTACGACCGTGGATCTGTGCAGCTTAAGCATACTGCTCTCCTTTCTTAAACCTATACATCTCCCCATCGTTTACTTTGGTCATGTAGTTTTCTCTGTTTCCGATTGCATACTGGCATGCTGCTTCCTTTGCAAGCAGCCCGGAAGGACTGTAATCCCGGACCTTTTTTTCGTCATGTACACGATGTCTTTTCTTGCACACAAAAAATGCACACTCCTTCCATATGATGATTGTCGAGACGTTATAAAACTCCAAAAGATTCAAATAAAGCAATGTTTGTAACCTACAACAAATCGCCAACGCCAGGGAGTCAAACGAAGAAAACCGATAAGGAGTACCGAGTTCATTTACTGCGGTAGAATCCAATCGCGGTTTGAAATGTAATAGAGTTAGGTTCCGCCGCCCCAAAACGTTCAATTGAGTTGTGAACAAAGTGGAGGCGCTGTCAACGATAGTACATCGCCATGTGAACTAGACACTGTAGCTGAATGCACGAATTTGCTCCGCAATCACTATGATCCATAATTACCGCACTTGCACGCGTATGGATTGATACGATGAGAGGTCTAAGTCAGGTACACAGTATTACCGTAGAGAAAAAAGCGTGGGCGCGTAAATTGTTTCTACGACCGTGGTTACCGCAGTCAGGTTCTGCGCAACAACATTTCGTCGTTCAAGTATAGAAATGGCAAGGTGGAGCCCAGGTAAGCTGTGTACAGTTGCCAAGGATAAGTTACGGTATAATGTTTATGAGGAAAACATCGGCGGAAAATGATCAAACGGACCTTCCTGACATCAGGGGCATTTGTCCCAGTAACAATCATTGTCAATGTCGCTGGTACCGTGGAATGTGTATTTTTGAAGCGATTTGCAGGCATCGTCCCCCGTATAACGTTTGTGTTGCAGCTTATGTAGTGTTTGCTGACGATGCTACGTACAATTGGATATCCCATGTCCTAAGAGTTCTCAGTCTGCTACCGCTGTTAGGCACGCGCAGTCCGATAGGTAATCTTGACGATGGGAAGCATAATTATCAGTACTACACAGGGGACGGCGATGAAAACTGAAGTTGATTCTGCTGATGTTAAAGGGCCATTTGCGGAATTTGGTGGAGTTGGTGTGATGGACTGATAAATATCGCTGACGCTGAATATTCTCGCATATCGAAGATACTCGGAATTGTTGCCCGTAAGACTGAGCTCATATTCGTTAAGCCGTCCATGAAGGCGTAGACCTATGAACTGGAAGCATCCTTGCTTACTGTTGGCGTGAACTGATAGCTAGAGTCGAAGCTGAGTGCGTCCATTCTACTAGGGAATGTAATCAGGAACTATACGTCCGTCAATATGGTATATAGATGGTCGGTGATATACGATGTGCACTGTGTCCATATACGTCTGCATCTGTGTCGCTGTATCCAAATCGCATTGCTACTCAATGCCCGGTCGATTGTTTGGATTACCGATGGAAATTATAGCGATACTATCGTGAGGTTGAGGGGATCATCGATAGAACGCGTACTCCTCTCAATCCCAGGGCGTACAGGTGTCGTTGGCGTGAGCTAAAATAAGGGTTTGACCTGTTTCGGTCCTAAAGACGTTGTCAGTTGCTGATCAATAAGCAACACAGCCGCTTACCATCGTCAACGACCAGAAGGTTCGCCTGTAAACTTTGTGTGGTCTCCATCATGCGTGAGAAGCATCTCGCTGCCATTAGGGACTGTGTGGGTAAGGAATCAGGGTCGTTGGTTGTTGTTGGTCAATAGCAGTAAGCGTCGACCATTCGAGAGATGATCTCCGTCTGAGAAAGAGTAAAGTGGCAGCAGCCCCAGGATATGTTCGATTACGTTGCCATCTGAGGGTTCATATTGAGCCTTGACTGATACGCCGAGCGTCGAAGCTTCAAGTTTCAGGAGCAAAGATAGCGATGTCGTTTAGGTATAGCTGTATAGAAGGGATGTGCGTGTACCATTGTTACGACTTGTCAGCTCAAATCGGCAAAGGAAAGTTATGGAGTGAACCGTATGAGGAGCGGATTTGGGTATGTACTCTCAGTCTTTGTTGTGCCATACCCAAAAGACGGCGTATATGTATCTACCGATTGACGCAAAGCAGAAGGAGGATAGATAGTCCATGTCGTCGGTGCATGGATGGATGGAGGGCGGGCTGGGTAGAAGAAGCGGCGCAAGAGAGCGGATGTAAAGACTCTTTTTTATGTGTAGAGGTTCTATTTCATGCGTCCTTCCACGACCTTAATTGGTGGCAACTATGCAGGAGATGTGCGCGCGTATGAATGAATCATCGCACGCTCTCCAATCAGGTCACAGGTGCAGCGGAGTACATGCATATCTTTCGGCACTCGCATAAGCACAATCTCAAAGGAATCCTCAACAACGCGCTGCAATCAGGCTAGCCGGACATGACAACTGCGAGGCCTCATCGACTGCTATGGTCGCCTCATCCAAACCACAATCAGTTTCTGATTGGTTCGACAGAGCTGCGGCTTTTCAAGTGGACACCAGAAGTACGAAACACCACCAGAGACTGGACGGAGCTAGGCGGGAGACAACAACTGTTGCTAACTTCCACTGACAATTCTCATGTTTGCTGTATAGGATGCTGAAGGCAAGCCGCACGCAACCCCGATAGCGGTCAACACCGATGTATCTCTTATGAAGGTATGCGAGAAAGGGGTCTCGATATGGTCCGTGTTACAGTGCTAGGGTGATGTCTTATCAGCGCTATTCCATACTCCTGCATCAATTTCAGTGCTTCACCTGGTCTCCAGACCCGAGCTACATGGACCTCACGGCGGTTGGATTGACTACAGGACGAACGCTACTCATTCGGATGCACAGATCAGAGCCATGGATATTCGAGGACAAAGGGAACGACTTCCGGCCCGATACGCCCAGGCAGGTGTCCATCGCCCAGAATCAACGTACATATCCATCTTTTAGTGCGCGTCATTCCAGAGCTTGCAACGTTGTAGCATTTTCCAAAGGCTGTCCCAATCTGCTGGCAGTTGGACTCGATAAAGTGCGAAACGACTACTGCTTGATGGTCTGGGATATTGAGCAGGCCATGTTCAAGGGCTCAGAGTCGAGCTATGCCCCATCTGGGTCAATCACCGGATCCAACCGCTCAGCTGTTGGAAGTTTACAGACATCGCGATTCGGAAGAACAGCTGAGATCGCAGAGAGTTACTTTGGTACGCTTCGTTCACATAAGAACCACTAGCGTTTCTTGCAGCTTGGACGCCAGAGAAGACTCATGTGCTATATAATTTTGCGCTTTCATTTCTAGATACTCGGCTGTCGATGAACCCACTTTCTCTAGCTGAAAACACCAGCACCGCCCGAGCACTCAATGCCTCAAGGTATCTATGGAAGCCTTTTCGATATTTAACTGTTGTGTTGTATAACCTCTCATTGACGCGAATCGTTCTACTTCATTCATGACGTATAGTTTCGACCATTCCTCAGAGAAGCCTATGTGTCAGTATGGGTCCAGCGAGGTTATTTCCTCGTGTGCTTGGTTCACGCATGAGCCCAGGGTCCTTGCAGCAGGAATGGGCATGAAATATATACGTGTCTACGATACCAGAGGTACATTGTATACCGGAAAGTGGACATGATATCGCGAGGCTATTAGGCTATTTACCGCAGCACTGATGTTAATTCTGTCACTTTACTCCATAGAGGACCCTAATTCGCCATCGTCGATGGTCATTTCAACAAAGGCCGTCCATGGGCTCTGCATGGATCCATTCCACGACGAGAGAATGGCCTCTTGCACGGATGACGGCAACATTTCGATTTGGGATATCAGAAAACCATCTCAGCCGATCCTTTCCTTCGACACTGGCTTACAGAAAGCGCCGTTAGTCCGAATACAGTTCAACCCGCAGAGATCCGGGCTGATCGCCTCTCTCACCAAGGAAGCCTCGTGTCTGAAAGTCTGGGATATTCAGGAGGGAACTATGCGTGCACCAAGAAGTGTCTCCAGGATGGATAGTAATCATAACCTCGATGCCAGCATGGAAAAGGGATCTGCAAGCACAAGCGGCTTGTTATCCAGGTCTCACGACAGGGAGGGTCTGCACACAGTCCGTGAGTCCGAGTCCGACGAGGCGGAAATTGGTGTTCCTATCCTATGGAAATCTCGTCAAAGTACGTCCAACCGAGGTCATTTGTCAAGCAGTGTTCAAAATTGCAAGGCCCAAGTTGTGTTCCCGTGTTAAGTGTCTTATTTGTCCCTATCATTGTTCATTTCTAGCCAAGCCGTCTTCAAAATCGCTGCAGTCGTTTGCATGGATCCCCACTTTTGTATCTAATTCCACCTCAGGATTGATCTCGATTAACAAGGAGTCCCTGATCGAGACAACTATCCTCAAAGAGACATCTCAGGTTGCATGGGAGCCCAGAGGCGCGCTAGTTGTCTCGGATGGAAATGCGGTCTCGTGTTTCCCTAGCCAACGTACCTTGGATGTAACAGCTCCTGAATCAGCATCCCAGCACGCGTTTTCAGAGATGCGGAAGCGCAACTCTAAAATCCTCAACCTGCAGCTTCCCGCCAGCCGCAAGGTGAACGGTGACGCAAACAGCGGCTCAGCCGTGAACTCCAGCAATCCTCCACCATCGATTAGCCTCATGCTTCCCAGTGGCCTGGCTGGACCGCCTGGCACAGAGTCCAATAAGCTGAGCGCAATCACCAATGGCATTTCGGATCCCGCGCGAAGGGCATCGTTGACAGCTGTAGTCAACAATGGGTGGATATCAGCTGCTGCAGCCGAGGTGGGTTCAAATCTGGAGCAGGACATTTCAGTTACCATGCGCGAGGGAGCCATAAAAGGATACTCTATGGATGCTGAAGCCAACATCAACCTGGTGGCGCCTGGTGCGCTTCGGGATTTTTGGGCTTGGATGATGCGAGCAGAGAAAATTGCTCAGAAGGATGGTGCTCGTATCGGAAAGTTTGACTTTAGCTACCAAGGCGTCCTTCCCGTGCTCTTGGGAAGTGCAGGTAAAGTCTATACAGCGATGCGGATGAACTTATCCATTGATGGCAAGTGCATATGCTTACTATTCCGACGATGGTTAACTTTCTTTAGTTTCCAGGAGATCAACGCCATCCGGTACCCCTCGCGCAATGTCGCCCCTGCCTCGCACCTCGTCTGACTTGACTGGTCAGAATTCAAAGCAAGCGGACGAAATTCCAATCGTGCCTACACTCAAGCTTGCACAACGCAAGCTGGCACTCAAGTTGTGTGGCTCAGAGCTGTTGCGTTCTGACCTGAAGAAGACTGTGGAAAAGTAAGAGTACCCTGCACATATTTTCTCGAACCGAGAATTCGTAAAACATGTCTGCCCCAAAAACTTACCATATGCCCATTTTCTTCTTTAGACTTGAGAGCGAGGGAAGCTATGAGGTTGCTGCAGGATGGGCCTTCTTTCATGGTGAGCTGGATCTCGCCATCGATGTGCTGAGTCGAGGAGGTAATTGCCTTGAGAATTTAGACTGCTGGTACCCCTACATCGACCTCAGGCAATCTACTCACTTGTAATGCTTTTTATTTGATTTATACGTAGATGACAAACTAAAGTTGATGTCGATTGTTGTGGCGGGGTTCAACAGGAACCAAAGTGTCTCAGGAACGACACTGGGCGATCTGGACAACAGCGAAAAGCCTTCGAACAGCGCATGGAGGGATCAATGCCGAAGTCATAGCCAAGGCCAATCCAACCCTTATATCAGGGCTATCTTCAGTTACATTGCTTCAGGGGACTGGAGGGATGTCTTGGACGAGCAGAGCCTTTCCCTGGCAGACCGTGTTGGTGTCGCGTTGAGGTTCCTGAGCGACGCTGAGGTAATGCCGTCGATGTGTATTCATATACAGTGTTAAGCGGTTGAGATATCTTTGGCATGTTTATAATGGTTTTTATCTGAAATATTCTCTAAATAGTTGATGGCCCGCATTCAAGCAATCTCAGATACGCTTACCAAAGAAGGTGAAATCGATGGTATTATCCTCACAGGATTGACGGAGACGGGTCTGGATCTTTTTACCAACTATGTAAATCGCACGGGCGACATCCAAACAGCTGCCCTGGCTTCATCCGTAGCCGTTCCACGATACTTTAAAGATGTTCGCGCGGAGGAATGGGTCGACTGCTACCGAGATCTTTTGGATCGCTGGCAACTCTACTATACGCGAGCAAAGTTCGACATTGCTCGTGGACGGTGCATACAGCAAAGCACGTTGAGTGGTGTCTCTGCCGCGGATATGACGCCCACACAAATTTACGTCCGCTGCAACTTTTGCAACCAGAGTATTGCTCGAAATTTGCTGATTCCGGGGGTGCGTGGCCGAGATGGGCGTCGATTGATGGTGCCCGGTGGAGGCGGACCCGGATCTGGAGCGGGCCATGGAGGTATGCATGCCCATGATAAGCAAGGTTCTATGGGCGGTGCAGGAATGGGCCAAGGTGCTGGAGGCACCGTGCCCGGAGGAGCACCAGGGACAGGTGGTGGATCAGCTGGTAGCTCGAGCAAGGCTGTGGTATGCCCCAGCTGTAGTAAGCCACTGCCTCGGTGCGCGATCTGTCTCTTGCACCTCGGTGTGCCAGCAGAGGGTAATGCTGCACTTGGTGTTTGGTCCAGTCTCGGTAACAAGGCCACAGGCGAGAGTACGTTAATGATGCCTTAATGGCTTGTGCGCAGCTGAGTAAAGCAACATTTGTACTAATGCCTCCCGCTACTTTCATACTTTTTAGAGCCCACAAGTTTTGATCTTTGGTTCACTTGGTGTCAGACATGTCGCCACGGTGGACATGCGATGCATATGGCAGAGTGGTTTGATCGACATACGCAGTGCCCTGTCAGCGATTGCAACTGCCTCTGCTCGACTCATGACGCCCTGTAATTATTCTCTGATTGCCCATACTCACGCATGTTATTAAAGACGGCTATTCATTAAAAAAAAAAAAACTGTCGCTGTGGTGTATGGAGCCAAGTCTGCGCTAGTGATGCCTTGCCATCGCCTATGACTCTGCCTTGATAATATTTCCCCGTCTTTAAATGCTCTTCTCCTCGCGATCATGTAGAGACCAACGAGATGAAGACAGTTCTAGTGGCAGTTGACACCTTTGGCACGATGACATCTCTTCCGTATCTTATGAATGACGAACTAAGAAATAAAATGTTTCGATGTATTTATTTTGTGTATCTATCTACATGTACTCGACTTGACGGGCATACCAGTCCCGCTGTCTCAATGCGCCGACGCGCGAAAACGTACTCATCTGGATCCCGACTAACGTCTCAGCATAGGCCATAAACACTTGGTCAACCATCATGGGCCCAAAGACACCTAGTGCTTCGACAGTGCCCATCTTCTCATGGTCCAAATACTTCCACCCTAGATTCGCAAACCGTCGCAGCTCCTCCGGGTTACGCTCGTTCGTCGCCACAAAGACAGGCAGGATTTCTGCGGGATCCTTGGTTGGATTCAACCTCTCCTGGACGATGTCAATCCTCTCCGCGATCTGTTCTGTGGAGGGCAGGCAGTGAGCCATCTTAGAGCCTGCAAAGTTTCCTTCACAGTACTTGCTAAAGTCCCCGCGGCGTGCATGGATCGCTAGGAATCTATGGCGAGCGGGTTCGATCTCTCGACCGGTGTCAAGATCAACCTTGGGCTTGCTCTTGATCAGATTCTTGTCCAAGAACTGTTGTACGAAGGCTTCCAACTCGGCTGTGAAATGCAGGTGCTGACCGAACCGCTCCCATTCCGATTTTTCGGGGACCACGATCTTGTAGGTGTTCGAAATGCAGAGGTACTTGTCGCGACTGAAAGGTTCCAAGGTCGACACGATAGTTCCGAGCCTGCTATCGTCTTCAGGGAGCGGACCCAGTGTCGCATTGAGACGCCATTGTCTCAGGAACCCCTTGGCAGTAAAATCGATCGTGCGCTTGGATCCAAAGCCGCAGGTAATCCGACACTGGATTTCGTTGTAGAGCGTGAGTTCGGCATCGCGCAGGTCATGAAACTCGACGACTTTGATCCCTGTCAGCTGGGAGAACCGTTTCAGGTCAAGGAATTTAGACCAGGGCTGGTTTTGTTTGGATTTGTCGTGGCTCGACGAAGTGATTGGTGGGATGATCAGGGTTCGACCCAGGGCCTTGGCAACTTCCATGCCTCTAAGCATTCCATAGAATTGGTTCGTGATCCCGGCATAAGGGAGATAGGTGAGATACCGCGTCGGGTCATTTCTTCTCTTCAATGTCTCCTCAAATGGCGCAGGGGTGAGAGCACTCTTTTGGATATTTGCAGCCATGGCACCGTCAATTGCTTTTAATTGCGGGCTCTGGTCGGACTCTGCAGGCGTGTTTATTGAGTCGAGGTTCCGATATGGGGTCAATGGCTCTGGGTGCTGTTGTCCTTGATTCGGCTGTTGAAGTTGTTGTGATGGATTTTCGTATTGCTGCTCGAAGGGCAATTGTCGTAGCTGATCCTCTTGCCTCTCGAGCTGCTGCTGCATCAACGCCTGCTCTTTTTCGTCGTGGAATGTGTTGTGATGAGGGAGCGCCGCGCGTGGACGACCGAAACCCTGGTGTAGGCTCCTGTACCGCGCAACCGTCTCCTCCTCATTCTGTGCGTTAACATGTTCGGAATGTTGGCGATCGCTGAATCGCCGGGCTGTCCAACGAGTGACGGAGGAGGAGGCGTAGTCTTCTTCAGACTGGCTCAATTGGCCGCTGGAGACGTGCAGGACAAGGAGGGAGCCTGAAAGGATTAAGAGTGAGAGGGCGAGGAGGATGGCGATCCGATGGCGAGTTCTGCTTGAGTGGTATCGGGCAAGCACACCAAGGAAGTTTGGTGACCCTGTAGCGGTCATTTTAATTTGAAGCACAAAGCACTCAATAAGGTTTGTATAGAGGCGGTCGAAGGAATGAGGAATGAGGAATGAGGAATGAGGGATGAATGTAACAGCGACAAAAAGCGGCAATGAGGAGACAAAGGGAGTGGAGAGAAGACGGCGCCCCAAGAGAATGAGAAGGGGAAGAGAAAAAAGGGAGAATGAGCGATATGGACACCGGTCGCACCCTCTAACAGATGTTTGGAGCACATTCATGCTAATGGACCACCAATAAAAATATGCAATTTGCGACAGATAGCCATCTGGTGCCTGGCTATAGAATGACATACATGCTCAATCAAATAAAAATAGTATTCAGGAGCTGGTGGCAGGCAGCGCAGGGTCCAAGTGGTAATTTTTGACTTTTTGGGGTCTTTTGGCCCTGTGGACAGCCATTTCGACCAACAAATTGAATCCAGATACAGCGGTCTGATTTCACACTCGTGGTGACAACAAAAATAACAATGGCGAGCAGCTCAGAGCCCATATCTCATTTCTTCTGCACTTGGAACATCTGATACTCGGCTGCCGTGTTGCGCGCTTTTGCTTTAGGGGAGCCCTGCTGGCGGCGCTACAACTCCAAATGAAATACCGGAGGGCATTATGCTTGTGGATTCAGACTCCCTTCGCTCCAACACGTTTTAGCTCGCGACTGATATTCCTTGGTCCAAAACTTCGTACACATATGATGCCGATAACAGCATTCCCGCTATCACATAATAATGCAGTCAGACAGGCTGGACGTCTCCGAGAAGGATGAAGCTCACATGCAAACGCTTCTATTCATCTCACCAAAGCAGACAGTATGCTTGCTACATAGCAGAGTATTTGTGGTGCCGAACGCGTGTTTCGTGAGTCTACAGAGCCAATACGCTTATATCCTAAGCACTTATACTTCTCGCAGATAGGCTAATGCAACTCACCCTATATAGCATACCTAAGCCTCGCATTAGCGTCAAGCTCTGAGCCCAGGGGGATACATATTGCTTTTTCTCTGGTCTATTTTTTCCTTCGTGCCCTTTCTTTATCTCTCCTCTCCCCTTTCCCGCGCATAAGATGACGATAAAGCCAGACGAGTTGTCCCCTCTACAGCGGCGACTGAAGCATGAACGATGGTAACCTAGTCGGGCTCCAGTCTCTTTAATGTGTACGTTTGATGCCAATGGAGCATACCTTAATCATCATCACTGACACTTTTAGTCCTATTGATCTAGGACTCCACTGGCCTACGGACATCTCGCCTGCGCCATAGGTATGAGGACTTCTCATTGCATAAACCGTTTTTCCATGTGCAGATATATCCTCCGCTTGCTGACTATGCCCTTCACTTTCTTTTTATTTCTCCTCTTTAGTGGCCAGAGTGACAAAGTACACTGGATTATACATCGCAGGAAAGACACCTCCAAAACAGCCATACATGATCGGCGCTGCTGTGGCAATATTGTTCCCTGCCATTGAATGTCTCAGCATCCGTCAGTACCGAACGTTCATGAAGGCAGCTGTCAACTTTACACATATCCGAGCTGGCTTGGGATCAGAAGCAAAAAAGGCGAAATGGACGACCAAAATCCAAGGAGATGGATGGAAGGGCTACTGGATTCCATTCCAGGATCAATTGGTCGATACCAAGAAAACCACTGCAGCAGAAAAGGTGTTCGACCCTAGCAATATTCCCCTGGGAACCGGGTGCGACATGGTGGTCGTTGCTGTCCACGGCGGCGGATACATCGATGGAGGTGCGCTGATGTTCCTGGATTACTTCAGAAGGTTGATGATGAGTGCGCAGAAGGATCAAACTCTCAGGATTGGGATTCTCTCGATAGAGTATGGTAAGCATTCGATTTTTTTTTTTTTTTATTGTTGCAGTGAGCCCAGCACTTGCGTCCCGATCATTGTGTCCAGCTTATTTAATTGCGAATACCGGTATTCGCTGTCTTTCTTCAAGGCCTCTCCCCGGAGAACCCATACCCGCACGCTATGAACGAGATTATTGCTTCCTATCGGGATCTCATCAAGCTTCACGGTGTCGAGTCCAAGCGAATTATTTTTCGTAAGCAGGCCGTTCAATGTTAGATGTCATCTGACCACGAAGCGAAAAAGGGCAATGCCTAACTTTTTTTTGGATAATTTCACACAGTTGGGGACTCTGCCGGTGGAAACATATGTCTAGGAACATCTCTCAAACTGCGCGACGCCTTTTCAGAACTCGGCTCCCCTGCAGGTCAAATTCTGATCTGCCCATGGGCTCGCTCAGCTGATCCCCTGGAGAGCTCTCTCTACGATGTCGTGAGTGCTATCGGATGCGAGATCTATACTGAGGCCTATACCCAGAATGACCCCGAAACGGCAATGTGTACCTATACCTCTCCGTCGAGTGCATTATCTTTGACAGGATTGCCACCAATGCTGATATTCATCGGGGGCGTTGAGATCCTACGTCCCTCGATCGAGCAGTTCGTGGACAGGGCTCGCAACGAGGGTGTCGACGTCAAGAGTGTGCTAGGAGAGGGCCGATCCCACAATTATTTTTTGTTGGATGACATCTCCACAAAGCAGGACCGCGAGGAGGCATTAAGAGAAATGGGCGAATTTGTGTTGCGGGCACATCGCCAGTCTACGCAGGCGACAGAGTAATAAAACAAGAGGGCTTTCCATTAGACAAGACAACAAATCAGGAATAATAAAACCTAGACGGCATGGCTTTTTTATAGCTGGAGAAATAGTTGAAATGACGCTTTCTTTTTTATTGACGAAGCGATCAATAGTTCAGAGCAACAGGATAGCAGCTATAGCTTCAAACAGAAGCAACCTCTCAGTTTTTCATCAGAAGGATCCATAGCCGCCGTAGCCTCCATGACCGCCATATCCATCACACCAGCCATAGCCACACGAATAATCATTGTAGTCCGTTGGAAAGACGTTGACGACCGGCTGGACGTTGCTCACAGGGATAAAATCCGTCTCGGGGATGATGGCAATAGGCGCGATGGGAACATTTGTAGCTGGATAGTCAAAGCCAGGACCTGGAGGGCCGGAAGGACCAATGGCCCCAAAGGACGTGGCGGGAGTCATCTGGACGACGGTCATAACCAAAGACACTGCAGCAAAGAGGACGAGGAGAGACATGGATGTTGAAAGATTGTGCGTTGCGAATAAATGAAGGCTAGGTGGCAGCTGGTTCCTCTAGTCCGAGTGAGATGCCGGACTGGCAGTCTTTTATAGACAGGAAGCCATCGTTAAGGACGCTGGGGAAGATTGCGACGGAGACTCGGGTTGCGGTTGTTAACGCATCTAGAAGTTGTAGAAATGGATGATTTATCTGTCATTTGATAGATGAACTGTTAAACAGCTAGAGTGGCTGGGTCATTTATCATTTCATTTGTCCACTACAGGAGCACTACCCTACAACACAGCATCATCATTGTACTAACTTGCTGCTGCAGCTTCATGGCCAGGTCATTAAGGAAAGGGCAGAGGGGCGATAGTGTGTACAGCCCATGTGTGTTCTCACCAATAAAGCGGGCGTCGCGTTTGCTCAATGGACAGTCGTGCACAGATCGTGGGGAAATAAAGCAGGCTCCCTTTGTTGTGTTTTGTAAGCACTGCAGAAATAAACGCATCCGCGCTAGTGAAAATGCAATATTATCTGGGTATATGTCTCGGCTATTTGTATCGTTATAATCTACTGGCCGTGTCTTTATTTGATAGCATTATCATTATTTACATAATTTTTATTTTTATTTTTTTTGGTTAATGAGGGATGCAGGCTTTTGGCGAAGTCAAGGTTGGACCTTGCACCAGAGGAATACCCTTGTTGAATCCAAAGAACCCTGCATTGACCTGCAACGAAGCAGTGCCATCAGCATGGAGCGCGACATGGTTGGCCGGGCAGGTCTCAGTCTTGTCAGTGTCCCAGTAGGTGTTGACGCCCAAACTGATGGGCGAGCTGATACCGGCCGAGAGAGCTGTAAACCCAAAGACCTTCAGGGCCATGCCCAACGAAGGCGAGACAGTAACGCCGACGCGAACGGTGGCGGTCTCTCGTGATCCAGGAGCAGTCGTGAGAGCACGCTTCTCGTTATGGCTCGACGCTGGATCAGCCCCAAAGTAAAGGGCGGTTTCTGAGCTCTTGCGACTGAGAACGTCTTGCTGGGCAGCGGCAACCTTGGGTGTACCAGGCATAGTACAGGTGCCGAACTGGACGGTGGGGAAGTTGGCGAAGCTACCACTCCATTGAATGACCCATGGGCAGCTGGTGGTGCTTCCGGTGTTGACCAACAGATCCTGGGTGGCCCGCACAAGGACCGCGAGGGAGACCGACCCTCCAAGACCAATACTGGCTCCCATGTCAAAGACACCAGGGACACTGAAGCCAAGCAACGGAATGGGAGCCATGAGGTCGAATCCTGGTGTCGTAACATTAATGTTTGTAAGGGTCAACAGAGGCTGAGAGTTGTTCTTCGAATTGTTTAGAGTGGAGACGGACAACTTGCTCTTGACGCTCAGCTGGGCCTGGTGGTTGATCTGAGTCATGCCGGAAATCTTGGACTCCGAGATACCCCAGTTGGCGCATTTCATCTGGCCATTGAAGATGTTCTTGATGCAAATCTGTTTCCAGGCCATGTTTGCCTGAGCTATAAATCATTAAGAAAAAATTGAACACAAATGTTAGATTACAACCGGCAGGGAACCATGGAACAAGAAGCGACCAAACGACGTCTTACCATAGCCCTTCACGCTACTATTGTCCAGGTTGGCGTCAACATTGTCAGCAGGAATCTGGCTAGCAACATTCTCGGTAGCCGAGGCCAAGTTGTGCTCATAGTCCCACATCGGTCCATCCTCTACTGCAGTTGACCGCTTGTGGAAGTAGAGACCAAGCATCTCATCCATTGGTTTGTGAGCGATCTTAACAGACTGGGCGCGATTCATCTGCGACCAGACGTCAGTCCTGACCACCCTAAAGCTGACAATGTTGGGGTTCTTGCTGTCCAAAAACTGAATGTTCTTGACCAACTTGACAACCGTCTCCATGGGATGATCTTGAGCCCACTTCTTTGCCGTGGAACTCAGGTCATCATAACAGGCCTTGTTCTTCTTGAGATCGACAAAGTCATGAGGGATAATAACGCCAAAGACAGTAGCGGGGGACAACTTCCAGCGACGGGCCTGCTGGGCGTACTCAGGATCCAGTTCGAGTTGCAGCTGAGAGGAACCAGCGGAGCAAGAGATCGACTTGACAGCATTTTGGAACGCGAATGGGTTCAGGGCTTGAATTGTTTTTGAGCCATCGTCTGACTTAAGCTCGACGTCCATATCGACATGATGGCAGGCGCCATAGTATGAGCCTTTCTCTGCATCGATGAACCGGAGCTCGATGGTGTTCTTGGGCTGAAATCTTCCAAGTGTTCGTTTACGACCAGCGTACGAACGGGGCATCAGGTGAATAGGGATAGACTTCATGGGAACTCCATCCTGAATAACAGTATCCGCAGCGAAGACGGACTGGTTGAGGACTGCAAGGCATGCAAGCCAGATGCAAATGAAGACGCGGACATGGTGATGTTGAGCCATTGTGATGGTGTATGGTGTGGAGAGGTGGGTATATTCAAACGGGCTACGAAATATGTGCGTATCAGGTTTTGATAGTCCTGGATGAGTGTTAAAGCACGTCGTTGGTTCTTTGAAGTCCGTGGGGATGGTTGCAAGGAATGGACTGGGCGGTCGGGTGGAGGATTTCGTGTCTGAATCGATGGAGAGAATGTTGGGAAACGCGTGTATTTCGTGGAATGAACACAAGTTTTTGGAGTGCTGTGGTGATCAGGGTGTAGGACGCTCGAAGATGCGAGGACTGGGAGGGAGAACAACGTAGCTCTTTTGAGAGGGTCTAAGCTGCTAGAAAGAGGGGAGAGGGGAGGGGATTATCCCTTTGTTAGGGATCGACGGTAGAGTTGGGACGAGTGAGGAATGCAGTTCCCCGGGGGAAGGGCTCCTTGTATATATATTTCTTGCGTTGTGGTCGTTTGGAGCATTGGAATGCCCAATCGTTTCATCCAAGATTTTTCTGTTCCTGAAGTCCATTGTGAGCAGGCAGGTCGATTATGTAGTCCATGCAGGTGAAAATGCAATACCCAAATTTAAAAATTACATACATGCGAACATTTCGATCGAGCCACTGTTTGTGCCGAGGAAAAATCCACTGCACTGAACCATGTGAAATAAAGTGAGCGAACATTGGACCTTGTCCTCCATAATCGACTCGACGTCCTTTGTACCTGAAGCGGCACGTGCCCTCTGCCCCAATGGTAGCCTATACACATAGTGACCATCATAGACTATGATGCCTGAACAAGGTCAAGATACCCGGACCGTCCGATTTCCCGCCATTTTTTTTCTTGGAGGATGTTGATTGTTTTGACCTTGTGGCCACCTCAGTCTGCGAACCACCATTTGGTATCGAAAGAAGTATTGTTCCTGAATAGGTATTGCCATCCATGGGTGTAATCGATGGACGAAGGGCGAGAAGGAAAGTGGATCATGCATGCATCTTACGGCATATTCGAGCGCGGGAATGGTCTAGTGCATTTGATAAATTAGACCATAGGACTTACCCAAAATGATACACAAAGCGTCGAGAGAGGGCGGGAAAAAACTCGATGCATTTGTAGGTTTACTAGGCGCTTTCTAAATGCGTTTCCCGACCCTACTAAAGTACGCCATCCATGCACCATTAGTATAACACGTACGCAGCAAAGGAGGTCAACAACAATAACTTGAACAGGAAAAACGAAACAACAACAATCAACAAAGTCGAGGCCCATCAAAATCGCTGTTGACTGGTTCGTAGGCTTTACTAGAGATGTACAAAAGAATCCTTGACCTTTGCAACATTGCGCGGCAACAGTGACTCAGCCTAAGAGAAACTTACACGGCAGTTAGGACCCTCTTCCCGCCATGGAGCCCACTTATCCAAAGTGCGACCTTATTTCTCTTATCACTCGTTTTGTTTACTAGGGTTAGGATCTAGAATCTACCTTCAAGCCATGCATCAGTTCAAGAAGCGAGATGAAAACAAGTGGAATGACCATCGCCTGTGTGATATGATAACCTAGTGACCATCAACCGCAGTACTTGGTGGCAGCAAACGGGGCGCTATGGCGGCACTCTCAGGCGCAAAAGCATCCAGGCACAGGTTTGAATGTGAAGACGCAAAATGCGCATGATTGAGTCAAATGAAATGAGGACATGGTACAGCGCTCGGGACGGGAGGAGACAGACGACAAGGCCAAGAACGGCATGGTAGGTTTTTTTTTTTTTTTTTAAGAAGCGTTTAAAGTACCATAAAGGGCTTGCCGTTTTCGATATGGGTCATCATGAGTCCTCAGCGAGCGGTAAAAGTTCTCTTTGAGTTGAGTTGCATGGGGGAAGGCCAGATCCAAATTGCATGCTAATACAAAAGGCCTCCATTCATTGGACAGGACAACCCGTCCCATGCTCCCTCAGCGGACCCTCATTAGTCTGACCATTGACCACGTAAGCTCGTAAGCGTAGGCACATCGCCTTTAAGGTTCTGCTCTTGTCTAGGTCCTACATGCTCTGTCGCACTTCGTTTGCCTGCATTTTTTTTCCCGCCATTTTTTGTTGTTTGCGTTGTTTGCTTGCGTGTAACCCGAACCAAAACATTCCTTCTTCCATCGTTTTCCCTCCCTTTTTTTTGCGATCTAATCCTTTAGAGGGCGTGAGTCGACAGCGCATGATGCCAGTGTCTTGCGGTAGATTTATTCAATTCACACCCATTAAATCTGCTGCACACGGGTCGTTCCTTGACTTTGTTTGTTTATCGTTACTTGAACACGCTCAGACCAAGACAAATCGCAGGGCATCTACCCCCTTCCCCCTCGATTGAGTGCTCGGTGGTCATTTGCTAGATATGTAAAATGTTTGGAAGACAGGCACTCAAAAAAGAGGGGGTATTTTATTCGTATCATATTTCATGCGATATAAAAGACGTGCTCCGCGGGGGAGGAGAGTGTTACAGAAAAGAATGGGTAGTCGTTTGGAAGCAAAACGAAGATCGAGGGGCAGAACGAGCCAATGGTACAACAAGCACCACGTATGAACTTTTATGAGCATACCGAAGTGGCAATCTTGGCAACAGGATGGCCATGCAAGAGGATGTATCCACGTTTTTCCCTACCCGCCTTCCCGCTGCCGGTTGATTGAGGCGATTGCCGCTAAATGAGGCTAGAGCCAGAGTCGGTGATAGAGAGCGAAGGAAGATCATATGCCTATTGCACCTATCTCAACCTGTTTGTGTAGACGCCTCCATTCTTGCCGCCATTTCTATTCTACCATGGAGGGTACACGTATCTGGAGAGCAAGTTGAACACAAAGGTATCTCAACTAGACTAAATACGCAAACTTAATCGAGGATCTGAAATGCCGGCTGGACTGAGTGGCAGATCCATCAGATATGAGCCAGGAAGCCTGAACATGCGTGAAAGAGGAGTCTGCTCAGGACGGCGTGCTGTTGAAACTGTCCCACTTTACTGATAGCGCACTCGTCTCGCCTTGCCTGTCCATATTCTTCTGTGCTTGGAAGCATTTTGGTTTTGCTTGGAAATGCCTACAGAAGTATATTCGATCCAGCTGGCTGGCCCCTTCGTCTTGGCAAGACCCCAGAACCGATAGGCTATACAGTTTCTGTGATATAAATCGCTGACTGGGACTCGAACAGCCGCTATTTCATAGCTTGAATATGTGGGCGCAGAGACGATGCAGAACTCTACAGTACGATACGGTACAGAACATGGTCATGGCCCTTCCTTGACCAACGTGTAGATACCACATTCTTCAGCGCTTTCCGCGTGTGTACCCAGCAATTCTCTCACCACTTCTCCATTGTTCATTATGGTCAAGTAAGATGTCCTAATTGCCAATTAACGGGAAGGCGAACCTGCGTTACGTTTCTGCGCCCCGTTCTGAGTTTTTGTAAATGGAACAATCTCGGTTGATCAGAAGGGGTCCGCCCCATGTTCACTGGCCCAGATCCGCTGCAGTGACTTTGTTCAGCTTCTGGGGGATGTTGTTGAGAGCGCGTATGTGCTTATGCCCTATTGTTTGTTTTGATTACAATATCCTTCCTCGTTTGTTTATACACTGTTCTTTTAGTCATGCTGTATTTTTACGCGGGAACATTTTGTGTTTTTTTTTACGCAGCTCAATAGGAAATGTTCTATGGGATTCCTATTCAATAGTGCGGTAACAATTAGCCTATGGGCATCTCGATATTTATACTAGGCTCGATTGAATTGCGGATAAGCATGGACATACGTTTTTTAAAAACGCATTCAGTCTAGTCAGAGTCTACATATAGGGTCCCTATGATGGCAAAAGCGGCAATGATAGGAAGCTCCATGGTCTACCGTCTACCTTGAGGGTAGGATGTCCCCTCCTTCGACGACTATAAATGTGTCCCTTCATCCCCCGCAAGGAAAAAGAGGATTCCACTCTTTTTTTTCTACCACTTCTCTGGCCTTCTTCAACCTGTACGACGCATCCATTTCTCTTATCTTATCCTACATAGCAGCATTCCTTTCCTTCCTCTCAACGCACCCATCGATATTCTCACTGCACACACCACAGACCTCGTCTACCGCTCCCCTCCTCTCCTCCGTTCACACCCAATATTCGCTCACGGCCTCTGGTCCGCTCCTTCGTTTTTTATCTCCTGTACATTCTGAACTGCTCGCCTGGACTGCCCTTGTTTACTATCCTCTGCACCCTTCTTGAGCCAGCGCAAACGATTTGTAGTTCTTCGCATACAAAAAACGTTCTTCTGCCAATACCCCTTGACCCTTTTAGTCCCCTTGCCTTCTATTGTCTCTTATAAGGTCCCTTTCTCTTATTGCCCCTTTCCTTCCTTCACTGCTCTCACTGCTGTCGATCACTTTCGCTTCGTAGCACCGAGAAGCTGTTGTCTTCTGTATTCTAACATAGTCTACACTTTACGTACTTTTCATATTCACCCTCTATTTGCATATCCAGCCGTCTCTCCTTATTTCCTATTGTCCATACATTAACACGCCCGACACATAACCCTTTCCGCTTTATCGTTCCTTGACCACACTCACACAGTGTTAGTACGTACGTCTGTTCACACACCCCCATTCATTATCGTCTATAAGAAAAAAAAAGGCCACCACGCATACGCTCAAAAGCAGGACACAGGCAAGTCAAAGACCCGCGTTGCATTGCATTGCTGGACATGCACTGATTCATCCATGGAGCAATAGAGAGCAGCTACTAACCATAGTCTCATCGTCTCATCGTCTCATATTTAAACATTTTTATTCCGTCCACTGCTTTACACGAACTACAGAACAACACCTCGTCTCCACCAATCAAAGAACTATCCTTGTTCGCAGAACCCTCCCTTCGATACTTGCCACTACCATCCCCTCACCAAGCAACAGCCACGAGATGGCCAGTTTCTCTGCCGAAGAAAAATATCCCTACCTACGGGAAGGAACAAGCACACCTAGTATACGCGTACAGCAAACATCACAGCATCCATCCTATCACCACCACCAGCTGCCTAGTTCGTCTAGCAACCATCTTTACCAGACATCCCCTTCATCCACTGATGGACCCACTGATTATTACTTCTCGTTCTCAGCGGATCCCCAATACGAATCCAATATTACATCCATGAGTTCACATCAACCAGATCGCCTTCTTCTGGACCTGCATCAGCATATTCAGCTGCTTCAACAACAACACCAGCAACAGCAGGAGCAACAACAGGACGATTTTGGGCTCTTTTCCCACATGACGACCCCTGCCATCTCCGCCGGTCTTCCTCTGTTCGAGTCGTCATTGCCTACGCAATCCTTCGGCTTCCCGGCTGTCATGACGCGTGGCGCGCAAGAGATTGCCGGTGGCATGCAGAACTTGATGGGTCCGCAGACATACTACGCTCCAGTCCCGTCTCCAACGCCGTCCGCCACGTCGTCACCTTCCGCTTCATCATCGGTTGTCTCCTCCCCGATCTCCACAGACTACGATGAGACCCTCGCAGCCATGGCAGCGCCCGTGATCGCGTGCGCGAGTTGCAAGCGTTCCCATATCAAGTGTGATGCTGGACGGCCCTGCCAGAATTGTCTCAAGCACCCCTCCAAGGCCCTGACGTGCCGAGATGCGGTCCCAAAGCCGAGAGGTCGCCCAAAAGGTGGCAGCAAGGCCGCTGCTGAGGCCATGTTCCTGGCCAGATTGCAGTACCAGCAACAGCACCAACTGCGAGACCATCAGCAGTATCAGCAACAGCAGCAACACCAGAACCATTTCCCGCGTACCAGGGTCCTGTCCTTCCCTCAGCAAGCAAGAACGCAGCCACCGCTTCCTCAGTTGCAAACACACCAGCTTCAGCAACAGCAGCAGTATCGTGGTCAACCTCTGCATGTCCTGTCACGGAGCTCTCCGACGTCGCCCGCAGCGGTCGAGCACCGTGGGGTTCGCCTCGCAAGACGCACGTCCTTGCCTGTTTGGCATCATCCATATGCGATGCATCGTCACCCATATTCTAGTGGGCCAGGGGTATCGCCATCCGTACCATCGTCCTGGAACATGGCCGCATCTGGACCAGCGCCGATGTCGTCGTCAGCGATCACGTCATCGTCATCGCCACTATCGTCTCCCACCTTGGTTGGTCCAGCTTCTCAAGATATGTTGCATTCCTTCCCTGTTCAGAGCATAATGCCGTCATCCTACCAGGACCTCGATGCAGTGCATTTTATTCAAGGGTGTCTCCCAGTGGTCGATATGCATCATCATCAGTCACGCAGTGCGACGGCAAGCCCGATTCCCTTCGTGCCCTCCATGGAGCCCTGCCCGCAACAATTGCAGCAGGAGCTATTGCAGCTGCAGATGATGCACCAGAATATGCACGCCACGGTCAAGTCCGAGCCCGAGGAGAGTGGACAGACTATCAAGCCACAAGATCTGCTGCGGGCCGTGTCCGTCAAGTCAGAGTCTGAGGTCGTTGATTCGACTACACCTGAATCACCCAGTGCAGACCTTCAAGATCCAGGGATGGCCACGCTGTTGCAGCAACAGCTCGTGACCCAGGCAGAGCTGCAATTCGTCCAGCAGCGACAAAGCCAACTCCAAGAACAATTCCAGAAGCAGCAGGCTTTGGTCAGCTTGCGGAGGCAGCAGCAGCAGAGGCAGCAGCAACAACAACAGCAGCAGTAATTGCTAATGTGCCATACTTGATAATTAACAAACCAGTTGGACAAATCCTCATTTGTGGTTCACAAGAAACAAAACAAGGGGGGTTTTCTACTATAATTGTATATTCTTTTTGATAATTACCTAGCATCCCGACCATTCATCACTTCATCCCCCCTTCTTTAGTTTTGTGACATTATCATTATTCAAACCAAAAAGTTTTTATTCCATTACCCCCATTACCCCATTATTCCATTATTAATAAATAACTAATCCATTTATTTGCATCCTCGAAAAAGAACCCAAATACTCTATTACGAAATGCATGCTTTCCTGTCAGTCTCACAGAAATCGCACCTTGTCGACTCCCATGGCCTTGCGTACCTGCGCAATCGCGATCACTTCTTTGACAACCTCTTCCAATATAACAACATTCGTCAGCAGTTGTCTCAATGTAACCGTCTTCTCCTTTTGCTGCTGCGACGACCCCTTCTTCTGCGAAGATTTGGATCCAATGGCTGTCGCAAATGACTCCTTGCGAGCATGTCCATAATGACTACTTGGGCGCTGCTGACTCTTGCTCGTAGGTTTCTGCAGATCCGAATTCGCCTCACACTCCACAGGATCCCCGTCTTCTGAACCCATACTTTTCTTATTCTTAGTGCTGCTGCTGTTATTGCCGCCGCCTCTAGCATCCTCCTCGTCCTCGTTCTCATTATCATCTTCACTCAAGCTCATCCTCATCTCTGAGTCCGCCTCGGCCTCATAGTCTGAATCGTCAATGAACCCGTCCGCAAAGAGTGGCTTGATCGTCATAGTATTCATGGCCTTTGCCAACTGGCTTGTTTCATGTGTACCGAACAAAGTTTGTCCATAGATACTCATTGAAGAGCTGCTGATACTGCTGTTGTCCGCTGAGCTGCTGAGAACGCTGTTGCTACTGTTGCTGGTTCCACGTACGGCGGTGGCCATGCCTCTTACGATGACTGGTTGCTTAGGTGAGGCCGTCGCAGCATTATCAGCAGTAGTCCAAGGTGTCCATTGCTGCGAGACAGGTTCATGTGATGCGGTAGCTGTTCTCGAAAGGGGATACGCCGACGATGCCACTGTCGACGCCGAAGAGGATCCTTCTTGATTGTCGGATCCATCTTTATGACCCGGAGGCGCAGACGGATAACGTGGCCCAAGAGTAGAGGTACCGCTCGCCAGAGGACTTGCGCTATTGGACTTGACGTTGCGTTTGCCACCAATACCCGCTGCAACCAAGAAGGGCATGTTGGACGGCGTGGACATCAGACTGGACGGCGAGCTGCTTTTTCGGGGCCGAGAAGTACTGATCTTGACCGTCGTCACTGGGTTTGCCACGTTTCCTTGAATAGATGTTTTCGGATTGCTGTCTTGGAGTGCTGACGACGTGCCTCTAGATCCTGCTCCGGAATCTCCTCCATTGTCGTGGGGACGTGAGCTTGTAAAGCTACCGCTTAGTAGGTTGGGCGAGGAAACAGGTGTGGTCGAAGTCGAAGGTCGAGGGCCTCCGTCGAAACTGCCAGGTGCAGTAAAGAATGATTCGCTCGAAGCATACATGGCTCCTAGATTAAATGGGTTGCTTGAGGTCGGAACTTTGTCAATAAATACTGTTGGCTGAGCGGCGCTGGTGTTGGAATCGCTTAGGTGCAAAAGTTCGCGTCGTCTCTCAATAAGGTACTCGTCAAAACCATCGATCTCACTCCGATAATAGTCCACCTGTTGAGTCAGCGTCCTCAGCATTGTAAAGAAGGGCGGAAACGATTTGAAAGACGGCGGGCCCAATGGCAAAGACGGACCACCTGAACCAGCCTGTGCAAAGAAAGGTAGCGAATCTTCATCATCCGAATCGTAGGTGGCTGCTGAATGGAAAGTGGGATCCAAGCGCGCAAAGATGTGGGAGCCTGTGATGGGAGACTCATTATCGGATTCGTCTCCAGAGTCGCGGTCGACATCCGGCTTCTTGACATCGCTAGTCCTAAAAAGCAGCCAGCCTTCGAGAGAACGGTACGGACATATTGCCAGCGATGTGATCACCCCCGTTAACGCCAAGTTGAGCTCGACCGTGTGTGCGAAGAAGTGCGAGAGTGCTCCCAAGAGACTTTGCAATAACGGGTCGGATGGCAGCAGACGATGCATCTGCATCGTATGGCCAGGGCCTTTACCACAGCGATCCGAAACCGCTTTAGTGCCCGAGTTCTTTTCTTGGTTCTGGCCGAAAGCATCAGCAGCCTTGTCTCCAGAAAGGTCCATCCTGTGGCCGTACTTCATGCTCCGTCGTCGCTGCTTCTTGCGCTCTGCCTCAGACATAGTACCATTGGCTGCTTGCTGGGTGTCGTCGTTCTTGGCTCTATTCAAACACTGGTGAGTCTCAACAGAGGCTTCAGCATCCCGGAGATACGCGTCGTAGCCACAGGCAAAAACATCCTGGGTGTTTCGCGGGTTGATTGTAGCGACGAGAGCAAAGAACAGATCCAGCTCGTGTGCATGATGGTTAATCATGGGTATGTCTCGATATGGGTCCTGCGCAAATCTATTCGCCGCCTGTTCTCGAAGTGCGTTGGCTCGGTTTTCTGGTTGAACGTTGAGCAACTTGAGCGAGTACTTGCAATGTCGCGTGATGATGGTGTTGAGGAGCTTTAGTGTGGCGATGACCGTGGGCTGCGACCGAGACTTGAGCCGTGATAATATCAGATCCTTAAGTGTAAAGCGACCGAGTGCTGTAAAATAAGGTGATGTTGTCTGTGGATTCTGAACCTCTGCGAATGCATCCGTGTCTTCGCTTTCCTTTGACCTGCTGTCCTCCTCGTCGCTTTCCATCAGAAATCCAACCACCAAATCCACAAGCGCCTCGTGCTCGATGACCTGTAGTATTTGGTCAATATAGCTGATCACTGCAACCGAGCTCCCGTCCGTGTCGGAGCACTCCAAGATTGAAGGATATAGGATGCTTTCCAGAAACACAGACTTGAACGAGGCCAAAAGCGTCGCTGCAATCTCGGTATTAGGACATCGTACGAGTACATCCTGACAAAACTCGAGCACCTTTAAGAAGGCGTCTAGGCGCGACTGAAAGTCAGCCGAGGTCGACAGCTCAATGTTCGCCCGCCTTGATGCCCTGATCGCTGTCTCTGTTGATGAAGTATTGTCGGCGGAGAATGTACTGCTACTGTTCAAGTCGTTGGGACTGCCTTTGACGATGAGCTGCCGTGGAAGTTGAGAATAGAGAGCACCAACACCGGCGGTCAAGTACGTTGGGAACTCGGAATCCAAGATGTATTCGCCGAGGGACCCTGTTGCGAGCTCTGTCAGGAATAGGAGACCTGTACGAGCAAAATCGCCGGCCTTTCCTTCACGATGCACGAACTTTGATAAGTAAGTAAAGAGCAGGAACTCATGGCTCCTCTTTAATGTCTGGTTCCCCGTTGGCTCATGTAGTTTGGACGCTGGGGTATTGCTGGTGTCTGCGAACAGACTTGTCTGCTGCTCCTCCACCTCGGTAACTGCCGTTTTGGCGGCCGACGTTGGTTGCTCGCTTGTTTGCAATACTGTAAGTGAGGATGTCGCATCGATGGAAGGCGGATTGAAGTCCAATGATGATAGCGCCAAGTTAGGTTGTTGGCTCAGACTCTTCAAAAGCGCTATCGTCTCTCGACTCTTCTGTAGCCTTTCGGCCACCCTCTCAGGCGTTGTGAGCCACTGTTTGTCGCAGAAGAAGATGTTGAGCAGTTCGGGATATCCATGGATCTTGGAGCAGAGAATGTACATCAGATCGATCAAGTCCTCATGATAACTCTCATTACCCTCCAGCTCGGCCCCGGGAGCGCAGCAGGTCCTTAGTAACTTGACTGTCGGCATATGGACCGCATTATGGACTAGAAATCGATCGTCCAAAAGGTTGATCATCGCGGCCATCGTACGGATCGTCTCCCCGATAATTCCGTGCGGTTGATCTCCGTCGGCACATACGTTCACCAGCTTTGCCAGGACGTTGTTCTTGAGAAGATGCTCCATGCATACGCCTGTTGTCCCTGCGGTGTCCTCTAATCCTGACTCCTCGTCGACAAGAAGATCGACCATGTTCTTCAGACGGAGAGGAATCTCGGTCTGCTGAATAGAGACGTTTCGTTTCTCTGGCGTCGAAATAGCAGCCTATAACATGAGATCGCCGAAGTTATGAGCACTGGTATCTTCTCAAGATTTTCAAGATTTGTCGCTGTAACACCTTACCTGTACGGTAAGCCAGCACTTGTTGAACCGTGAGAGTTGCAGGGCGCTACTGGGCGGCGCCTTGGGAGCTGCCATAATCGTCTTCTTCAATTGGTTCCAAAAGCTGGACTCCATTTTGAAGATATTCTTTTAGGGGGTGAAGACAGTTCGAACAAAAAGAACAATGCAAGCTCATTAAAGTATTAAAATAAAGTAAGTGCGGATTCGGGAAACGAACAGGAATGAGGGCAAAGAATGAGAAGGAATGAGAACAAGGAATGAGGAATGGGTGTGCAAAAACGCAGCTCTCGAGCAGCTGATCGGGTGCACCTATGCCCCCCACTCTTTGCGTTTCTCGATATCAAAAAAGGGGGTGCATCGGACATGAAGGTTGCTCACAAGGAGTTCTTGTCAGATTTATTGAAGTGAAGGTCTATGAATCTAAGGGCAATCCAGAGGTATTGTTGAACCAGTCGCGCTCCTCCAGTACTGCGATGCTGGCGCCGACACACCAGCCTGTCTCGTACCCCTTCAATTTCTTGGCCAGCTTGAACTTTCGCGTCTCCGGAACACCATAGCCATACTCGAGCAGCCCATAAATGTAGCTCAGGTCCATGCACAGCTCCGGCGACTTGTGAATTTCCTTCATCGCCTCTGCAGAGTCATGAAAGTCCTTGAAGCCGTCTTCGTCTCCGATGCAAACGCGGTCCGTCAGCTGTCCCAGTTCCCCAATCGTCATCTCCTGTGCCAATGTTGCGCTTCCAAGTCGAAAAGGGGCCGTGAGGTCAAAGAAGAATGAGAACGCGTAGATATCCTCCTCAACAGAAGCGTGCAACGCCGGTTGGTACACGCCGTTGAAGGAACATGGCGTGATACTGCACGCCTTTTGCTTGTTGAAAATGGCCTCAACTACTGCCCTACACTGCCCTCCTGGATCTGATACGCCAATCAGTACAACAATTTTGCCGCTTGCAGTAGTGAAGTTTTGGCGGAGGCCCACTGGGATGCAAGGGTGGGCATACTCGCCCTCACCTAGCTTGATACCATGTAGGTTGCCGATCGGATTTTCGACCACATAGCTGTTGATCTGGGCGCGCGCCATAATGAGACCGTAGCCGAGATGAGAGTGCTGATAGAGGACGTATTCGTTTCCATTAAAATTCATTGGGTATCGGTGGGTGCCTTGCGCAACAGAGTGGCCGCTAACAACTTTGGGTTCAAAGACCACCTGCGTGGAGGCCCCTCCAAGATCCAAGATGGCCACTGTCGGCTTTTTCTTCAGAGAGTTGAATCGATCCAAGAGATAATTAACCGTAACCCATGCAAATACACCTGGAATCAAATATTTGAGATCGTGGGTTAATACTGAGGATGAAGGGTCAATTCGAACGCACAAACATAATTGAAGACATTAAACATCTGCATACCTTCATCAGCACCATCCATGACAGCCACTCCTTGTTCCTCGATGATCGGGAACGGGTACTTTGACTCAAGCCTTTGGCGGACTGCGGTCAAAATTCTGTTTGACTTTTCCTCTCCAAGCAGGCGCAATCCTGCAGTGGCCTTCACTGCTATCGGAGTACTCGAATGGAGAAAAACGGGGATCGCGTCGAGAACTGCTTCCAGCAATCCATCTAGGCTCCTGGCTGCACCGCCGGCATCATCTCCGTAGGAAGATAGACCCGGCTCCACATGATCGAAGATTTCGTTCTCAAGTTCCGGAGTTGCACTGCAGTAATTGAACTTGTACGCGTGAATCCTCGACCCCATCGATCCAGCATCGACCATGATAACATATTGAATCAGAGGACGCCCAGGATAAGCAACTTTACAGCGAGTCGATGTAATGTTCCGTGGCCATGCTTTGGACGGCAAATCTATCGATCGGATGTAGCGTTAGTCGAGCTGTAGACATGGAACCTGACAGGCGACATTGATATTGCTTACCTATCACGGTCGAGCGAGGTGAGAGCGCAAAGAAAGCCATTGCAAGGACAAAAAGAGCAATCGCCCAGTGCGTGCGATTCATAATGACCGATTCTCTTATGGTCCCTGCTGACAGTCGACTAGTGACCTTCTGGTGGACCATAACTTCTTGCGAGTCCAGAACTGTAGGCTTATCATGGGTTTGAGGTGATACCCCTGACTCCTGTACAAATGAATTTTGCTTGGCTATCCTTTCTGAACGCCGTCTGACAACCCTGCTCGCGCCATTAAGTCGAGGGTCGGGCGAGCATTGGCCTTTGCCACTCTCGCTTTGATGTGCTGACATTCCGAGTACAGGTGGTTCCTGAGACATTGTCCAATGACGAGGCTGCGGAGGCTGTGTGCTGGTTCGGAATTCAGGGACGAGAGCGAAGGAAGGGGAATCTACTTTGCTTGGAACAAAAGTAGACAGCGTGAAATGAAATTGCTGAAGGGATCATGAACGAAGGATGTTGGTCGTGAATAATATAAAAAAAAAAAAAGCTCTTTTTAAAGTTGACAACAATGTTGTCATGAACACCGTCAAAAAAAATAAGTATTCGCCTGTAGACTAGTAAACACGCATCATCCTTCCACATAGAAATGGCTACTACCTTCGACCTTGGCGCAATCGGACCTCCTATACGAGAACATACTCACAAAGACGATATTTGTTGCGGATCGCCAGGAGTAATACTCTCTTTCTTCAGCTTGCAAAGTAGATGACAACGTTAATTGAGTCAAAAGTGTAAAACAGACTTGAAAAGCAATAAAGAAAATGGGCGATCGAGCGTAGACGACGCGTAGACCGAGAAGCAGGGGCAGTCCACGTCTAGTCAGGAACCATCTGGAGTCTCAAAACATCATAAAGATGGGCTGTACCATGCCTGAGGGTCCATCTTCGTAGAACACGCCTATATTTATCCAGTGTAAACTCTCCGCACCAACTGTTCTTCTGCCTTTGTCCTCGCCAGTTTTTTTTTTTTTTTTGTGTATAGTCAGTCTCCCTTCCTTCCGCCTTCTTTCTTTTTCTGCTCTTTTCTTTCTCCTCTGTCCGCTCCCCGCATCTCTGCCCCAGGATCTGGTTTTTACCAGCGGCTCTCCGCACCTCCTTTCTTTCATTCTCTTTTAGCCCCTACCGCAGCCTTGCATCTTGCCCCAACCTCTTTGCAGTGCTTGGATTTACGCGGCATCTGCTGCAGCAACTATTGCTACTAATGGCGCCGATTTTGGGGTCAACTCTCGTAATGGCTGTAGCATATCCAGGTCAGAGAGCAGCCGGGTGCTCCTTCGGTTACAACAACACCTACTATATCCTTGGCGGAACGGTAAGTTAAGGCAATGAATGTGTATTGTGCACAATAATTATTTACCTGGTATGCTCATCTCCATATTTAGTCCAGCCTATCTCAGGAGAGCTACTACAACTTTGCTAACATTCCCCTTCCTATCGACATAACCGTGAATGTGAGTATGACAGTTACATGGACAAAACTTCCAGAACCGCCTGGTTGGCAAGCCATGTCTAGCTTGGACAGCACGCCTCAGTTTGGCTGCGCGTGCAACAAGGATGGCAAAATATTTCTCTTTGGCAACATTGTTGGATTTGCTGTCTTCGATATTCGAACCCAAACCTGGGACACAGGCGCACCGAGCTTCCAGACTTCAGACTTTTTCTATGGCAAACCTGCGAAACCAGTCTGGGGTTCATGCAGCTGTGCGTCCAGTCAGATACAGTATATCTGTTGTCGTCACCACTCTTCCTGCCTATCTTCTTCTGGACTCGCAAGCAAGATCCTTCCAAGGAGTCAAGCTAACCACTATACCACCGAATCTTCACAGATTCTGCATGGATATGTTCCCAGTGCAAACCAAGCCGTCATGTGTGGAGGATCTGTAACCAGTGGACTGACCATAGCTTACACTCAAAATCGCTGCAAACTATCACTGGGTGCTCCTGCATCCAACGCGTTTATTCTGCTTACTGGTAAGTAGGACGGATGCGCCCTCGTAGGGTACAACAATCAATTCATCGTCTTTCCTGGATACCTGGCCGACTATCACACTAGCCAGCCCAGTAGTGTGGCATTCAATCCCAACATGCAGTCGTTGAACCTGTCTGTATCCGTGTGGGCGACAATTCCTAACACTCAGAAGATTGCTTGACGACTCGGTCATATGGATCTACGACACTGATACCAAGAGCGAATACGGTCGTTTTTTTATGGAGATCAACCACTCCTTGGAGAGGCTTACAATGATATCCACTTCTTTGACCTGTCAAACAACTCCTGGGTCCAGTATCTGAGTTCGAGTCCAACCGTCCCAGGCGGCTCCCACGCAGCAGCTATTGGTGGCTCGAATGCGGCGGCTATTGGCGGAGGTGTTGTCGGAGGTGTTGCTCTCATTGCGGTTGTTGTCGCAGGCGTTCGCGCTATGAACCTGCTAGAAGCTCTCCTATCCCGCTTAAAATGAAAGCTGTGTTTTATTTCCAACTCTGTGCGCCAGTCTTCACCTCTGGTTTTTTTTTTTTTTTTTTTTTTTTTTTTTTTTTCGAAAGTATAACACTGACTGAATGCTTTGGTTTATCTTTAGAGCTACTCCGAGGAGTCGAATCTGCAAGACAATGATCGAGATTTTAGCTTGAGCCTACTACAATCATGTAGCCCTCAAGGCATCGCGTCAGTGCGGGGCCCACAAGGTATTAGGCCCATTCAAGGCCCAGAGCTGCATTATCCAGGTTCCGCCATGTAATAAACACGTACGGTATGCTATTGTCAAATTGTCCCCACAGCTGGCTATGCCCGATTGGCCGCCAAGTCCTAGGTACTGGGACCTTCAAATCAGTCCAGTCTCCCAGGAAGAAGAACATACAGATTGCAGCCGCAGTTGCGTAGGGTCCATGTTTAAGCATTTGAGAGCATATTACTCTTATCGTGTACAGCATCAAACTGTACATAGCAGAGAACCGAGGATCGTTGTTGATTTTTTGATGCGGAGTCATGGTTGGGGCTCCCATTTCACGCGTTTTGAGGATGTCTCTAGGCCGTATTGGAGCTGTCTTCGACCCGGGTCCGCGACAGGGATCACGAAGACGCGCTGCCGAAATAAGATTTGGAACCAAGCCACTCATGAAAGCCCATCCTTCGCTTTTCCTCCGTTCGCTGGTTCATCTTTTTCTTTCAAGCACTACACCGTGGAAAACTGCGCGCAGTGTAGCGTTTCATCTCATTCTGAATCAATCCTTCGCATCATAGAACAGACACCCAACACTCGCTTGCCTATGTCTTCAGGCCAATATTTCTGGGGCAATAATGAGGAAATAGAGAAACGGTCTTCTTCGACGTCCTATACGTCGCGTACACGCATGTCGATCCCAGACCTGATCTCAGAGGAGACGGGCCAGGCTTTAGAGGACGATGACGTCGGTCTGATTCGATTCGCTCAAAACCACCCATATATACAACGCCAGCAAAACCCACCCAGCAACAGCGGTAGCAGCATCAATGGCATTGGGAGTGGCGGCGACAACGAGGCTGGCCCAATGTCACACTTGAGGCAAAATCCAAAGCCAAGGATGGTTCTTCACGCGGTCGTGATCCCGTCCCGCAAGAGGACGTATGGGGAAGAGCCACCGGATGAAGAAATGTCATATTCTTTTCATGGTACGTTACGGCTTCATGAGGGGTAGCGGATATAGGAACGCTCAATGACTTTGCCCACTCGCTAATCCGGGAATTTTGTACATCTCACACTTTTATTCCATAGACCCACAACCCTTAAACGACCCGCCCATAACGCCGCCGTCGACAGGCACACCCATCAATACCATACGGAGAAAGCCTTTTACTTTAGCGCAAAGAGCGGTACTGGAGAAATTGTTTATAGCAAACAAGCACCCCACTAACGAGGGATGTGCTGTCATCGCCAGAGACATGGGAGAGAAGAAGGAAAGGGTACGTAGATTTAAAGCAACAAACAGATGCGACCCTATATTTTCAAACTGCTGCAGCAACGACTAATGAGCATGTACTCTATATAAAATGCAAATGCTGATGCGCTAGATTACGACATGGTTTCTCAATCGACGGCAGAAGGAGCGACTAAGAAGTGCGAATACGGAACACATTTCTGCTGGATCCACGCCACCTATGAGCCCAGGGTCTTCGCCACCTCCAGGTAAAATATCCTTTTGGGAATATTGGGATTGTTCTGAAAAGCGAAATAGTTTGGTCCGCATTCTGAAATCAATGATAGCTGACTAGAGTACGGTTCATGGCCTTGCTTAGCTGAATCACCAAATGGAGGATCAGGATTGGAATATTCGACGTAAGGGCACAGTGGACTTTCATGGAGAGATCGCGTATTACAAGGTTTTGATGGAGATTAACAATGGCCAATGTATGTGTTTCCGTCAATAGCAGCGATAGGGAGGATACACCGTCCGGGGATGGAGTGCTTGGGAGCTTACCCTATCAATACCGTATTGCGCCCAGTCTGTCGGCCTCAGCCTCAGCCCCGCCACGGTTAATTGAAACCGCAGCCGCCAGGATCAACGCAGATAGGGTGGCCGGTGGCGGCCAGAAGGTATATTTTACTATGTTGAGGGCTTAATGGTTCTTCAAAAAGGCATTATTGACACATCGTCTTTGCATTCTGCTAGATGAAATCGTCCGAGGTAACACGAAAAATTACGCCATTACTTCGAGGCGGATCGTTCCACAACCCAGATCATATTCCTGTGGTTGTCAATTTGATGTCGTCTGCGCACGATGCGGTTGGGAAGAAAATCATCCTTAACGCGTTAATGTCGACAAGGCTGCCGGCGGTGCTTAACAGGTACACGCGACAAAGACCAAGTCTTGCAGGACCGAAAGCAGGCATCGTTACTTACCTTTGACTGCTCTGTACTTCAACATCTGGCCTTCCATATGATAGATTTGTTCGCTCCAAAGGTCCAAGTGTTTTTCGGGCCTGGATTGCAGACGCTAGGAAAGACATTACAAATCAGGACAATGAAGACCTTTTGCTCAAAATGATCAGAATCCTCAAGGCATTACCATTTGACGTAGAACGTCTGACGGCTTCAAATCTTGGACGGGCAATTAAGTTGCTCGCTAGCGATAAGGAAGCCAGTTCACGTACGGTCTAATGCTTTCTACGCCGTCATCCGAGGCGCCCTTTGTTTGTCTGTTCGTCCTACGCTTGTCTTCTCACCCTGGATGTTCTTCTTATGCCTTTTCTGTATAGGTATCACCTCGACAGCGACAGAGCTCAAGGAGCAGTGGCATAAGCTGATCGATGAGGCCAACATTGGATCATCACCATCGAGATCTGAGGATCAATCAGAGAATGCCAGAAAGAAGGCTAGACAGGACAGCCATCCGCTTTCCTCTGGGTTTGGACAGGTGAGACTGCAGCTTTGGTGCAGCCCTCGTTTGCCGACGACGTCCTGATGTGGCTTTTTAACTGACACACATGTCAATCTTCCTGTACATAGGATATATCACAACTTCCCAAATTCAACAAGGCCAAATCTGCTTCTCTTCCTTCGCCCAAGAGCAGTGCAGCAAAGCCCATGCCGCGTAGTAACCCCGACTTTTTCAAAGAGATTGCAGCAAGTCGTCCTGCGTCCAAACCCGTGAAGACGACAGCCCGTAGGGCTCGTATTAGCATGGAAGACAGTCAGCCTGATAATAGTGCCTCTTTCACCTCTACTGCACCTCAAAACAATAACAATGCGGGATCCGCCTCGCTTCCATCCACGTCAGCACCACAACCACCGCCTGCACCTTTCATCGGGATTGCGAATAGCTCAGCTAAGACACCTCCTCTGTCCACTCGACCTGCCCCAGATCCCGTTTCTTCAGCCAAGACAACCGACTTTGACCCACAGTCTGCTCAGCATGAGAAGGCATGGGAGGCGGCCCGAAATTTGAAGAAGAAAAAGACAGTTCGATTCAATGATAACGAACTTGAGCAGGTCAGGATTTTTTATCCGCCCGAGGCCATGTCTGATGAGGATGACTATAGGGACATGGATCATCCAATGGACGAGGAGGATGAGTCGACGCACTATTCCCGGTATGCCTCGTCGCCCCCGCCACCATCTCCTACACTGCCTTCGCCAACTAGGGAACATGGATCCGGTTACTTTCCGATGCCATTTTCATCGCCGACAGCATCTTATGGCCTACCGCGTCCGGTATTCCTGATCCCAGAGTCAGAACAACCTGATTTTGTGAGGGGCGTTTACTTTACCCCTCCGCGACCTTTGATCCTCAAGGCAGAGGCAAAGGGCGAAGATAGCGAGGAAAAGATTGTGCAAGAGAGACGCGAGAGCCAGATTCCTGCTGTGAGGTACGAGACACTGGCCGAGATCCCGTCCTCGCCTGCAGAGCCTGACGAAGACCCTGCCAGGGAGCACGAATCGCCAAGACGCATAAGTCTTTTTGAGGCAAGTGAATACTTTAGCGATCAAAGTCGATTCCTGGAGTTCAAAATGATTTACATCCCCCAATGGATTGCTAAGTGGTCTATTTCTTTGCGTCGCCTTCATCTAGGGAGGCGTCGATCGTGGCAAGGCATTGATAGACACATTGACAATGGTGTATCAATCGCTCGTCAGCCGGAGCGCAGGACTGTAGACGGCTCTTGGGTTCTTTGTCGAGAGCGATATGCTCCTTGTACTTCTCTCGCTTCTTTACTTTTATCACCAATCATTTTCTTCTTATCTGCTTCTGTACCATAACTGTAAATTAGTTGCTGTTTGCTTCCCACTTCACGTGTAATAATAACAAGAACGAGAGCAATGTAGCATGGACTAAGGTTCAGCCGAAATTTGTCGGCTCTGAATGGCCATGCGATCCGGCATACCGGAATGCATTTTATGACAGGAACAGGATCTGTCTTTTTCTCTTCCCATGTTCTTTACGTCGGCATGCCTTTCAGGGTCCAAGACGCGGATAGACAGCAACACGGTGTTCATGTGGGCATACAGAGGTATGCAGGCGCTCTCTGTGCGGCGTGCATTTGAGAGAGAGAGAACGAAGGATGCGTTGAGACTAGGACAAAAGAAGGTTCATAGTTAAGGTGCGAAGACGAATTGAGTTTTTTTTTTATTTTTTTCGCTATTTGACGACGCACAGCTTTTGCCGTGTACAGTACATACATGTACTGCTTCTTTTCCCGCGTTTTGTTTGGTGCTGTTGGACTCTTCTTTTTCTTTCTTCTTCCCCTCCTCCACTGGCCAGGCACCCCTCCCCCTCTGCCGCTTTCTTCTTCCCAATGGGTCGGGTCATCGCCATCGTCATTGCATTCTCTCGTACCTCATTCAGCCATCCCTCCATCCACACTCGCCCCTCCCTCCCTCCCCCACTCCCCCCACTCCCCTCTCTAATTCACACTCCACAATGTATCAGCCCGATGCCGAAGAGTCCGTCTCCCTCTTCATTTCCCTCGTCTGCATCTCGCTTATGGCCCTGCTCTTTGGCCGCAAGACCGCCAGCACGAAGCTCAGAACCATCAACTATGCACGCGGCCTCGTCGTTGCACTATACCTGGTCTCCTGGGCTTTCTCCGTGATAGCGACCATGCTCGTCCAGACCAACAACAACAACCTCCTCTCCTGCGAACTCTCCATCCTCTCCTGCATCGCCCTCTACGCGTTGTCCAAGATCATCATCTACCTGTTCCTGATGGAGAAAGTCTATGTGGTCACAGCCATCGGTTGCACCCGCTCGAACTTCTTGCTCTACAAGATCAACCTCGGGTTGATGACCCCCTACGTGGCCGTTATCGCCCTCATGGTCACCTTCAGGGTCGCACAGCTCGAGGACGAGGGCAAATGTTACATTGGCCTGCTACGACCCGGTGCATTACCATTGATCCTGTACGACATTGTCATGTCATGCTGGTTGACCTTCTTGTTCCTGAGACCGCTGATGAGTTCAAGCTCGTTCTTGCAGGGGCCCTCGAAGGGGAATTTGAGAGATGTAGCCCGGAGGACGCTAATGGGATCATTGATTGCCCTGCTGTTGAGTTCTGCCAACATCTTCACGTTGGTCTACTTTAACGGACATGAGCGTGGGTTGATCTGCTTAGCCTCGTGTACGGTGGATGTGACATTGAATGCGATTACGATCCACTGGGTGACGAATCGTGGTGCAGGGAAATCATCGAATCCGACGAATCGGTCGGTGGGTGGGCGGAGAGGCCGTGGCGGTAACGGTGCTGCGAACACGTATAGCTTTGGCGACCGTTTCGCCACAGATTCAGATAGGCAGATCGCACCGCTCGAGTCTCACATCTCAGTAACGGTCGAGTCGTATGTGGAGGAGTACCACCAACTACATTATGGGGGCACCAGTTCACATTACTGACGAGCCGAGGACAAAAATAAAATAATAATAAAAAGAAAAAAGAAAAAAGAAAAAAACGATCGGATATCCCACACGCTCTTCTCTCCGGTTTGTTTACGTGGTGAAGGATACTATGACGAGACGAGCATCTAAAAAGTCTTCACTCAGCAATTTTTTAAAGAGCGAGTTGAACTTGACTCCATAAAAGTTTGAACTTCCGCCACTGGACCTGAGACACGAGGGCGGCGGAACAAAAGGAAGCCCCCATCGCAAAAAGGAAAAAGTCTATGAAGTTACAGTACGGCAGTGGGGCGAGGGGGGGAGGGGGGGGGGGGGGGGGGAAAGAGGAGTTTCATTTTCCCAGCAACCAAACTGGCGCAATCGCGCAAAAATGGGCTGTATACTTGTATGGTACCCTGGAAATAGGCAAAGAGATACGCCAAAGGGCGGGGGGGGCCATTGCTTTGACATATTTGTTTTTGCGTTGTGTGTCGTTTCCGTGCATTCTGCATTCTGCATTCTGCATAACAATTGTCCTGAGCCCTTTGCAGATTTTGTATGGAAAGGCGCTTTACGGTTAGCTGGCGATCGGAACTATGCCGTCCATGACGACATACCCATGACGGCTTTGAATTATCGCGAATACTTACGAGAACAGAGATACTCCATGGATCTCTCGGTAGGGTTTCGATCGAATGGAGCACGGTAATAAATTAGCCAGGCCTTAGAAGACAAAGAACTTTGAGGGGGACTCCCTCCCCCCTCCCCCCGCCTTCCGGTCGACATTGTGACAAAAAAAAAAAAAAAAGATGGGCGTATGTTTGTGTAGCGTGTGCATCGACCATCAAACACCCATCTGCAATGACGTTAAGACCCCCCGTTTCTACGGGGACCGTCGTACAAAAAAAAAAGATAATTCAGGAACACAATGGATAAGTCCATCCTTCCGTCCGTCATTTCAGGTCCATCGATCAGTCTGGAATTCTATCTTATTAGGGGTGTATCTTTTCTGCGACCCCATCGCTCTTCAGAAAAGGCGCGATTGGTTGGGTTGCTCACGCCACGCGGTATGCGACGGGGTTCACATACACGTGCCGTACCTGAAACTCCCCCCCCCTCCTCCTCCCCTTTTTTTTTTTTTAACATTGGTCCAGTCAGCTCTCAGAAGCTGGTTCCCTCCGCTTCTCTGAATCAGTCTCCATAGAACAAACTCTGTTACTCCGTTACACTAGCATTAGTCATCCCGTCTCTTGGAATGGCCGCTTTAATAGCAGTATCCATTTCAATAAATAGCGAGCAATAATAATAATAATAATACCAATGGCAGGGCGCCTCTATCTGTCTGTCTGTCTATCTATCTATAGACACATTAGTCTAGTAAAGTGATCAGAACGCCTTGCCGAGATCCCTCTTGGCCTTCAATCTCCTTTCAGCTCGCCAGATGAATCCGTCCAGAATACTGGCGACCGTAAATATACCTCCAACCGTAGCGCAAACTGTCGTCAAAAAGGAGGCGAACGACTTGCGCTCCTCTTTCTGAATCACAAGCATCGGTGAGATGTCGAAGTTGAAAAAGACGCCTACGATTGATCGTGCGAACGACGTTATATTTTTTTGGGCTCTCATCAGTACATGTGTGCACACAGCCATCTGTCAAACAAAAGACCACAAAGGAGGAGGAGGAGGAGGGGGGGGGGGGGGACAAGAATGTCAATTGATCGCTTACCTGGAAGTCCATTCGGCGCCTGGATCTGTCCCAACACGTCCTTGTATTGCAGGTTCTTGTTAAACTGCGTGACCGAATACTGATTCGTGAACATCGGCCTCCTATCAAGGTAATAATACCTCGTCCCCACGATCTTCAAGTAATACTGATACATGTAAAGTCCCTCCGGATTTTCGCCCTTCACCGTCCGATCGTCCAACGGATTATGCGTCGTCGTCGCCACCTTCTCCCCGAATCTGAGGTAGGCGATATGATGTGAGAAATCCAATCCGTGATGACCGAGGTACTGTTGCACATCATGTACATGTGCACTCCCTCGTTGGAACGACCTTCCGGGCGCGACATGGAAATTCCCCGCGACTTTGTTGACGGTCAATTGACCCCGTAGTCTACAGCCCTGACCTGCTTGTTCTTGGATCCTTTCCAGGTAACCTTCTCGGACACATTGTTCGATGCTTTCTGGGTGGTTGAAGGACCAATTTGTGCGCGCGTAGGCTTCACGGACGTCCTCACAGGTATTGCAACATCCGCTTTCGGGTTTGAAGGCACCGTAGCATGTGCCACAATAGTCTTTTTCAACGGGCTTTAGGTTCGGTTCTGAACTGCCCAGTTCTAAGATTTGATGATATGAATAATTCAGCCAGGATAGTTAGGTCGGATTGATTGATTTACATCGCCATACCATAGGATGGTGTGCAACGAAAAAAAAAAAAAAAAAAAAAAAAAAAACGAGCAACCTTACCTTGCGTCTTCTCCCGCTTGACCTCCGTACCATCCGGAGCCAACTGGATCTTGTAGATCGAGTGCAAAACGTCTGCCTGATGCGCACCCGCGACATCCATCACGTCCATTGTCAAGACTATGGTGAAAGAAACACGTCAACCATTAAACACTCCAGCTACTTTGATTGCAATGCCCCTCCCCCCTACACACATACACACACATCTCCCTCCCTCTTCTCTTAATCCTATGCCTCCGTAAACTGGTGCTTACTGTAACAAGGAATCTTAGGGAACTCGATTTCAAAATCAATGCTCATCTTTCCCTTGCTTCCGTTATCCACCACCAGCGAGGACTCGATATGGATCGATCGATAGTCGGACAACTCGCCCAAGACCAGGATGAAGATAACGAGGGCGCATGCTAGAGTAACTATAGACCCGAGAAAATATTAGACCCCCAAAAAAAAAGATGCAAGATGAATGCCATGTTAGGAATGTCGAGACAGTGTTCTTTCATTAGGTCTCGTTTTATTTTTCACCACAACAACAATATTGACCTGTTGCCCCAGCCGAGGTCTTGACTCGGAAGTCGTCCAATGTTTTCGCATATGCGTCCAGTTGCTTGAGCCGATTGAATCTCGACGACGTCCGAACCATGGGCTTTGTTGATTTCTGTGGCCGATGCCGAAGGATGGAGATGAGGGTCGGTCCTGCAGACTGAACTCGCTTCCTTGCCTATCAAAAAAACCCCGTCTGCTACCCTTGAATGTTCCTCCCTTCTCCCCCCTTCTCCCCTGAGAACCTTGAAACGAGTCGAAAGTTTGTGCGCGACAGCTAAACTTCCTGTACACGGGTCTGTAGGCTGCCGCACTTCACTCAAACAAACCATTGACTATGTATACGTACATATATATATTCAGAAAAGAACAGCATCGACAGAAAATCCAATACGGTTTCTTGAGTGGGGGGGTTTTTTTATTTTCTGCAAGGCCAGCTTTGGTTATTTTGTGTATGCGTGCGTGTATTTTGTCTGTGCGATCAAGGCGACATCTACGAGATCGGCTGCGTCTGCTCCTCGGTCGAGACAACCCTTCTGCTCCGTGCTTCCAAACGCGCACTATCCTCCAATGCACTTGTCGTCCCAGAAGAGGGTGTTGCCACTGCAGGTGTCGAAGTCGAATGTTCGTCACCAGTATATCGATCTGCGTTATGATGACTATGACCATCTGCTCCCAGTCCTTCAGCTGCTACTCCTGCTCCTGCTGCTGCTGCTGCTGTCTGCTCTGAATATTGTTCCTCTGGAATCTCTGCAGGGATGTGGACGTCTTGAGGTCGTCGCATCCTAAATCCATTCAAAGATAGAAAGATTCATCCAATATTAATAAAACACATCCCGCCTTGATGCCCACCTTTTTTAAACAAAAAAATAAGCGACACTCATTTTAAAAAGCCGACTTACAAAAACGAAGGAGTCTGGAGATAACGCCTGCCTCCTGAAGCCTGCTCCTTTGGCCAGACGTCCTCGAAAAAGTAATAGATATGTCCCACAGCAATCCCCATCAGATCGCCCGTGGGAAAGTGGCTATTCAGCAAGAGCGTGAACCCAAGCAACACCCAGGGCAGATATGGTGCCGTGAAGACAAAGAGGCCGAGAAAATTGAGTGGGATCGACGGATTACGACGGGACCAGATATAGACCAGCGTGAATGCTAGAGGAGATCCCAGGAATGGCATGGATACGAATGGCGACAGACACTAAAAAGATGAATAGATTGAAAGAGGTATAGAGAGACACGTCGTTAGTAAATGGTATGACTTTCACGCGTTATCCTGTGATAGAGATACTGTATGATCTCCAACGCGGGTTGTCCTGGAATAGCAAGAGACATTATCTTACCAAAAGTGATAATGCAGACAGGAACAACATCCATGCATAATCCATTGTGCGCCCATAAAACGACCCTTCTTCTAGCATCCGACTATATCGTACTCTATCAGAGATAAACATTTTTTTGAGGAGATAGAGAATAAACCATGTTAAAAATATGGAGTAGCCCGAAACGCTGACCGCGACGGTGAGTTTGCGTATCAAAATAATGCGGCCCTGGCACGGAATGTTCAGTCATTAGGGTCCTGGCACTGACTTTCCAAAGTTGATCTGACAATCATTTGGTTGTTGAAGACTAACGGACATATCGACCCACGTACAAGAAAAACATATGGAATACAAAGTCCAGTCCAAGAGGTCCAAAGTAGAGGAATGTCGTGATCGGCCTCCAGAACTAATCGATAGATAGCAAAAGAAAGCCCAAAAACCGTTAAGCATTTTATAATGTGAGAACAAAAAAAAAAGACGATAAAAAAAACAACAACGAGAAAGACCATGGACAGGGATGCATATTTACCTGATGTTCGAAAAAGACCAGCCTGTAGTCAAAGTATAATTGAAACGCATTGGTGAACCCCGTTTGCTGTGATAGAGAGGTAAAAAAAAAAAAAAAAAAAAGGACCGTTCAGACTTGGGGTCGTATATGCCAAGTAGAGCTCCTGACAAGATGCGCTTTCGTTTCGTCTCGGTCGAATGTCACATCAGAGGAGGAATGAATGCCTTACCACGGCCAGGGCTACCAAGGCTGCTCCTGTGGCATAGAGCCTGGTCACCAATGGCACATCGTAGTACCACGTTTCTACAGGGATGGGCATGCTACTCTAGGTTGTTGGATGTCTGCCAGTCAGAGCTGAGTCCTGGTTTCGTGGATGAGTTGGAATCGAAAGAACGGGCGTATTGATGGCGATGTGGGGGATGAGACAGTAGTGCGGTGGAAAGACGATGCCGTCAAGGTCAAGATTATGTTTTTACGAGGACGATCCTGTTTGCTGGAAAAAGAACAAGAAAAACGATTGGACAAGAGAATGTGCAGTGTGTAATGGGAAGCTTGAAAGGACTTCCTCAGCTGCCCTACAGGCTGAGCGATTCGAGCAACCCAAATTGAAGTGGCGTAATCTCACTGGTTATCCCAATGCATAGCATGCAAAAGAGTGAGCCAGAGCAAGACCATAGCCATCGATGGCCACAGCTCTATTTTATTGACGGCGTTGGCCGGAAGATGCCTTCACTTGCTACACTCAGCTCCTCCTTGCTGACCCGCCCTTTGCTTTTCACTGTCTCAGAAAACTGCTTCAATTGGGATTCATTCAGCACAACATATCGGTCTGACCCCGAATCATACAGGACCAACAGCTGCGGTCTCGACGATCTGCCGTGGGATGATCGTGTCGATATGGACGGACTACTAGGCGGCGAAGCGACCGCTAAACTTGATACCAGTGTTATTCGGGGTACATCTGATCCCTCCGCAGTATCCTGAGCGCCTGCTTCAAGGTCTTCGTCCTGTGCCACAACCGCAAGATCCCTCAACAGCTGTGCTTCAGTCCTGCCCAGCTGTTTGGCAAGTGTCGAGAGCCGGAAGGATTTGACTCTCTAACGGCATTAAAAGATATCACAATAGAGTAAGTAAACAAATAAGAACAGTGCATCAACGCAATGGTAACCATTGATGGGTCTCCTCGCTGTGCACCTGTATATACGCCCTAAGTTCCCTGCGTGCCTTCTCATCCATTGCTTTCTCGGACTGAAGCTGTTTTATCCTCATGTGCTTTTCCTTGGCCTCCTTCTCTTTGAGCAGTTCCTTTCGCTTCCTATCCTTCTCGATCTGGGCGCTTCGTTTTCGTCGTCGCTCTTCCTGCTGTATCGACTCTTGTATTTTAAACAGCTCTTCCTGCTGACGCCTTTCCTCGCGCTGCATGTCCATGAACTAGAAATTGTATCGTTGCAATCAGATTGACATCCAGTGAGTTTAAAGGCGTCTGGGATGTTAACATTGTCAAACGAACGATCATATGAGGAGATGCAGCAGTGGTTACCTCTCGATAAGCACGCATCTGCTCCTTGCGCTGCAATTTCTCGGCCTTCTTCTTGCCAATCTTCTTGATCCGGCCTGCGGATGCGCCTGCCATAGCCCCAGTGGAGGAACCCACACCACCATCGTCCTCTGTCTCGCCCTCCTCACCCTCCTCGTCTCCGTCTCCTCCCCCTACATTCTCGTCCTCGTCGCCCGGGAAGGGTTCAGGTGCGAATCCGGCACGAGCGCGCATCTGCTGCACCATTTCATGATGCATTCTAAGCCTGGCCGATGTGGTCGATCCTTGTGGTTCAATCTCATCCTGGTCGTCGTCGTCCCCACCGAGCTGATCATGTGCGTATATCTCCTCCTGTTCGACATCCTCAGATTCCTCGTCGAATGACTCCTCCTCTTCCTCATCCCCTACTGCTGTTCCATCGCGGTTCCGCTCGCGTATACGATAAAGGATATTGTAGTACGTATCTTGAACAGTGTCGAAGTATCGGTAGATAAGTATCCCGATAATGGCAAGTAGAAGCACCGTGGGCGGAATAAAAACAATCGGGTTCACCTGTGCCTATGTAAGATATATATCCAGCAGTAATATACTTGAGTGATGAGTAAGTGGTCCTTTCAGCAACAGCCTGCTGTTTCCCTTTCCAAGCAAAGGTCGCGAAGCGCCATCGTCTTATTGCAGGGTAGGAGGGTTTCAGACATGAGCTCAGCTGTCCTGTAAAGCTCCTTTCCGGTGAGCCTCTCTTTTGTCTGCTTTCGGATTCGTTACCATGGTTGATTCCGCATGTAGCCTTGAAGTGATGTCGAACGTGGGGGGGCAAGATGCTGTTCCGCAAGGAGCGATCGTTTAGCGCTCTCCAATGCTCCAACGTGATAGTCACACAAACCACTCAAGCCAAAAACTGCAAAGTCCACACATCCCCAAGGACCATGATCCGAATAAAGCTGCTGTAATGCCAGGAAAGCCATTGTCATTTTTTTTATTGCTGCCATTTAGACAGACATAACCATATCAATCTTCTTGTGAGGTTCATACCCCTCTAGCACAAAGTCCTCTACCCGAAAGTCGTCAATATTCTTGATAACTCTCTTGTTCTCTGTCGATTTCTCCGTTGATTCACCCTGGTATGGTCGGATATAAAGCTTGGGGAACGGCCTTGGTTCGCGCCCGATCTGAATATTCAGCGCTTCGGCATGATCCAGGTAAATGTGAGCATCGCCCATGGTATGAATGAACTCGCCGCAATCCAGATCCGTCACATAAGCAATCATCTTTGTCAGGAGAGCATACGATGCAATGTTGAAAGGCACACCAAGCCCCATGTCGCAGGATCGTTGGTAAAGCTGGCAAGACAGCTTGGCCCTGGGTTGATTTTCTGTGGGTGTGGAGACATAAAACTGACAGAACATATGGCAAGGCGGCAAGGCCATTTCCTTGAGGTCTATGAATTGAAGTGTCATGGACATGTCAATTATGAATATCGTATAATTCATTGCTCCCAAAGCGCAGCAGGCTGCTTGTTTACCTGCAGGATTCCATGCACTCATAATAATACGGCGATCGGTCGGTGTATTCTTGATCTTCCAGATGACCTCTGCGAGCTGGTCGACTCCTTGACCTGTGTAATCCGTATCGCAGTCCTTGTACTCGGCTCCAAAGTATCTCCACTGGAAACCGTAGACCGGACCCAAATCTCCGACCTTACGATGGGACAGGCCGACTTTGTCCAGATACTCCCTTGAACCATTACCATCCCAGATCTTGATACCCTTCTCTGCGAGGTGCAGACCATTCGTATCTCCCTTGACGAACCAGAGAAGCTCCTCGGCAACGGCACGGAAGAAGACTCGCTTGGTAGTGAGCAGAGGAAAGATGTCGTTCTCGAGTGAGAACCGCATGGAGGGAGGGGCAAAGATGGACCGGGTGCCTGTGCCTGTGCGATCGGCGCGGAATTCGCCATGGTCCCTGACATAACGGATCATATTCAGGTACTGATGCTCCTCATGCTGATCGGCTGCTCTCCAGGGATGAAGTGAGGGCGTGAATGTGGGATGGACCATGATGGGAGCTGAGGAAGGAGCTTTTACCCTGAACGCGTCTTTTTGATTTGTTGTCCTTTTCATTTATTCGCGCTGTCACACAACTTGGACGCGTTTTTTTTTTGGCGGCAACACACACCACCACCAAAAAAAAAAAAAAAAAAAAAAAAAGATGGCAGCGATCTTTGAGCCAGAAATAGGGCTATCTCGTAGAAAGATCATGGCGTTTTGCAACACTTCTGTTGAGCACATTGCAAACATATTCATATTACCCCTGTCGCAGTTCAAGCTCATTGACAAAAGGAGTGCTGTCCCGGTTTTCTCAGAAGACAGGCGTATAACGCTTCAGCAATGTCATTTTCGTGAGCGCAAACGCCCATAGTTTACTCGAAAGGACAAGGTTATGAAGGAGATGTCGATGGTTTCAACGAAAGTCGCTCCTGCAGACTAGGCGGTTTGCATTTCGATGGTCATTACCAGTTATGCTGTTGTTGGCCCCTTAAACTTGCTCTCCTATCTTTATTTCGATTGTCCTTTTTGTTTGTGTATTCTGTTGCCGTATCTGTTCACCGTGCTAGGACACATGCACCCACCTCAACGTTCTGTTGGTAGTTTTTAAAGCTGGTTTGATTCAGCATCCTGTGTTATATAATAGGGGCGGCAACTGCTGCTTCTCCCCGAATTGTTTCTTGCCGGTTTGCCGGTTTGGCAGTTGCGACATGGTGTGTGGAGAGGGAGACTGCACATACAGCGAGGAAAACGGATGCGACCCCCCAGAGAACAGCCCAAGCAGATCAGCCACAGACCTATCGGTGGTCCTCCCCTTTGGATAAACGCTAGACTACATGTAGGCCTGTAGGCTTTCGAAGCACCGTTACGGTATGTAGGCAGATGAGGCTATATTGGCCAATGAGAACGCAAAGGATTTATCCAGGGTCAATTTTTTTTTGTGTTATGTGTCCCATATTCTGAGTTTTGGTCTCCAAATGAAAGGGACCATCCAATGGCGGCAGCGCACCTGTCATTCCATTCGTATCACTGTCACAGGTGCTCCGTTCCTGCTATCGCTGTTTCCCATCAAGGCAAAAAGACTACAAGACGAATTGGCAGGGAGGTCGACTACAGCCGAGGTCTAGCCTGTATGGGCCAATGTGTCTATCTTCGACTCGCGCGTTGATAGCATTGATGTGGCTCCTACGCCGCTTGTTGGATAGAAAGAGGGCCATGTCAACGAGTCCCTTTCTGTCCATATCCTTTCTGTCCGAGATAATTTTTTCTATCATTATTTTCTCGAGGTACCTTCCAAGGCTGTATCGACTAGTGCTAGGCTGCTAGTTGACGTCTCTTCTTATTCCTTTCTTCGCTTACTCATTGGGCAAGACGTTGACGAGATGGATGCAATCTAATTGAGGAAGAAGGCCAAGGAGAAGAAAGAAGAATAAAGCCCAAATTAAGACCGAGCCGAGGCAGTCGAATGCAAACAGGAAGAAGGATGGCTGCAAGGCTTTGGACGACAACCGCCGTCATTTGTTGTTTACGTCTGTCTGTGTAGGTAGACTATTGTGCACCCAACGGTCTATAAAATGTGTGCACCCTGCTCAACCTTATCTGAAGCAAGAGGAGCATTGGATGGACGGTCTTGGGAAAGGGATACAGTCTAAGGGTCTAAGTAAATGCAATGAGACGTTGATGATGACGATAGGTGCGGTGGTGATAATGACGATGGTGTGCGGGGGATAGGACAGGAGGATAGGAGAAGAGCGACCACCGATGGTATTTCCGCTTGTGTGCTTATGCTTTTTTGAGTTTCGAATGGCCTGGATTTGGACCAAAAGAGGGACATTGAGTGCGTGTGGACAAAACTCTGTTTGAGGTAATTTTTTAATCTCCTCCTTCAGACGTCCCCCAAGGAACAAACAAAAACCTTCACTGCCATATCCGCCTCCCGCCCGTGAGGCCTTTTCCTCCTTTCGCCACCGACTCTCTGAGCTCCCTCTCCCTCCCTCTCCCTCCCTCTTCTTCTTCTTCTTCTTCTTCTTCTTCTTCTTCTTCTTCTTCCTCTTCTTCCTCTTCTCTCTCTTTCTTTTCTTCCCCTCCCCACTCGAGTCTCCTTCTCTCTATTTCAACCCCTTCTCTCCCTCCCTCTCTCTTTCTCTTTCTCTCGTTCCATCTCCCATCCATCCTCGTCTCCACTAAAGCTTCTTCGCCCGTGGGTTTGCCACCAACTGTCTCCACACCATGGCGTCTTCCGGCCCAAACCAGCCCGACTCCATCCAGCAGGACCAGCCCTCCAAACTCGAGTTCAACGAGCCCCTGAAGATGACCCGCACAAAGACCATCCCCAAGGAGGCCACCCCCGCCCCCGGCCCCACCGCCACCACCGCGGCCGAACCCGTTGTCTCTGAGAAGACCCACACCAAGGGCAAGGAAGTCGACAAGAAGAACGCAGCCAAGGACAAACATCTCGACATTGCAAGTCATTGAAATCGAATGATACCTTTTTTTTATATATGCGATTCTGCTCATGCATGCATGCCCATGTTTGCATGTCTGCATGAAATACTTTATTCGTCATCTTGCTAACCAACGACCCTTTCGTTTCTTTTTAGACCGAGCATCTCTTCCCCATCGAGGAGATCGCTGCCAGACACGGAGTTAGCATCGATACTGCCAAGGCCGCCAACACCAAAGGTCTTGACTCTGCCGTCGCTGCTCAGCGTCTGATCGAAAATGGACCCAATATCCTCTCGCCTCCCAAGCAGATTTCGCCCTTTATGAAGTTCATCCACTGCTTAACCTCGCTCTTCAACCTGCTCCTGATCCTCGCCGGTATCCTTAATTACGTCCTGTTGGCTGTTGATCCCCAGGGCAACAAAGTCAACGTAAGTCGCCATACATGCATCACTAAGACACCAAGGGGCAAAAGAAATAGCACGAGCAAGGCGCAAGGCGTATCCGATATCGTTTTACGCCACTTGCTCGGCACTACAGCCTCCCCTACAAGCGAAGAACACGCGTTTGACAAATATTCTTTTTTCCGTTTCTCCAATTAGACTTACCTAGGTGCTATTCTTATCATTGTCGCCTTCATCAATGCAGGAATCGAATTTTACCAAGCCCAAAAGTCGGCTGCAGTGCTGCAATCCTTCCTAAACTTGATGCCCCAAAAGTGCTTTGTAATCCGCGACCAGAAGGTCATCCAAATTACGGCCTCGGACCTTGTCCTAGGCGACGTTGTCTTTGCTCGTATGGGCGACAAGATCCCTGCCGATATCATGATCTATGCCTGTACGGACATGAAGGTCGACAACTCGTCTCTCACCGGTGAAGCCGATCCTCAGGATCGCAATCCCGTCAACGACCACAAGAACCCTCTTGAGGCCCGTAACCTGGCCTTCAACGGATCCCTGGTCGTCAATGGTGAGGGCTACGGTCTGGTCATCCGAACTGGTGACAACACCGTCCTGGGTCAGATTGCGGGCCTTACAGCTGGAGAGGACTCTGGAAAGTCGCCTCTGACTCGCGAGATCGACGACTTTGTCAAAATCATTGCTACGATTGCCATCACAACCGCCATCCTCTTCTTCCTAATCGGTTACTTTGCCGTTTACCGCCACCAGGCTGGTGGAATCTCAAGCACCCTCAACTTTGCCATCGGTGTCTTTGTCGCCTGGGTCCCTGAAGGTCTTCCTGCCACGGTCACGATGTTGCTTACAATTGCGGCCAAGCGTATGGCCACGCAGAATGTCCTGGTCAAGGACCTCACAGGTGTCGAGACTCTTGGTGCCATTACCCTTCTCGCCACCGACAAGACCGGAACACTGACCCGCAACCAGATGACGGTGACCAACATCTGGTCATCCAACACCATGTACTCTGCATTCCGCAGTGCCGCCAATGCCGGAGCCCCCTTCGATGCCAGTTCGCCCGGTATTCCTGAGGTCCTCTCGATCGCTTCCCTCTGCTCGCGTGCCAAGTTTGATCGAACGGACGTCCCGATCCCTGAGCGCCAGGTGCTTGGAGATGCCACAGAATCAGGTCTGACCCGCTTTGCGGCTGCGAATATCGGCAACTTTGACGAGCTGAATGATCTGTATCCCAAGGTCTTTGAGGTTCCCTTCAACTCTGAGAACAAGTGGGCGATGACGATTCATAACAAGCCGCACGACAACGGAAAGTTTACACTTTTGATCAAGGGAGCCCCCGAACGTATCCTGCGCCTGTGCAGCACTATTCTCATCAACAACCAGGCTGTTCCCTTGACGGAGGAATATTCAAATGCGTATGACCAGATGTATGCGTTGATGGCCTCGAAGGGTCATCGCGTCCTTGCGTTTGCCCAGTTGCTTTTGCCCCGTGCCCAGTTTCCCGACGACCACGTCTTTGACAAGGAGAAGAAGAATTACCCGACCACTGACCTGTGCTTTGTCGGCCTCGTCTCCTTGGAGGATCCTCCCAAGCATGGTGTCCGTGAGGCGATTGGTCGCTGCCGCTCTGCTGGTATCCGTGTGATGATGGTCACTGGAGACCACCCTCTGACTGCCGAAGCCATTGGACGCAAGATCAACTTGATTATCTCGGATACGAAGGAGATGGTTGCAAAACAGCGTGGATGCTCAGTGGATGAGGTCGGGGATGAGGAATACGACGCGATTGTGATCCATGGTGAACAGATCGACTCTTTGTCGGAACATGACTGGGATTTGATTTTTTCCAAGCCCGAGATCATCTTTGCCCGTACTTCGCCCAAGCACAAGCTGCAGATTGTGAAGCACGCCCAGGCCCTGGGACATATTGTGGGTGTGACAGGAGATGGAGTGAACGACTCGCCTGCGCTCAAGAAAGCGGACCTGGGTATTGCGATGAACATTTCTGGATCGGATGTGTCAAAGGAAGCGGCGGCGATGATCTTGCTGGACGACAACTTTGCGTCGACGGTCCGTGGTATTGAGGAGGGTCGGTTGATCTTTGCGAACTTGAAAAAATCGATCCAGTACACGATCACGCACTCGATGCCGGAGGTGATTCCGAACCTGTTGTATGTGATTGCGTCGATCCCACTGCCCATCAGTGCGATGTTGATCCTAGTCATCGATCTCGGTTTCGAGCTGTTTATCTCGTTGACCTATGCCTGGGATAAGCCCGAGTCCAAGACTGGGTTGATGCGATTGCCGCCCCGCAAGCCCGTCACTCCAGCGTCGATTGAACGCCGTCGTCGCTTGGCGACCCGTGAGCTGGCTCCTGTTCGTGATGCGGAATCGGGCGAGGAGATCAAGCCGTCGCTCATGGCTCGTATGCACCACGATTTCAAGGCGATGTTCACGAGTTTGTACTGGAAAGAGAAGTTTGAGTCGACGGAGGATGAGGTTCTGGTTGATGCTGGGCTGTTGTCGTGGGCATACCTTGAGGTCGGCATGATCCAGACGGTCGGCGCCCTAGTGACCTTCTTTGTGGTCCTGTACAAGGAAGGGGGCGTGACCCCGGCAATGTCGGTCCAGATGCAGAAGAACAACGAGTTCTCGGGCACGTCTCCCCCAGCGAACCAGGAATTGTTGGCCAAGGCTCAGTCGTGCTTCTATCTCGGCATTATGATCATGCAGCTCTTCAATTTGTTTGCGTGCAAGACCCGGTACAGACTGCCCTTTGGCATGTACATGTTCTCGAACCCACGGACGTTTATCGGAATTGCGGTCGGATGTGCGGTCGGATTCCTAATTGTGTACTGTCCAGGGTTCCCCGTCGTGTTTGGCACGTCGAACAGTACGCCATTCGTATACCTGATGATTCCGTTCGCGTTCGGAGTGTTCATCTTGTTCTATGCAAGCGTGCGACAGTTGATCCTCAGGAGGCTCAAGCCGACGACGTTCAACCAGGAGATCATCGGGCTCAACATGATGCCTACCATCAAGACTATGTTCTCGCGCACCAAATCCATCCAGAGGCCCACTTAGAGGCCTCCTTCCTTCCTACCATCCCCCCTAGCATCTGCAGTTTGCATTCTTTTTGTATATCAGTTATTCACCCAAAGGAGAAAGTCCTTTTCAACATGTAGTTCCCCATATCGTAGCGTAATAATAAAATCCCATGTTAATACAGACACTTTTTATGTTGAAGGAAAAAGATGATTAAGAAGTAGACGAGAAAACTATGGAAGGGTTAAAAAAAAAAAAAAAAGGAGTGGCATGGGCCATTGGGTATAGGTGGATCGATCAAGGACAACATAAAAAAGAAAAAAGAGGAGCTAGACTACAAGACGAAAAAAAAAAAAAAAAAAAAAGAGCTAGAAAACAAATTTTTACTCTGATCAGAAATGAGAATCCTCCGCTGGAGACGCAACAGGTACAGGGAGCGACAAGGGCACGGACGTGACATCTGAAGGATTACGAATACTACTGCCGCCGACGGATTCAGAAGTACTCTGCTGTCCCCATGACTCGTCGTCCATCCCAATCGCCGCGTTCAGTTTCTTGGACGCCGTTGCTGTTGCCGTCGCTGTTGCTGTTGCTGTCTCTGCTGCTGGTGCACTTCCAGTAATCGTTACAGGCGACCGAGGCCGCGATACCGATCCAGAGGCATGGGACCCTGTGCGGGGCGAATGCGAAGTCGAAGGTGATGTCGGATGAGAAGACCGTGGCGTCGGGGTTGTGCGTCCACCAGCCCCGGCACCGTTACTGCCATTGGCACCATTTCCTCCTCCTCCACCTCCTGCCATCGTCGTCACCGTAAGGGCTCCTGTAGAGCTTTTGGACAAAGATGCGAAGGAGCCCTTCTTCGTGACCGTGCCACGACCTGGTGAACGTGGAGACCTTGCTGCTGTGCCTGTTATCGCCGTTCCTGTTGTTGCTGTCGCAGTGGACTTTGTGTGCAGGCTACCATTGCTATGACTTGTAGACATCCCCGACCTCGACTTTGCCTTCTCTGTCGTCGTCGTCGTCGTCGTCGTCGTCGTCGTCGTCGTTGTTGCTGTAGCGGATCGTGCACTCTTGGCCGCAGATTTGTTCACCGCCGAAGCACCCGCCGTCTTGGTCTTCGTCACCACACCCGAGGACGCTGACAAATCCGAAGCGCTTGAATTATCCGACAACAAATACTTCAGACCCGGCGTCGGTGCAGAACCCGCACCCGGTCTTCTCTCGACCGTCGCAGCCGTCGTACGACTCCTCGGTCTGCTCTGCCCATCACTACCGCCACGTCGATCCCCATCCGTCGAAGACGAAGCCTGGGACGACGACGGCAAGGGTGGCGCTCTGTGGTTCCTGAAAGATGATCCTGCATTCACAGGCGACGATCCAAGGTGGTGCAGACTTGCCTGACTCACTGACCGCGAGCTATTCCTTGAAGCTCCCCGACTCGTGCTCCGTGATCGGTTCTTCATCGTCAGTACCGGCTCCAGCGCCACACTCGGGTTCCAGGGTGGACGCGTCGCTGCCGTTGGTGAGGCCGAATACGCCGTCTGCAAGATATTGTGCTCCTCCAACCGCTGCTGCAGCTCTGACGAAAGCGAATGTGTCGAATACTTGCGCGCATCTTTCGGCAAGGGCGGCGTTGACTGTTGCTGCTGTAGTACTGGGACTGGTGCTGGTGCTGCGGTCTGTGTCTCCTTATTATGAACAGCCACAGGCGCCTGGGGCGATGGTGCCGGTGTCAATTGCTTCGATGACTCTGAGGGCTGGTATGATGCTGGTGTCGACGGCGGGGAAGAGATCGCGCTCTCCTTTGGCTGCATTTCCGGCTCCCACTCCTCCTTCTGAACAACGACAGAAAGCCCGAGCTCGGCGCCCAGCGACATGCCCATTCCTCCTCCTTGGTTGCTCTCATCATCACCCCAAGCATTAGGATCCAATTCGTCCTGCACTGGGAAATCTGCATTGTTGAGCTCTGGGTCTTCCATGGCTAGCGTCGACAGCTGTCCGGTGCTTCGTTTGAGCTGATTGTCCCAGTTCGAGTCCATGGGCGAATGACCTCCCCATCCTCTACCCTCCATATCAGACTCAATACGCATGGTTTGGATCGTGGTCTGTGCCTCCTCCAAGAGCTGTGCATACTCCTTCGTGTTCGAGATCATCTCCACAACCTTGCCCTCACACTTCTCCTGTCGGCCCTCGAGTTCCTCGAGCGTCGACCGGATGACCCCACTATCGGACACGACCCGACCCAGCTCCGACTGCATGTTCTTCACGACCTGAGCGGTCGTTGACTGTGTCTGTTTTTGTTTCTCCATGGCTGTCCTGAGCTGCTCCTGCAGATTCACGTTCAATTCCTGGGTTGAATTCAGCTCCTGCTCGACTTCTGTCAGCCGTCGGGAGTACACCGTGACCTTGTTCTTTGCGTCCATCACCTCGGTCCCCATATCGGCCATCTGCTCCACCAGACTGTCGAGTTCCTTCCGAAACGTCTTTAGCTCACGACGACAGACATCCAGCTCCTTCTGTAGGGACTCGTTCTCGTTCGTCAGATTGTGGACCTCATCTTCAGAGCCTGTCAGATGAGCAGAGAGTTCTTGTGAATGATGGACTCTTGATTGGAGGATCAGGTTTTCGTCTTGCAGGGCTTGGATCTATTTTTTTTTAAGAGAGAGAGAGAGAAAAAAAAGATGAGTTCCAAAGAATCAAAAAGCGCGCACGGTCAAATCCTTTTTTTTTTTTTTTTTTTTTTTTTTTTTTTCCTCCAGTCTTTTTTTTTGTTTTATTACCTGAGCATAAGACTGTCGTTCGGCGCGCTGGGCGTGCTCCAGACTCTGTTGCAATTCGAGTCCGAACCTTCCTGCGAGGTTCAGCTGCTCCATCATCACCTGGTGTTCTGCGTAAAACTTCTCCTTGAGGAGCCCTGGGTCCTGAATCCGCTCCAGTTCGGACCAGATATCGTCTTCTTCCGCGATCGGTGCTTGCGCTGCCGTGTGGAAAAATCGAGTCGGTTGTCGATTTTTTGATGAATCAATGTAAAAATAAAAAGAGGACGGGGGAGGGGAAGTGAGCACACGGAAGACCAAAAAAAAAAAAAAAAAAAAAAAACGGACTTGCATGGGATAGCTGGTTTTTGCAGCCAAAAAAGTTTCATGTGTGCTTACCCAAGACGTCTTCCTGGGAGAGGTTGTAGGGAGGACACGGTGGGTTCTGTTACAGTTGTATGATGAGAGAGAGAGACAAATGGCATGTTGTTAGTGACCAAGGGCCAGACTTCTTTTGTAGCTTATCGCCCCCCCCCATCGTCCGGTAGGGTCCATGGGAATGATAGATTGCGCTCGGACTCTTGTGGACAGGGGAAGGGGGGGTGGAGAGTACTATAGTACTTAAGGGAGAGGAGGAGGAGGGGGGGGTGCAAGCGGTCGGTGTCGGTTGCCCCTTTCATCTTTCACTCTCGTGTCTGTTCATAGTCACCTTGTGCACGCTGCGTTACGCTGCCACGACTCTTTTTTTTATTTGTTGCAAGAGAGTTTAGGGGGACAATGATCCAAGGAAATGAACAAGCGAGAAGGGTCGCGTTGTCGTCTTCTTAGGGCTGTCTTTACTCTGTCCCTCGTTCTCTCTTCTCTCTCTCTTGGAATTGATATGCAGAACAAAGGATATAAAAAAAGACCTGCAAGTGTCAAGGGAAACCCAAAAAGAAAAAACTAAAAAAAAAAAAAAAAAAACTCAGCAACCGTTGGCAGGCAGTTTGGAAAGAAGAAGAAGAGGTGAATGAATCCCACGAGACAAGGGCGATGCATCGGATGGGATATGCATCTGCGGGTTTAACCCAACAAATAAGAAAAGAAATAGAGGACCCATGCGGATGCCCTCGGGAAGGGGTTGGTTGGTTGCATGCGGTATGTACGGTACCTCAAAGGACTGGGTTCGACTGAGTGCTGACGGACGCGCGGAGGTGGTCAACATTGTCTTTTCAGTCAACATAAATAGAGAGGGTGTGTATGCTGGGTATCGTTAAAAGAGCAAAGGCGCGGAGGTGTGAGGGTGTAGTGGTGCTAGTAACTAGTCGGCGGTGCTGGCTGGTTCAGACGGAGGGGGCGGTTGTCATTGGAATCGTAGCGATGAGGAATGGGCGAGGGTGTGGAGTATGAGAAAGAAGGGAGGAGAGCGGTGGGCTGGGCTGTATCTCGCAGGGTATATGAGGTATATGGATGGATGTGTCAATTGGGGTGTGGAGGAATGGGAAGGAGAGGAAAGGAAAGAAAGGAGCGTGCACTCCACTCTCCCTCTCTTTTTCTTTTTCTTTTTCTCTTTCTTTCTGTCGCATGCTGCAGTGGACCAACGCTGGCCAGTTCCAGGTTGGATGTACATGTATATTTTATATTTAAATGCACGCAGGAATAATCTGAATGACTCGTCCATGCCATGGCCTTGCATGGTTGGGCGAGGATGGCGACGGTGATCCTTTGGGTACACTCCCACATCCGTCTCCATATCAAACCCCGCGGCTCAGTGCTCATTCTCATCCGCTCCTTCCAATGCTTGCGGTGATATGAATCGAAATGGGTGTTACAGACACACACATGTGTGTGCGAGTGCTCTCTTTGCTAATTATATATATTCTTTTATTCATCTCATCTTTTTGTGTGTAAGTGTATATAGCCTGTTGGGTGCAATGCGATGCTAGACTAGTCTACCTTCCCCTCTATCCCAACAGTCCATGGAACTGGCGCAACACATGTGAGTCGGTTGGAGACCATTTCTTTCCTTCTTTTTTCCCGTGCATGGCATATGCTTCTGCCTCCGATCGAAAAAAAGCCAAGGCCACCTCACTCACCCACACCCATTACATATCCACATCCATCCACCCATCTATCCATTCGTCCATTTTGTGAAACCCACCACCATGTCCATGATAGACTATCCATGATAACCCTGAAGAACAACCCATTAGTGGCACGTCCCGCTTATGCCATGCTCAAATACACAGCATGATCGCGGTATGTTGTTCATGGTCTCTACGGGATGGTCGCGACCCCAGACATGTAACACGACGCGTTCCAATGTAGCAGACAGGACATCATCCTCATAGACTAACACTACAAGTGACATAGACTATATATTGAGTTTGTTCTACTTGAACTTCGTCACCAAAAACCCAGCGCATCAAAAAACCCTAAACAGAAACCCCTGGGAACCCCTTTGTAAGTACCCTTGATGTCATCTATGATATCGGCCGCAGAATCCTTGCAGACATCATCGAACGTTGGTGAACACCGCCCCTCAAGACGGTAATATACCGCTATCAGCTCCACACAGGCATCCATGACAAATCCGGTGTCCTTCTTTCCGCATTTGGGCTTTTTTTTTTTTTTTTTCTTTCCCCTTCCTTCCCAATTCGTTCACGTACAATTTTGTGTACGTGAGCCGCAGTGGATGTTTACTTTTTTCTGGTCAATAAAAAGGCCTCCAGCTGCACTTTTCGAATCATCACCCTTCTCATCACACCTCTTTTTATTTTATTCATCCAATGAGCAATAATGACAACCTGAACGGCCTTAATCAGCAATTTGGTAAGAACACATCCCCCTTCACCCACCAGCAACAGCAGCACCAGTATTCTCTTCGCCAGCGCTAGCTGATGACCTGCAGACAAAAGTACTGGCTCATGCTTGACATCTACAACCCTGATGACTGATCAAAGTATGCAACTTCTTTTTGCTCTATGATATTAGCTGGTATGGGCGTTAATGAACGTAGCAACTCTCGACCATCGGGATCAAGACCCGCCTATGTCCCTCCTCACCTGAGGAACGCCGCTGCCCCTCGTAGCGATAGGTATGTTCCTTGACAACTAATTGACCCCCTCATGCGATAAGATACTGTGTGATCTGCTTTCGTATCCTTTTTCCTCTCCCCCTTGCTTTTCATGTCCTTGCAATCGTATTGTTCGATCGAACAGCAAACCTAACCATTGTCCTACCTTGTCCTCCCCTCAATAGCTGGGACACTCCTCCCCGCACCCAAAACGCCGCCCCTCGTTCCACAGGAGGATGGGGCGGAGCCTCCGAGAGCGGCTACAACCGAGGATGGAACGAGTCTCCCCATCAGCAGAACCAGCAGTCCTCTGGTTGGAACGACCGTGCCTCCTCTGGTGGTTATGGTCGTCGCAGCGAGACTCCCTCTTCGGGCTATCCTCGCCTGGACCGCGACGTCGGCACCTTCAAGAACGGTGTCCAAGTTCCTGCTCAGCGCAACCCCCGTCTCGAGCGTGAGCTGTACGGAACTGAGGACAAGGAGCGCCAGAGCACTGGAATCAACTTTGAAAAGTACGACGATATTCCAGTTGAGGCCTCCGGCAATGACGTCCCCGAGCCTGTCCTCGTCTTCACAAGCCCCCCTCTGGACCCTCTCCTGCTCGAGAACATTGAGCTGTCCAAGTACACCCAACCCACCCCCGTCCAGAAGTACTCGATCCCCATTGTTAGTGCCAATCGCGATTTGATGGCCTGTGCTCAGACCGGTTCCGGCAAGACTGGTGGTTTCCTCTTCCCCATCCTCTCCGAGCTCTTCAAGGCCGGACCAGTTCCTCCTCCCGAGAACGCCGGCGCAGGTCGCACCCGCAAGGCCTACCCCACCTGTCTCATTCTCGCTCCCACCCGTGAGTTGGCTTCCCAGATCTGGGAAGAGTCCCGCAAGTTCTCGTACCGCTCCTGGGTTCGCTCCTGCGTCGTTTACGGAGGTGCCGATATTGGACAGCAGCTCCGTACTATCGACCGCGGATGCGACATGTTGACCGCCACCCCTGGTCGTCTTGTCGATTTGATTGAGCGCGGCCGTGTTTCGTTGGCCAACATTCGTTACCTTGTCCTGGACGAGGCCGATCGTATGTTGGACATGGGTTTCGAGCCCCAGATCAGACGTTTGGTCGAGAAGGAGGATATGCCCGGAGTCTCCGAGCGTCACACCCTCATGTTCTCGGCCACCTTCCCCCGCGACATTCAGCATCTTGCCAGGGATTTCTTGCGCGACTATATTTTCTTGTCGGTCGGTCGTGTCGGTTCCACTTCAGAGAACATCACGCAGAAGATCGAGTACGTCGAGGATGAGGACAAGCGTTCGGTTCTGCTCGACATCCTTCATGCCCAGCCCAAGGGTGATCTGGGTTTGACCCTGATCTTTGTCGAGACCAAGAGGATGGCAGACACGCTTTCGGACTTTTTGCTCTCCCAGAACTTCCCTGCGACCTCGATCCACGGTGATCGTACCCAGCGCGAGCGTGAGCGCGCCCTCGACATGTTCCGTTCTGGACGCTGTCCCGTCATGGTCGCCACGGCTGTCGCAGCCCGTGGTTTGGACATTCCCAACGTGACCCACGTCATCTCTTACGACTTGCCCACAGACATTGACGACTATGTCCACAGAATCGGTCGTACTGGTCGTGCTGGTAACACCGGTATTGCCACTGCCTTCTTGAACCGTGGCAACAAGGGCGTTGTCCGCGACTTGCTTGATCTTCTGAAGGAGGCCAATCAGGAGATTCCCGGCTGGCTCGAGACTCTGGGCAGAGAGTCTTCCTATGGCGGCGGCGGTGGTGGTGGCGGTCGTGGGCGTGGTCGTGGCCGCGGCGCCAGCAATGCTGGCCGTGATTATCGCAAGTACGCCGGCGGTGGATCCTCCAGCGACCACTGGGGCGGCGGCGGTGGTGGTAGCCACGCCGGTGGCGGCAACAGCGGTGGTGGCGGAGGTGGATATGGTGGTGGATACGGAGGAGGCGGATATGGTGGTGGATATGCAGGCGGCAACAGCGGCGGCAACAGCTGGTTCTAAACGCCATCCAAGACAGGCGCAGTCTTTATTTTTTTTTATCTTCTCTCTACTCTCATTTTTTTCTTTTTCCATAGATTTCACGTTATGAATGCGGATGCTGGCAGGCATTACATTGTATACCCCACTTTTCACTTTTCTTTCTTACTTGAAGCCTTCATGGGGTCATGATCGATGTTTCAACCCGCACAGCATTTGAAAGGAAGGACCCTCCCTTGTTCTTTCCAACTCTCGATTCTGTATTTATAGCGTTTTCTTTTTTTTCTTTTTTCCCTCATCACCGCAGTACGATTGTGTATATTATCTTTGTTGTTTTTTCCTTCCCCCCGTGTCTCGTTTTCTTGAAGAACGACAAGCAAATGGGAAACCCAAAAAAAAAATGCATTGCACACCATAGACACACTCATACTCGCATATCACACAAAAAGGAACAATTGCAATAAAAAATTATAAAAAAAAAAGCATCATTCAAGAAAGCATTGTATCACTGATTGCCATGTTCAGTCCTTCTTTTTTTGAAAAGCAGAGGCTGTGTCTGTCTTCGTTTATTTGACTATTGATGCTTCATCCAAGAAAGAAAAAGAAAAAAAAACCTTCCAACGACATGTCATCTACTCCTTTTTGTTTCCATTAGTCTCGGCTGACTGGGCTTCTACCGCTTGCGCTCAAAGTACTTTGATGATGACAGGAAGACGATGCCTTGGTCCATGATCCATTCGCCAATGCTGAGGTATTTGTCCACAGCTGAGCGAACGTCCTTGCTTTCGATTTTATTGCTGGCCACACTATTAGGTTATTGAAGAGTGAACAAAATGTATAAAAAAAGGTCCTGAGTGAGCACAGTGGTCTACGGACAGGGGGAGTGTTCCATTGCCTTGGCTTTTCCTGTACTCCTTATCCATTGAGTCTTTCCAATGTTCTTACGTTAAGCCCTAGGCGAGCCGAAGCAAAAGAGTAAAAGAGTAGGGTTCCCGTGTTAGTGTACAAGTCTCTTTCACCATCACCGCCAACACCCCTGGAGAGGGGGGGAGGGGGTTCATACATAGTAGTTGCAGTGCCACTCAATAGGTTACAAAGGAGAGAGAGTCACTTGGCTTTGGTTTGTGCCCCTCCTGGACAAACTTACAGTGCTGCGTTTGATTCCGGCGAGGACGGCGGAGATGAGGATGGCATCTGCGGCGTAATGGACTAGTTTTCCGAGCATGTTGATTGCTTGGTTGGCTGGTTCGTTGGTTGGTTAACTAGTTAGTTAATTGGTTGGTTGGTTGATGTGTTGAATCGATGTTTGAGGTTGTTGCGATGTTCGGTTGGGGGTAGGGAGGGAAGCGTGAAGGGCTCCCAATTTTCTTTTTTCTGGTCTGTGTCAGCAAGCGCAGAATTATGCCTGACAGGGTGTGGATGTCTTGTGCAAAATTCCCCCCGATATACCATGGCATGTTGTGTTGTGCACATTCATCCCCTATGCACCTGCATACTATGCTACATTACGTTGTGGTACTCATTTTGACAGTGCCACATTCAGTTCTTTTGGGACACAATCATCTGAACACACTCCCCTCTGGATGGATGCGCCTGCCCTGTATTGGACCCTACTGTACCAATGATTATCCCCCAAGGATAGCGACAACACACCCTCAGATTCGCCGGAAGCGTTTCTTTTTTTCAGCCCCTTCGCCCCTCCTCTGATCTCTTCCACGGTTCAGATCAGAAATAGGAAATAGAACTCTCGCGAAGCGAACGCTGTTTAAGAGTAAAAGCACAGCCTGGTGGACCCTGGATCTTGTATAAAAACCCTCGCTATCCCCCCCCCTAGATGCGTCGTCTCAATCGCTTCGGTATACCCATCATCCTTTCTCTCAACTGCTTGCCTCCCTTTGCTCCTAAAAAAATTGCATCTGCATCCACTTCATTTTCCTTTTTTTTCTTCAAGTCGTTTTAATATCTACCACACCGCCGACGATGTCTTTTCGAAAGATCTTTGCAGTGATCATAGTTCTATTCACCCTTATGATCCTCTCTATCTCAGAGGCGGCTCCCGTCCCTGTCCCTGCCCCTGTCGAGATCACGCTGGACCAACTGGAGGCGGCCTTTGTAGGCCAATGTCCAAACGCGACCCAAGGCGAGGTCATCAGTTGCAGTGATGCACTCCCGTACATTAACGATGCTATTAAAAAGTAAGTAAGCGGCACATATTTTTCTGTCTTTTCTTGCGTTGTAGGCTATATACTATATATATATATAGTACAAAGGACATTGATCAGATACAATTTGCTGAACAACACGGACGCAATGATCTTTTTTTTTTTCTACAGGTACGGTCTGGCGACGAGAGGTCAGCGTGCGGCCTATATTGCAACTATGGCCTATGAAGGCGCATATCTCCGGTACGACCATAACCTGGTCATCCATAGTCAAGGAAGTAAGTTTTTTTTTTTTTTTTTTTTTTTTTCCCTTTTTTTCTCACTGCTACAGTCTTTAAAGATGGTCAGCTATTTATTCTTTGCCGCCCATACTAATCTCATTCACTTTTTTTTTTTTTTTTCCTTTTTGGTGGCTATATGAATACAGCTCGCTCGATCCTTCCGGCTTCATCCCTGCGCATCTTTATCGATGCTAATAAACCCATCCAAAACCTCTGGCAGCCCTCGTTCCCGAAGCAAGTCAACAACGATACGATCGTCGATATCTTGATCGAGAACCACGCAGATTTCGAGCCCGGTGCCTGGTGGACCGTCCATGGACCCGGATGCGCCGAGGTGGCGTCCAATCTCTCAGAATCACTGAGTTCTTTTGTCGATTGGGAGACCACCTGTATCAACGGTGGAATCGATACCGTGGACGCACGCGCGGGGATCTATAATAATGTATATGCCTTTATTGTGTAATGGACTGTAGCGCAACAACAACAACAACAACAACAAAGAACAGAAGATAATAGAATAAAAAAAAAATATTACATACACACATACACTTTTGAACGCGCCTTCTATCTCTATCTGATGGATGGATGGACAACAAAAGGGAAGAAGCACGGTGGTGAACGGTGGAAAAGTTACAAAAAAAAAAGAGGTCTCGCCGAGACTCGAACTCGGATTGCAAGATTCAGAGTCTTGATTGCTAACCAATTACAACACGAAACCTTTGATGCACGCGGTGCAGTGGTTTAAAAACTCATATATTTCTATTATGCTTACGCTCCCTATAAGCAAGTATTCCATAAATGCAAATTTCCATAAATGCACATTCCTTCCTTACTTGCACGCTTCACTCCATCGCGCCACATCTCCACTTGAGAAGCAGTTTGGGGCTATCTGGGGCCTCTGGCTAACGCTAGCAGTACCAAAATAGATGTTATCTATAATATACGCCGGTTTGGTTTCGTACGAAGTGCCTGCGTTGGTCCCGGAAGGTACGAAGAGACTCAAGAATGTATCGCTCTTCAAGTGCAAAAATTAATTCTGCAGCTGCATTTTATGGCCAGTAGTCAACATTAAGCCACTATTTCTTCAAGCATCACTTTTTTTTTTTTTTTCTGGGTAAACCATCCATCGCCTGCACCCATCCATACCCCTCGTATATCGCCGCTTCCGCCATCATGCGTCAATTAGCACATCACGAACAAAAGTTGTTGAAGAAGGTCGATTTCCTTCAGTGGAAGTCGACCGAGAATGTCAGGGAGATCAAGGTTATGCGGAGATACCATCTTCAGAAGCGAGAGGACTATGTCAAGTAAGCGAACAAGACCTTTATCGTCTCGTCAGTCAGGATCCAGGAATCCAGGAATGAAAAATATATTAGACAGCTGAAAGTGCTCTCTAGAATATTCAGGAAGAGGCTGGATGTGTACCCAGTGCCGTCATCGTTGTTGCTGCTGCGTTACAAGAAAATGTACTGACTAGAAAATATATCCCCTCTTTCGACTCATGTTATCGTCAATAGGTACAACAAGCTGTGCGGACAGGTCAAAGCACTCGCCAACAAAATCTCATTGCTCCCACCTCAGGATCCATTTCGCCGCAAACAGGAGGAGATGCTGCTGGAGAAACTCTACAGCATGGGACTGATCACGGCAGACAAGCAGTTCTCGCAGATTGATAAGATCACGGTTTCGTCGTTGTGTCGGCGTCGTCTGCCGATTGTGATGTGTCGACTGAAGATGGCCGAGACAGTGAAGGAAGCGGTGACCTTTGTAGAGCAAGGGCACATCCGAGTCGGACCCGAGACCGTGACGGATCCGGCTTATTTGGTCACACGCAACATGGAAGACTTTGTCACCTGGGTCGATACTTCGAAGATTAAGAGAAAGATCATGAAGTACAACGACAAGGTAAGAACACGGAACATTAAGCATGTCAAGGATGGGCGTCTTTTTTTAAAAAAAATTCAAACAGGGTGGCCATGGGAACTTTATTGAGAAGTTGTCCACTAACTCTCTGGATTTTGTTTTCTTCTTCTTCTGTAATGCAACCTTTAGCTGGACGATTTCGATCTTTTGTAAAACACACCATCTCTTCTGTACGATACTTCTGCACTTTGCATCGCTTCACATTAATAAACCAAACATACATTGTCATCTCTGAGAAGGATTGGCCCTGCTATTCAGAACCTGCTTCCAGTACCTGATTGCAAAAACAGATGCATAGATAGTTTCTAGTGTCTTCTCACACCATCTAGCTCGGGAGCACTCAAAACCATTTTTGAACGGGCATACCTCTGCCATACAGGCAACAGTTCCATGAGTACGGATGGTCTTGCGAGATCTGAGTTGCACTGCCTGATGAAAACGCTGATGAATGAATTTTTAAACGACCTTTAAGCCTCTATTCTGGGTACGTCAAAAGCCTAGTAAACCTTGCAACCGCAATCCTCCATTATGAAGTACCATTGTACCTTACTTTGTTTGCTCTCCCTTTCATCTTTTCTTTGCTCTGCACTTCATTTTCCGCTTTTATCCCAACGCAAGAATGCACAGCCGCAAAAGGGTTACGATCTCCTGGGAGGCGACAAAGTCCATTTGAATGAAATGTGGGGGAAAATTGAGCGGTGGAGTCTAGGAATGATGGATTGCTGAAGCCCAGACGATGTACAGGTAGAGAATCCGTCGGCGTCCTTCTTCAGCGGCAGATGTAACTCGGCGTGGCACACCTTAAATTTGATTAAGGTTTGTTACACCGACCCTGCATCGCGTTCAGAAGGAGCGATATTGCCATATGCGGGATTTGGCCACGGCAAAATTGAGGCCTGCTGCTGTTTTGGTCGATGTGTGGATGATGGAGGGCCCTTCGCGCGACAATAAAGCGGGAGCTGAGGCGGATCTTAACGAGAGAGGCGAGGCACAAGCATTCTCTTTTTTCCAGCAGCTGCAGGTGTTCTCGAGGGAGGGAGGTGTAAACGGTTGCAAAAGCGCTTCATTGTTCTGCCTTGATAAGAAAAACAAATAAAATAAATAGCGCAAACAGCCCATTGAGAGGCCACTCGCTGTCTTATCACCAGTCCTCTCATGAACTCCACTAGATCTCATTTCTACCCATTGACCATCTCTCATCCCGCATAGAGCACTTTTCTTAATCAGGACGAACCATCTACAACCGCACAAGTAAAGCCTGCCGCCATCTGAGCGTACATACATCGCCGGCGGCATCTCGTGCATCCATCTCCCTTCAAACCCATCCAGACGTCGATGCCCAGGCGACCGTTCAAGCGTCTCCAGGAGGAGCCTGAGGATATTGACACTGACCTTGTTGACCAGATAGAACTGTCTGAGCCAAGCAGCAGCCACCAACAGAGCAACACCAACCATGCTTCCTCACATCCACACTCGCCGCTCTCGGACAGAGCCGGTCCTCCCTCCGCTAGACCGGGCCATGAATCACAGCCACGGAGATCGATGCATCAGGTCGACATGGATTTGGAGTGGCCCATGATTGACATTCCACAGGAACTGCGGGAGTTACGCGATCAGGATGACTCGAATGCTCGGTCCAACTCGCAGGCTGATGCTATCAGAGTAAGTGGAGGAGGCTACGGCGGCGATGGATAATAGAGCAACTGGAGCCAGGAATGCACTCGCTTCTGAACTGACCGCGATTTTTGTGATATACTATCAACTGTGCAACGATCTCTCCCCCGCCCCCAACTCTCACTCTTGTCCAGAGTCCGTTCAAACGTCGCCTGTTCTTACTACTAGAGGATCCGTCCTCCAGCAATGCTGCGTTCGCGCTCAACGTCTGGGTATCCTTTGCGATTGTGCTGAGTGCTGTGATCACTACAATTGAAACGATTCCTGCCTTTCGCTCAACGGACTCGGCCATTTGGTATGGGATAAATTAATATCGATTGAACTTTTTACAAACAGCGCTTCATTTGGAACACTTTCTGACATACGGATCCTTTATCATATGACTACCCTTGTTCCCCTAGGTTCTTCTTTGAGACCACCATGGTTATCTTTTTCACTATTGAGTTCATCGCGCGTATCATCTGTCATTCGGACTCGCTCAAGCAGCTCAAAAAGTTCCTTCTGTGTACGTCCATGGAGCACGGTTAGCAGTGACCAATCAGGAGCCCTGATAGAGTACAGTCCATAACAAGAGCCGTTTCTATCTACAACATTAGCACCGCTGGCTATTATCGACTTTTTGTCCATCATACCCTACTACATCGAGTTTGCCTTGGCACAGGATACGGTAAATGCGAACCTGTATCTGGTGCATATATTCCCGATCGACGACTAAGACTGGAGGATTAGGGGAACGAGAAGAACATGGGACCTGAGAAACTGCGCTATTCTTATATGTTTCTCCGTTAATAGACCGTGTACTTCCGGTTCACGATCATGCGTCTCTTCCGTCTGTTGCGCGTGTTCCGCACTTTCAAGTACTCTTCTACGATCATTATGACGATCGAGGTCATGATCGTGGCCATCAAACGGAGTATGGATGCCCTCAGCGCCTTGTTCTTCTTCCTGATCACAGGGACGATGCTCTTCTCCACGCTTCTTTACTTTGCAGAGCGAGGTAAGGAAAACAGGCTTTGTCATATTTGTCATGTGAACAGCACAAACAACCGAGCAAGCTCCCCTTTTTTTCTTTGTAACACATTTCATCTACTTGTTGTGATTATACAGGGGAGTGGGATGAGGCTAGACAGGTCTTCGTGGATGCCAACAACAACCCGAGCACGTTCGACAGCATCCCAGCCGCATTCTGGTTTGTCATGGTCACGATCACGACCACAGGATACGGGGACATGGTGCCGACAACGTTCATTGGCAAGTTGATCTCATTTCCGGCGATGATGTGCGGTATCTTGCTGATCACGCTGCCGTCGATTATCATTGGGCGGAACTTTACGCTCGTCTGGGAGGCGATGCAGCGATATAGACGGCAAACTGCAGCCAATGCCCGGGAGCCAAATGTCACATCTAGCGATGGTACGATAACGATGACTTTTTATTTTTGGTTGACGCTCGATATGGCAACATGAGACCTTAGTTTTGATCATAAATGCTTCTCTTTTCTATTCATGCCTTTAGAGCCAAGGCAGAGTTTCGACAGCAATCATTCGTACGAGGATGCGTCATCGAGACCTGGATACTCGTCCTTGACCACCAGCGGAGCCGTTCCAGGACAGCAAGAGTTGCTGGACCGTCTGGAGGCGATGACCAACGTGTTGAAACGGAATCAACACACCATGGACATATTACAAAAGATTCTGGACTCGCACGATCTTGTGCCCAAAAAATCTCCTTTCGAAGAGACCACTGCTCTGTAGAATGCGGTCGCATGTCCTGAAGTGGATTACTCTTTCATAAATAAAAATGCTTCAGATCGCCGCTCTAACAAACATACGATTTACGTCGAGCAGTACGTGGCAATAGTAGGCTTGAAGTGATAAACAGCATGAGTAAGGAGAAAAGTCCCCTGGAATTAACCTCAAACCCCAGTTTTTAGACCTCGGATTACCAAGCTTCCGTGGAAGCATTGAGGGCGTTTTATCCTTCTGAAGCAAAACAGTGGGCTGGTCATTAAACACTTCAAATTTCCTTGACCGTTGACTTGTGGACCCTGCATGAACTCTATGCTCTGACCACGTAACGTGATTGGATGCGATTCATGGTCTCAGGCGTGTGCCTGGGCTGTCTCAGCAGTGTCGTACCAACAGCCAAGTGGAGTTTGAGTTCCTGGAGGCGCTTTTTTGATACTGTGTCATACTCGGATGATGACTTCGAGGATGATATCGGTGGTTCCATATTCGACGACATGCTGGAGAATGATATCGTGGACGAGCTAGTTGCCGAGCTTGTTCTACCCCCCGACTTGCCGTTATATCAATCATCCTCTTACTTACAACGTACTACGGGGGGAGGGATATAGTTGAGCTGTTCGAAGGCTTCATTGACAGGGCATGCCGACCCTTCGCGTGGATGAGTCTAGGTAGCTTTCTGAGACTCTTCAGGGTTGGTCTTTGAACACCCAATCTAAAAGAATGAGAGTTATCGGAAGCAAGAGGAAAGTGGCCGCTCAGCTTGCACTTACACCTGATCGGTTTGGGACATAAAGTCACTGGGATGGTTTCGACATGATCTGGAGAAACGTGAGAAGGAGGAGTGAAGACTCGTGTTGTAATTTACACCAGGCGGGTTCTTGTTGCATTTCTCTCTCTGGAGGAACTGTATCTCTCTTGATCATCTCCGGAGAAGTGGAGATTTATTTTTGATAATATAGGGTGTTCAGGTAACTCTTCAGGCTTGAAGGCACGTTGACTTTGTACCCAGAATTCATATACGTCGACTCGTCTTTTTACTATTATTGTAATAGTCAAAGCCGTTGCTATGACAATTTTGTTTGCGTTCGAACCGACCATTGGCTGCGAAAGGAGCGGTATTTTGCTCCTGGAAAGTACCTATTTCCGGATACAAACCCAAAGATCGCACTACCATCGATGCTATACCATCATTCCCAACAAGAGCATCAGTTGATGGCGCACGCATAGCCGCGATAGCACTAACTCTGCTCGCGATATGCCTGAATTTCATGACAGCTTTGTCGTGAGCGCGATCAGGGCAAGTTTGAAGCAGATTAAGGATACCAGCCAACACATGTGTTTATATGCCATGTTGCTGACGAGTGCTTATGCCATTTATTCCCTGCTTTTAGCTGAAAATGAAAGACCGGTGTGGTGTGGTAAATCCACATTCAGTGCAGGCGGGTAGCCAGGTACAAGGATCAGGCACCTCCCTTGATATGATACGATGAGTGGAATTGATGCAGGACATTCATACGATCATATCAAGCAAGGACTGTGTACAGTGGTTTAGCTAGAGCGTCCCCTCTGTAGATCTTGAGAAGTTTGCAATATTTATTACATATTGAAACGAGCTCCTGCGTGTCGTCATCCTGGGAACTACCAGAAGAGTGTCATTTGCTGCATAGCCTTCGTTGCTTGAGTGATACTGTGTTTCTTCTCGAGCCATGAACTAAGCTCATGCTCGGATCCTCTTTCTTTTTACGACAAAAAGCGATGCGCTGCTCGTCAGTCATCGTGATATGTGGGGATCCTTTGGAAGTCATGATAATTTGCGGTTGCTAGGATTGCCCTGTACAAATGGATGTACGTACAGTATCTATTAATGTCAGGGTGCATACATTTGAGTTGCCCGGGCAACTCGGGTCAACTCATTCTGACCCAGAATAATGTCCACTCAAATGAAGGGAGCAATTACAAAAATAAAAACAAAATGTCCACTCAGGCCTAAACGGCCTTTCCTCCCCTACTCGATCTCTGCACTTCTCACCTCTTGCAGCCATGCGAAATGTTGCAATATCTGCGATTGAGACAGCCCTTTGCAAAGGGATCCAACAAATTTTATTCGGCTGCGATGATCGCGCGCCATTGAACAGCGAGATTGAGAGAGGAGACATGCGCTTTATCCTTCATCGAAGATATGGATCAAACCGTACCAGCACCATGTTCTGCCACTTCAAGGAGGCATGCATCAACAGAGCTACACTTACCCCAGGCGAAGAAGACTAGGCTGATGCTGAGCTTGGTGGTGCCTATGAAAGCGAATAAATGGAGTATGGGGGTGAGTTGGGAGTGGGTTGGGAGCGTAGGAGTGAGAAATGGGATGAATGATCCAGTCTGTCTTTATTTTTGGGTGCAGGCGCAATTTGAGTTGACCCAGGCGTCATTTGAATGGACGTTAATGAGTTAACCTGAGCTGCCCGGTCAATTCATTTGTTTTCACTCATAATATATTCGTTTACTGATTTTCAGCTGTTTAAAGCAGTGCTTTATTTCGTCTGAGTGCGTTTGAGCACGTCTTTATCGCACAAAAATGGCTCGCCAACCATTTTAGTATTTCTTTTCCTCCTCACTCCCTACCAGCACGAAAGTCTCTTTGCTATTGCTGCAGGCAAAAGCAATAGCGATGAAGAAGAAAGAATTTCTTCCGCAGAGGATGTTTCTTTGTGGATCTCATGTTCACTGTGTTCTTGTCGTTTATTCTTGTCTTCTCCACGAGGAATCGGGTTTATCGAATCGCAATCGCTTGCATGCACTGGTCGAGGTGATATTAGTATATTTCGCATTAGAGATAACGTTCTTGTCCTTTCATAGAATGGTGGCGCTGCGTCCGCCGCCTCTTCTTTGCTGCAGTAAATACGACCCATGCAGCATAACAAACGCACGTTGATGCAGTCAATGTTTTATGTTTTCCGAATCTGATGCAAACTTTATTGGCAGTGCTCGCTTGGGCTGAGTCGCGTGTGGTTGGTGCGCACTCCTTTTTTAAGGTTGTTAAGAAACCACGCGAACAGAACATCAGTAACTTTCAACAACCTTCATGAAATTGGCGGCAACATGTTCGCCACCATGCACTTTCATTGTCAAAAGTACACTCATCGCTGGCAAAAGCGATGTTGATGCAAGTCGGGCTCGTAGTGGACAGCACTGAATGACGATTCCTTTTTTCTCTGATGAGCCGTGCGCGTTGTTCGCTCACTCCCAGGCACACGCTCACTACCGTCTCGTTCCCCATAGTCCGCCTCTCAGTTCGCAGCGGCCATATGAGCCCTCCGGTCTCCGTAGACCCCTTGCTACCGACTCAGCCACCGACCACGCGGCACATTTAAAGTTCGACTTTGTTCTTTCTCTTTCTTCCCCACCTCCTCCACCTCCTCCACACTCTTCCCCACTCTTCCCCACGCGCTCTACGGCAAGTTTCTTTCCAGGTACGTATGATATAAGTATATAAGTTATTTTTCTTTGCTCTTCACCTTCCACTCTCCACCCTCCACCCCATACCTCTTCACTTCACTGACACAACCTCGCCTTTCGTCCTTTACCCAGTCCCACTCTCCTCCACCCCACCTCCACCTCTTGTGCTCACTCTCGTCAGCAGCCCTCCTCCACACGCACTCTCGTCAGCAACCCTCCTCCACATGCACTCTCGTCAGCAAGCCCACTCCACTAGATAGAAAATATAGAGGTCCCAGGAGTTTTGACTTCGATCCTGGGACTGTAACCCCTCACCCTTGCGTGCCCTCGGCAGTAGATAGTCATAGAGGTCCCAGGAGTTTTGACTTCGATCCTGGGACTGTTACCCCTCACTAATTGCGTGCCCTCGGCAACCCATCCCAGGTTTTCAACCTGTGGATTATACCCGCTCCCCAGAGGGTTTATTAACCCTAGCAGTGCATTTGGGCCGGGAGCACCAAATTCCCCACTCCCCTACTCCCCTCAGGTTATCATCACCTCTGGTCGTGCCTTCGGGCCAAGGAGCTTCGCCTTTTCTTCACGCAAAAACAAAAGAGTTCCTGAGAATGTTTCTGAACCCTTTTTTTTATCCACTTGGTCTCTTTGGGCCTTGTGCGGTTTTTTTTTCGGAGTACGATGACTTGCAACCTACCCGTGGTGTACTCTGCACAACCTTTGCAATCAAGGTTGACTGATAGCAAGTTGAGCCGATGGCGCCGATAGGAATTGTAGGAATAACAGACAATGCAATAAAGAATGAATCCTTTAAACAATCTATTTGAGTGACTTTATGGTGGCAATGACATACAGACGAGTAAACGAAGGCGCGTCCATCTGCATGCTGTGCTAGTAATTTGGATCACGACCTCTTTGCTGCGATCTCCAAGGCAATGCAAAGGAGTCAAATTTATTTGGCAACGCCGGTACGACAGCCTACTTCGACGGGTCCTTGCAAGCCCAACTTGAATACCACAGATCGTCTTATACATGAAATGGTGTAATGCAAGCGCTTCAGCCCAGACGAAAGCGCAAACGCGAACTAGCGATATGTCCTTGCCAGCTAGAAAGGAAACCGGCTTTGATTTTGAACACTGGAAGTATCAGGCTAGAGTCGACAACGGACGATGTACAAAGATAATCTCGCGAATGCAGATCAGCATATTCTCCCAAGCAGGGCACATCAAACGATGCAGCATCGCCTGCTTGGTTGCCCAAAGTGCTGCATTTGGCACCAGCACGCCGGTTAACTACGGTGTCTGGAGCCTTAAAGGTTCAGAGCTGCCCGCATTAAACCATCCATCCCATGTAAAAAAACCAGAGATCAAGAGATAACACCTCAATCACGAAAACCAACCACACACCAGGCGGTTCAAAAGGTCGTATTCCTCAAGCAGGTGTATTTTTTTTCTTTCTTATTATCATAAAGGATGGCAAGCTGACCGTGCAGCTCAGGTCAACTCATTAACGTCCATTCAAATGACGTCTGGGTCAACTCAAATTGCGCCTGCACCCAAAAATAAAGACAGACTGGATCATTCATCCCATTTCTCACTCCTACGCTCCCAACCCACTCCCAACTCACCCCCATACTCCATTTATTCGCTTTCATAGGCACCACCAAGCTCAGCATCAGCCTAGTCTTCTTCGCCTGGGGTAAGTGTAGCTCTGTTGATGCATGCCTCCTTGAAGTGGCAGAACATGGTGCTGGTACGGTTTGATCCATATCTTCGATGAAGGATAAAGCGCATGTCTCCTCTCTCAATC